TGGTTATATCTGCATTATTTGTACCTTTGTAATCTTTTAAAGGTGGAATAAAGGATCAAATATAAATTGCTGTTCTGTTATTTTAATGAAAAGTACAAGAACTTGGAGATTGCCAAATTATTTCATCTTTCTGCATTGAGGTTCACACATATGTCCTCTCATACAACAGTCATTGCATCAATGCTGACGGTGACATTATTTTTTGTCCATAATCATTGATGAAATTTCAAAACTGAAAAGATGTGTTACTTGTACATCTTTACAAACTATGAACTATATATGTGGTGATGTCATGTGGCTAATGTTAACACTGGAGGAGAATAATTTCAATACTCCAAGGAACACAAAATTGTTTAGAAATGCATATATTTACTAATACTATTACATTAGTTTTATTTGAAAAATATGTCACACCATAATGGTAAAATGAACAATGGTATGAAGTACCCCAGAATGTAAGTTGGAGTAATATTTTTAAATGGATAGATGGAGTTTTTGCCAATATGTCTGCCAGATCAACAATAGACTTTGACCATGGCAGAATGATAAATTTAGACTGGCAGAACATTTGATCTGCAATCCCTAGCATCGTGGTACGCCACGCCCTCGCCAATCCTATCCTTCTGCGACGCAACAGAGAGTATGCTATGAGTATCAGAATGAATTCCTTGTATTACATCAATTGAACAGCAGACTGATTTTACAATAATATGTATTACATCAATCGTTTGCAATAGCCACGGTAGCATCAAGTGGTATAATTGTAATGTTAACTGCTCTGAAGAGTTCTACAAATATCTGGCCATATATTTCCTCATGTCCAGCCTTGACTAGCACTTTATAGGGACAAGCTACTTGTGAAGGCTCTGTGTAGGAAATAATATTTGAAGTAGGGTACTGAACATGGTTTTACATCAAGACCTCATGTTTGTTGTCCAGCTACCTTTTCTTACATAAGCTGAGGAAAGTGCTCCTATCTTGTATCAAGCCCCCGCACACACAAACACCCCCCCCCCCTTGGAAATGAATAAACCTAGTCTTGTATCAAGCCCCTGTACACACATACATCCCCCCACCTTGAATATGACCATCCATGGGGAAAACTTACTTAGGTCAACTTGTATCAAGCCCCTGTATAGCATACTTTTTGTTTAGGACCCTCCATACAAATATTGGGAAATAAATGGATGAAGGACCAGACATTCAATGTAAAACTACACTGAAAACTTTCATTTACTTGTCTAAAATTGTTACATTAATGAAGAAATGGCAGCATTTGGCGGGCTCACATGGAAAAAAGTGGATTTCTTCTAAACAAGATAAAAATGGGTGCTTGGACGAATGGTTAAATTCCCGCATTGGACCCATTCGAAATGCAATTGACGAACAATTTGGTTCGGACGAATGACAAATACATTTGTCCATACATTTTTGATGGATGGACAGACAGACAGTCAGACATACAGATGAAAGATATAGGAATGATCAAAGTTTTCATTTTTTATTAGCAGTCAGCAGCAGGTGTAGGAGAGGAAGAAAATACCTTCCTACACTCCCCTGTCTTCATGGACTTATATTTCTTGATTAAGAGCATCAAAGTTAGAAATCATTGTCTTGTTACCTTCGAAACGACTTTATTATTCATAAGACTGAATGTACTTTTATTGCTTTCTTTTATTAGTTTACGGTACTTTGAACTGCAACAGATATTTCATATCGATATGTTTTTTAAGAAGTAATCACTTAAGATTGCAAGTAAATCAGGATCTCTGCAACATCTTAATACCTGTAACATAAATCGAGATGAATACTTCAACTGAAACCCATCATAAGAAGGGAAAGTGACACGCTTACTGGATATCTAAAGGATCGGTGTCAATATGGCTTTTGAAATACATGTACACTTCATAATGTTATAAACTAGATTAAGATAGATGTTATCAAAGAAATTAATCTTAGATTGTTTTCCCTATAGACACCTCTCCTTTGTAGAAAGAAAAAGTGACACGTTTACCAAATATCTAAAGGATGGGTGTCAATAGGCAGCTAATATGGTTTCTGAAACACACTTAATAATTTAATAAATTAGGTTACAATAGATGTTCTCAAAGAAATTAATATTGGGTTCTAACAGTTAAAATATGAGGTATCCTTATAGACACTTCTCTGTAGAAGAAAAACGTGACACCCTTATTATATACTTTAAATCTAAAGGATGGGTGTCAATAGGCAATCAATATGGTCTTGGAAAAATGTACACTTCATAATGTAATAAGCTAGATTACAATAGATGTTCACAAATAAATTAATATTGGATTGTTATGTTTGAAATATGAGGTGTCCTTATAGACATCCCTCCTTTGTAGAAGAAAAATGTGACATGTTTACCCAATATCTAAAGGATGGGTGTCAATAGGCAACCGATATGGTTTTTGAAATACACTTCATTATCTAATAAACTATGTTACAATTGATGTTCTCAAAGAAATTAATTTTGGATTGTTACAGTTGAAATATGATTGTCCTTATAGACACCTCTCCTTTCTGATTTGGTTTTGGGCATGCTAGGTAAATTACATGGTGACCATTTAAAATTTTTACCTTAATGATTTACGCAAGGGTAGAATTAAATGTATTACAGATTTGATGATTATTGTAAAATCGCCAAACATGAATTGTGGGTAGTGAATCTCATTCAGCGAACATTGAACATAGTACTTAGGTTATTTCAGAGAGAAAATATTATTGTGTATTAATAGATGTAAGGCTAATTAATGTTACAACAGAGCAAAGCGTATGAACTTGAATGAAATCAAAGCGAGTAAACAAAGGCTTACTGATGTTAATAAAGCTTTAAATATATCATTTGGTGAATGCCTGCTGCAAAACAGTCAATAAAAAGAATCTGTATTGACGTTAAATGAATAACATACGGTATAATGGTAAAGTTGAAAAGAAACTGATTTGTGCAAATACAAATATGCGAGGCGTAACTGTGATCTAAAAATTAAGGGAGGCAAATTTAAATAGGTGAGACAAATCTAAATAGGTGAGGCAAATTTAAATAGGTGAGATAAATCTAAATAGGTGAGGCAAATCTAAATAGGTGAGGCAAATCTAAATAGGTGAGACAAATCTAAATAGGTGAGGCAAATCTAAATAGGTGAGACAAATCTAAATAGGTGAGGCAAATCTAAATAGGTGAGGCAAATCTAAATAGGTGAGCCAAAAATTGAGTTAGATGAAGCATTATATTATCACTAGCCTTTATTTTTCATAGTTTTTATTAAAAAATGTTTGATTTCATATATCTTTCTGTAAAATTTTGAAGAGACGGCTGCCTGCATCATGCTTGGCTACACCCATGAAAAAGTATTGTTGGTATGATAAAATGTTGAGAGAGGAATGTAGTGTATAATACAATTCAAATATACATGTATGTTATTAAATCTCTAGTTCTTCACATTAAGGTGAAATCGTGTGAAATGAGCAGGAAAAAGATGACATTTTAATCCAGTTTGTTTACAATTTTTCAACTTCTGAATTCATATTCATTCCGAGTGTAATTCAAGACTTTTGTTGACTTATCACTTATCAGGCTTTAGAATAACTATCAGCATAACACACATCATCATCCATTATTAAGAATCAATTTATAAAACCCAATTATATCAGATTCCGGATACAAAATGCCCTCAATTTTTAATGTGTTATTACTTTTGCTTATAAAGATATATTTTGCTTATAAATCATATGTGTTGAAGCAATTTCATAAACAACTACATGAATATTGGTTTGGCATGACATTTATCATGTCACCATCACAAGTGGTGAGATATTGGTATTATTCTCTAACTTTTTTGTGAACAGTGTTCGGCAGTTGGTGTTTGGGGTCTGGTGTTTGGCAGTTGGTGTTCGGTGGTCAGCATCTGTAACAAATGACAGGTGGTGATATTTTGCGTGTAAACTATTAATCAAGACTAATTAGACAATTACAAGAACAAGGTATAAGATTTTACAGATAATATATTTAAAATTCACATTTCACAATATTTTGTATTGGACATTAATTTTCTCATTCAGATACATCTTCACTCCCTAATTATACCTACCTTCATCCTTGGCTCCCATTGTCTTCCTTTTGGAAAGATATATATTGGATAAATCAAGATGTAATAACTCCTCAATAAAAAGAAATTAATGAATATTATGTAAAAGCATGTGATCAAGCTGCCAGTTTTTTAAAATTTATTTTTGTTATTATGAAATATTTATTTCCTAATGTATATCAATTATCATTTAAATCATCAATTAATTAATATACAGAAGATTGCAAGATACATATACACTGCTATAGATAAATAAACAAGAGGAAGGAATAACCCAGAATTCTAAGATGAACCTCTCTTCATTTAAAGATATACCTAGAGGTTGAAAATATGTTATCTTTGAGTTCTGGGTTCTTTCTCCTCTTATGAGTAACAGTCTGATTGATGGATTATAAACAAGGGCATCGAAATTACATATTTAACTTGGTGGTGCACATATGTGTGAAATAGAGGAAATGGGAATATGCATTGATTAAATTTACTTGGATAAACAATATATAATTCGATAAATAACAATAAAAAATTTAATCCATAATGTTCAAGATTGACCAAAGGATGTAAAAACATTTGCTAAACCACTTTTAATTAATTATGTCATTTTATTATCATCATTAGTTGATAAAGTTAGCAAAACAAAATATTTCAAATTAATCAATAAACATGTAGAAATGAAAAACATTAATGTGTCAGGAGTTAAACTGTAAAGCAACATTTCTGCAGCTGGGTGTCAAGTTAAAACCCATTCCAAGACTTGATTCGATGAAAGAATCAAATAATCCTGTATCAATTACAAAATAGAAGGACTGACATTAAGTAGATAGTGATAAAAGTCCAATTCATTCTTAGCTGGAGTCAGTCGTCACAATTAATCGTCACTGGCTTGCTTGGCGGAGGTAAGAACTATTGATAAAATATTAACACTACACTTAAAGGGCTTCACTAAATGAAATAATAAAAAATTATCATCATTATTGGTGATAAATCAAGGTTTGCACAAGAAATCAACGTCAAGATCTAGACAATGTTATATTACAAGGATTAGGATCAATCCACGTTTGTAGTTGTTGAAAACACACTGGAAACATGATTGGGAACTGGAGCGAAGGAAAAATACTTGTAAGTTTTTGTATAGCTTTTGTATGGAACATTGGGTTTGTTACAACACAGACAACCACAACTAATTGTACAACAGGAGAAATAATAGTCAGTGATTGGGACCCTGATATCGTCAAAGATTACGATGGAGACCCACCTGCGTATAAAGAAACGTGGGACGTTGCCCTCAAAGTGACATTCTACACCATTGCTATGGTGTTGGCGATTCCAGGGAACATTGTCGTAATCATAATCATAGCCAAGAGCAAGCGAATGCGGACAATGACAAACTTGTTTTTGGTGAATCTTTCAATATCTGACCTAATGGTGGCGCTGGTGTGTATGTGGGCACATATGGGGGTAGGGATTGCCCCAGAGTGGCCATTTGGGTCATTTGTCTGCAAGTTCAACTACTTTTGGCAAGGTTAGTATTATATTTCCTTGAACTGGTATATTTAGATGTACAATGTACATTTATTTTTTTATTTTTGATATAACTACATATAGACCTGTAGACCTAATATTATCAATGTTTTCTATAGAGTTAATTACCACTTGTGCATATAAAACGAATAATTCAAATTGAAAGATAAAATACATTGTTCAACTTCATTAAATATTGGTTAACTACTGCCCTGTTTGATTGTTATTGTTTGGGAGTATTTTCAATTTCTTTTGTAAAAGGACACTCCCCTCAATAAACTTGGCATCCAGTAGTCTTCATTTGATAGCGTGTTAAATCATGTTAATATTTGAATCTTTGTTTTATTCCTTTAATACAATAGTTTGGGAATTTATGGCAAATTTGATGAATTTTCAAAATCACCGATCAAAAACAGGCTTTAATATGTGATTCAAAAGGGGACTTCCAGTTGCCAAACTTATGGAGGGGAGTGTATCTGGTCAGTAAGGGTCAACAGAGATTAATACAGAAAAGTATAACTAAACTTTTTGTGGGGAGTGTACATCGCTTAATGTCTTTGCTTGTTTGTTATTTTTAATGTTAAAGTGGCAGGAAATTTTTGTTGGAAGCAGTTTTCCAAAAACATGCCTGTATAATCTTGTATTATCTATAATTATTAAGATTTCTGAATAAATGTGAAAGTTGAAAATTCATAATGCAGGAATGTCCAAAGTCACTAAAAAAGGTGACATCTTCTTTTTAATTTTTGCCAGATAAAAACTTCATAAATCAAAAGATTATTTCTGGGTAAAGTCAGAATTGATTGACTGTTTTGAAAATAGATACAACATGAAATGTTGTGAGCCAAATATATTGTAAAGTTGTGACAATAAAGAGTTACCGTGAACTTGTTTCTTATTTTCATTGCCACTTTACTGTTACAGCAAATAATTAAAAGCTAGACATCCATAATCAAAGGCTAGACATGCATAACAAATAAGCAAGTTTCCATTATCTGTTTTTAATATCTAACAAAAAAACATCTGATTCAAAGTCATTAAGGGATATCGTTTTTTGCAATAAATGTTAAATATGATGTTTCCAAGATAAATGAGTTCATTAACATTAAACAAAGATTTGCTGGAAATAAATAGTTTCCTGTGGTTTGATCTCTGGCAATGACATACCTTGACTAATCCTTAACATTTTTCTTATAGCCATAGAAACCGAATCACACTTTAATTCCAGTATTTGAGAAAGTCATTTATCATACGATATATTATGCTTTTGTCCACTTAGATGACAACCAACGCAGTTTTTTGATTTGTTGTGTACACAAAAGAATTTTTTGAGATGGAAAAGAGAAAGAGTTTGTGCTAACACCATAACAACTGAGCTTTTAAAACTAAATGACGACATCGCTGCCCACTTTGTGATATTGGTATCCAGAACCTTTTCAAGGACATAGAGTTGAAATCATTATTTCAAATTCATTCAACAAGTTTGCACTTCAAGTTTCATTTGATCTTATTTTATGAGAAGCATGGTAATGAATGTTAATTTGTATTCTTGGTTCAATAGCATCGTTACTTTTGAGGGGTTGATTTTATTTTATGTGGCGAACAACGATGAATGTTAATTCATATTCACAATTCAACAGACCATGATTTCCAGTATTTCAATATGACAAATTTGAATTCTACATCTGAGTGATTCCAATTAAGATAGTTATACATCCCAAAGGCAATAAATTCTATATAATTCATATAAAAATGTTCATGACAAAAAAATATGGTAGTTGTCCCTTAACGCTATAAAACTTTTGATCCAGATGCAATAGCTTGAAGTTTTTTGCAAAATATAACTACCTTTATATAATTCATCACTAGGTTTGTTGACTTTTAAATGCTTGTGTATATATGCCCTGATTTCTACCAATTACAATTTCACATTTTCCATTTCAACATATTTTCTCCCAAAAATGATAAACTCATAAAGTAAATTCCTGAAATGTGTTATTTGAAGAACAGAAGACAATTAAACAAATTTTCTTTTGCATTGCCTATGTGGTATGCTCTTAATTATGAAATATTATGAAGATCATTTAGATGCAAAGCCATTAGAGCCATTCACATATCCATAGATAAGTTCAAAGTGTCATCGATGCACATCATTCAATAATTTCACCGAATCGATGCAGCATAAATACTAAATAACATCAATGTCCGACAACATCTCATGAAAGGATAATGTTCAAAAGACATTTATTCCATTGAAGAGCCAATTTATTATCTAACGTTCTACAATATGAAACAACATGTATCCTTAGATAAGCCAGGTCTCATTCATCATTTTTCTTTTTTTTCATCATTTTTCATCAAAACTAAAAGTTGTTAAACTGTGGAAACAAACTATATTCTCTTGATATTGATATGGGATAGGGTTATTGATCTATCTGAAAAAATAAAAAGCTCAAAAACTGAGAAATACAAAAAACAAGTACAGTGTACAGCAAAACTGGTGAACGTGAATACCTCTTTAGGGTGAACATGTCAAATTAAATTGAACAATTTTCAGTTCAGTATTAGACATACGTATTTAAGACATACCATTGACTCTCATGTAAAACCTTTTAATTCGACCATCTCCTAATGTGAATATTTTCAGTCATTTAAAACAGTGTTCATGTTTGAGAAGTTTAACTGTAATAATAGGAAATTCAAATATGAAAGAGAAACAACTTTACATTTTGGCATGTCTAAAGGCCTCCAAGGAGGATTGGCTCCAAAACTCCAAAAATCCAAAACTCACAAGAAATGATGGAGATATTGGTTCGAATCTTTTGGACTGTTTATTTTGAATTCATAGTCGGTTATAATTTCAGAAAATAACAACATTTAGACATTTTCATTGTTGGAAAATATCGAGTTTCGATCCTGGGAGCCAATCCTCCTCAAATATTCTCTAAAGTTACTACATGGCAGATTACTCTTTACATCATAACAAAACATAATGTGATACAGAATCAGATATAAATATTGTATACTGATTCTATCTATTCAGTTAAACAGAAGAGATGTGCATTATAACATGTTAATTTCTTTTTCTCTATCCAAGTATATAAATTATTCAACAAGTTGCGCTCAATTTCCAATTCCAGTTGTGAGCCACATTTAAAGAGTTCTATCCTGTCATATTTATTGCTAAAATTGAATTTTGTTTTCATTTATGTAGTATATTTTGTTTTGTTCTGGTTTTACCCCTGTCATCATATTCCGCAAAAAAAGCTGTTCCAATATGTAAAAATCCTTAAATTCGTTAATAAAGTCAGATCTAATCATAACAAAAATATTTATGATGGATTCTACTTTGTCCAGATTTTATGATAGGAAGTTACATATTAACTAAACTGGTCTTTAAAATGACAACACACAAGCTCAGAGAAATCCATATTTTATTCATTAGACGTAATATTTATTAACTTCATTTCATATCTTGTTAATTCTAATGGAATAATCCAATGTTCATTCATCGATTTTCACAGGTAAATCATATTTCTATTTTTTTCTTTTGCACAATGAATATATGTGTTGTACTCCTTTACATTAGGGCACGTCTAGGAAATATTGCCTCAAAATTATGACAGCAGCTTGGTAATTGCCCCATATGCCATGAAATACAACATTGTTGAGAGTGGTTTGTTTGGGATTCTGGATACATTAATCCACAACATTAATAAATGACTTAAGAGTTAGTTTGTATATCAATTTATGAATGATACTATTATTCTCAGAATATTCTAAAATATGCATTTATTTATAGATAAATAGAGGTTATTTACAGGGAGGGATTTTTGAGATGATTTTTTTACATATCAGTTATATTCCCCTGCTGTTATTCACCAGGAAATAAGAGTAACATGGTTTAAAAATGATATCTTGCTTGTAAGAATTGCTCCTTGTTGTCAAGGTACTCAAAAACCTAACTACAACCTCGCCTCATTAAATATTCATTTGATAATGTATCAAATATGCATGATTCAAAAATAAATTGTTGACAAATCATTTATTGCATATTGACCAGCAGGAACAGAATGACATTTCACGTAGTATGAAGGTCGATTACTGTAAATAACTTGGACTATACTCTAGCATGTTAGCCTAGAGTGCACTGGTTAAAGGCCCCATGAAAAGTTTAAGCTACTTCACTCAACATGCTCAATGTAATCGTCAAGATATGTGAAATTCTTTTAATCGAAAAATCAAAAGATTATCCCTAAATAATGGATGGACTTTAAGAGAATTTGGATGTTATGGAATATTGAGAGCAAAACATATTGTAACAGTATGACATTTTTTAGTCTTTTGTTAACGTCTCTATATTTTGTACTCCTTTTATTATTAACGCTGACATTAATGCTAAATTGAACATCCATTAATGAGCTTTTCACAAAAAATAACTTCTCAAATCAATACACTGTGATTCCCTGGGCATTATAAAATTGAAAAATATTAGCATTAAATAGATAGACAGCAAACAAATGAGAAAATGTGACGGTGCTTCCACTACATTAATAAATTACTAGAGGGTTAATGAGAAAACGATTATAATACAAGAGATAATGGGAGGAGAGATAACAATTATCCACTACTTACACTCTATCAATAAAACCATTGCCGTGACAACGTAATAATAAAAATACCACCAGGTTAAGATACCCAGAGATAAAAATATTTATCTTTTAGAGTGAATTATTCATAAAACTATACACATTTTTTACATAAACCTGGGAAGAAATTATAAATATGTTTTAATAAATTGAAAAGGTGATTTTTATGTTTCACGTTATACTTCCAAAGAGGGTGTAAAAGAGCCCCATTAAATGGGCAACTTCAATCAACTAAAGAGCCCCATTAAATGGGCAACTTCACTCAACTAAAGAGCCCCATTAAATGGGCAACTTCACTCAACTAAAGAGCCCCATTAAATGGGCAACTTCACTCAACTAAAGAGCCCCATTAAATGGGCAACTTCACTCAACCATCAGACATGATCAAGATTGGATCGAGGGAATATACCTGAAATATGAATATTCCAGAAGGGAAATATTCTCTATCAACAATTATTTTATGTTGTATCCTGGGATGTTTTATGGTGTTGACTGTTTTATTCAGAATCAAATAGGACAGCTTAATGGAATTTCATAGTCAGATATCAGTGAAAGAATCTCCAATTTATATTCTTCAGTCTAGTCGTTTATTATTCACTACAACAGATACCTTTTAGCCCAAAACCTTACAAAACACTAGATACCTACCAATGAGCTGAAATACTAAACCATAATGAAATAATCATTTTGTAATCTGATAAACCTCCATAGAAATCATCGATAAACTCCTTAATTGTCCATTACGTAAAAATGAAAGTAATGTTATGGCAAACAGAATTAATGAAAATGATTTGATTCATGTTATTGCATCAAGTGCCAAATGATGGGAAAGATAAATATTACTGCAAATACGGTTTTAATGGAATGATTGAAGTTGTTTGGAAGAAAAGAAGAGGAAAATGCTTGAAGTTGTAAAAGAAAAGAATGGGGAAATGTTTGAAGTTCATACTGAAGAAAACAATGGGAAAATGTTTGAAAATGATATGGAAGAAAATTATGGGGAAAGGTTTGAAATATATGGAAAAAGGAATGGGAAAATGTTTGAAGTTGTCATCGAAAACAAAGATGGGAAATGTTTGAAGTTGTCATGCAAGAGAAGGATGGTAAAATGTTTGAAGTTATTATGGAAGAAAACAATGGTAAAATGTTTGAAGTTGTTAGGGAAGAAAAATGGTAAAATGTTTTTAAGTTGGCTTGGAAGAAAAGAATGGTAAAATGCTTGAAATTGTTATGAAAGAAAAAATGGTAAAATATTTTTTTTAAGTTGTCATGGAAGAAAGAATGGGAAAATGTTTGAAGTTGTCATAGAAGAAAAAAAGTTGGGAAAATGTTTGAATTTGTCATTGAAGAGACGGAGAAAATGTTTGAAGTTGTTTTCAAAGAGAAGGACTTGAAAGTGTTTTTCAAAATATCACAAACAAAATACATTTCCACACTGGACATAACAATTTCTCTCTGACTCTGACCTTGGACTATTGTAAATTACTAATGGATCAAATATTTCCAGCGTCATCAAGAACTGCCCTTGAATCTTGTCAATGACCAATGAAGTAGTTCTGGAAACATTACTTAATTCCTGCTAATGGTAACCAAGAAATAGTCACCAGAGTGGCAGTTTACCCACTTAGACTTGTCACATATTTTGAATCTGGTACAACGTTTTCCAATCACGTATCACTTTAACTACCACTGTAGTTAATATTAAAATCAACACATCGAGTGAGTGTCATACCTTATAACAGACATTATATTGCATAATATTGGATAACAATCTTATCTGAACTCTTAAAGGATTTTCCATTAATCTTTTTCATTAGCTTCATCATTTTTCTACTCTGCTTATTATTGGATTCCGAACATGCTTTTATGACATAATTTCTAAAGGTTGTAGTCATGTTCTTTCTACTTACGTAATTGACTTAACTCGGCTACCCTAGTATTCGGATGATTAATAGTTGACTAAATTAGTTTCATAGAAGACAAATTCCAGCGAAATATTATCCTCACGTTGGTAGGTCATCCATCATATCAAATATTAAAGGAAAGGGAAGGTAGAACTCAGCATCAAAGCTAAGAGTATTTCAACCTTTCTGAGAAAAAAATTCTACTTCATTACCAGATCACTTAGTACTGTTAAATCAATTTTGACGTATAGCGTGTCTTTTGTAATCAATAATAACTGAAACTTGATTCATGGCCGAAGGGTGACTGTTATGCATTCTTTAATTAAATATCATTGCAGCAGGAAATGTTTACGAAAATTTTCTTCATTCTTATATTTTAAGTAAATACTTAATCCAGAAACAAATACATGAAATATCAACTAGTTATGCACATCTGTAATATAATTTTTCTAATGAATAGAGAAAGCCACAAATATTCAAATGAATTTAATTAAGAATCAAAAACCATTTGATATAAATTGCTTTTATCATTTCAGTAATTGCTGTAACATCTAGCGTGCTGACGTTGACCTTAATTTCTGGAGACCGTTTCTTTGCTATAGTATTTCCCTTGAAAGCAAGAATGACAGAAAAACGGGCTGTATTCTTAATCATCACAACGTGGATCATATCTATTGCTGTGGCAACCCCGCATCTGTTCTCCAGGAGAATGTTCCAGTTGAATTGGAAGAACCGAGTGGAGACATGGTGCACAGAAGACTGGCCAAAGGTTGCCCTCGGGAAAATTGATGGTACATGTAAGTGGGACCAACCACAAAGGAGGATATACTACACATGTTTTGTAGTGTTGATGTACTTCATACCTGTCATTGTAATGATAGTGGCATATACCATCATTGTATATGCCCTGAATAAGAAGAAACCAGGAGAACAAACACGTAGATTGATCACACAACACGAGACTGCACGAAAAAAGGTAATGCTACAAAGATAAAGTACAATCAGTTAGATTTATTTTATGTGCTTTCATTACAAGAATTTGGAAACAATATTTTCCAAAATTGTTATTTATTGCAAGGTTCATTGTAGTCTGAAGCATTTTCCTATTTACAACAAGGAAACATTAATTGTTTGCATTCATCTAACTGAATACGATGTAATATAAGAAACCTCAAGAGCCTAATCTTTTTCTATAACTTATTGATCAATTTCTTTTTATCAAAAGCCTACGTTTCAAGCTACAGTATGGTACCAAATGCCACATCCATACCCATTTCAAAGTCGCACAAGTGCCACATATTAACGAAATTTACAAGCCACGTTCATATCCATTTTAAAGTCTCACAAGTGCCACATATTACCGAAATTTACAAGCCACATTCATATCCATTTAAAAGTCTCACAAGAACAACATATATTCGAAATTTATAAGGCAAATCCATATCCATTTCAAAGTCTCACAAGTGCCACATATTATTCGAAATGTATAAGGTAAATCCATACCCATTTCAAAGTCTCACAAGTGCCACATATTATTCGAAATTTATGAGCCATATTCATACCCATTTCAAAGTCTCACAAGTGCCACATATTCTTCGAAACTTATAAGCCACATTCATATCCATTTAAAAGTCTCACAAGAACAACATATTATTAGAAATTTATAAGGCAAATCCATATCCATTTCAAAGTCTCACAAGTGCCACATATTATTTGAAATTTATGAGCCATATTCATACCCATTTCAAAGTCTCACAAGTGCCACATATTCTTCGAAATTTATAAGCAACATTCATACCAATTTCAAAGTCACACAAGTGCCATATATTATTCGAAATTTATAAGTCAAATCCATACCCATTTCAAAGTCTCACAAGTGTCACATATTATTCAAAATTTATAAGCCACATTCATAGCCATTTCAAAGTCTCACAAGTTCCACATATTATTCAAAATTTATAAGCCATATTCATACCCTTTTCAAAGTCTCACAAGTGCCACATATTATTCGAAATTTATAAGCCACATTCATACCCATTTCAAAGTCACACAAGTGCCACATATTATTCAAAATTTATAAGCCACATTTATACCCATTTCAAAGTCTCACAAGTGCCACATATTATTCAAAATTTATAAGCCTTATTCATACCCATTTCAAAGTCTCACAAGTGCCACGTATATATTATTCAAAATTTATAAGCCACATTCATACCAATTTCAAAGTCTCACAAGTGCCACATATTATTCGAAATTCACAAGCCACATTCATACCCATTTCAAAGTCTCACAAGTGCAACATATTATTCGAAATTTATAAGCCACATTCATGCCCATTTCAAAGTCACACAAGTGCCACATATTATTCAAAATTCATAAGCCACATTCATACCCATTTCAAAGTCTCACAAGTGCCACATATTATTTGAAATTTATAAGCCACATTCATGCCCATTTCAAAGTCACACAAGTGCCACATATTATTCAAAATTCATAAGCCACATTCATGCCCATTTCAAAGTCACACAAGTGCCACATATTATTCAAAATTCATAAGCCACATTCATACCAATTTCAAAGTCTCACAAGTGCCACATATTATTCGAAATTCATAAGCCACATTCATACCCATTTCAAAGTCTCACAAGTGCAACATATTATTCGAAATTTATAAGCCACATTCATGCCCATTTCAAAGTCACACAAGTGCCACATATTATTCAAAATTCATAAGCCACATTCATACCCATTTCAAAGTCTCACAAGTGCCACATATTATTTGAAATTTATGAGCCATATTCATGCCCATTTCAAAGTCACACAAGTGCCACATATTATTCAAAATTCATAAGCCACATTCATACCCATATCAAAGTCTCACAAGTGCAACATATTATTCGAAATTTATAAGCCACATTCATGCCCATTTCAAAGTCACACAAGTGCCACATATTATTCAAAATTCATAAGCCACATTCATACCCATTTCAAAGTCTCACAAATGCAACATATTATTCGAAATTTATAAGCCACATTCATGCCCATTTCAAAGTCACACAAGTGCCACATATTATTCAAAATTCATAAGCCACATTCATACCCATATCAAAGTCTCACAAGTGCCACATATTATTCAAAATTCATAAGCCAAATCCATACCCATTTCAAAGTCTCACAAGTGCCACATATTATTCGAAATTCATAAGCCACATTCATACCCATTTCAAAGTCTCACAAGTGCAACATATTATTCGAAATTTATAAGCCACATTCATGCCCATTTCAAAGTCACACAAGTGCCACATATTATTCGAAATTCATAAGCCACATTCATACCCATTTCAAAGTCTCACAAGTGCCACATATTATTTGAAATTTATAAGCCACATTCATACCCATATCAAAGTCTCACAAGTGCCACATATTATTCAAAATTCATAAGCCAAATCCATACCCATTTCAAAGTCTCACCAGTGCCACATAATTCTCAATTGAAAATATGATATTAATTTTATTTCTTAATATTTTTGAAGTTTTAATACAGCAATATTTACATATAAACAAATGAAACAGGTGTGAAGAACATCCCAAAATTAATGAACTGCCATCTATCCGAGTCCTGGCTCCCATTGCTTACTAAATGCTTATAACATTTCTATGTGCGACTATGTCATTTGCTAGCTCTATGTTTTTATGAATTATCAAAAGCCTTTATGTATAGATTAATTGCAAGCTCAAAGTCTATGCTAATTTAAATATTCAATTTATTAAATTATCACTTCAGTATATAACGATAATGTAGTGTTAGAACTGAACCATATTGAACAGTTGAAATTCATTTTCAAAAATTGAAAAATTCTGCCTTTTGTAAACAACAATGATTGATCAATTTAGAGTTAAAATTAATGTTTATTAAAACCAACATGAGTAAGCATCATTAATCTTGATGTGACCTTAAGTAAACAATAGATCCTTGGCTCAGTTTGATAGATTTAATACACACAATCCTTGACTTGAACCATAAGTCACAGTGTGGGCACCTAATTGGGGAGATATCACCATTCATATAGAAAGAATGGTTTTCAGTGACAATCACAATAGGGGGCATCGAGGGGGAAATAACCATAAAGAAAAGAATGGTTGTCAATGACAATCACAATAGGGGGCATTGAGGGGAAAATAACCATACAGAAAGAATGGTTGTTAGTGACAATCAAAATAGGAGCATCGAGGGAGAACTAACCATATAGAAAGAATGGTTTTCAGTGAGAGTCATAACAGGGGGCATTGAGGGGGAAATAACCATATAGAAAGAATGTTTTTCAGTGACAATCACAATAGGGAGCATCTAAGGGGAAATAACCATATAGAAATAATGGTTTTCAGTGACAATCACAATAGGGGGCATAGAGGGGGAAATATCACCATATAGAATTCGAAAGAATGGTTTTCAGTGACAATCCCAAAAGGGGGCATCAAAGGGGGAAATAACCATATAGAAAGAATGGTTTTCAGTGACAATCACAATAGGGTTAATATAGTAAATTAACAGCCATGGCAAAAATGGCAGCAATTTTTCAAAATGGCCACTTTCTACCAAAAATGTCATTAGACAGTGTGCCATGGTTATAGTATTCACATACCAAATATGAACAAAATCGCTCCACTACTTTTCGAGTTATAGTAAAATACATTAAAATGGTGGCCATTTTTCAAAATGGCCGCCTTCTACCAAAAGTGTCATTAGACAGTGTGCCATGCTTATAGTATTCACATACCAAATAAAAATGAACAAAATCGCTCCACTACTTTTCCAGTTACAGCAAAGATCGAAAAATAACGAGTAAATGCCAACATTTTTCAAGATGGCTGCCATGTGCTTCTTTAATATCTACATTTCTAGCTTTATTAATGTCTTATATCATTTTTTTACATTTAAAACATATTGCTATTACAGTTTTACATGTTGCACCTAAATTACTGTAAAATCGGCACTAAAATGGCCGCTCATTTAAAAATTTTGAAAATCGCCTTTCGAGCAGAACTTCTACCCCCATAGGGTATATGTATACAAAATATGAACAAAATCGGGCCAACTTAACAAATATGCAACTTAACAAAAGCAATATCAAAGTCAGTCCATTTATGTCAAAAAAGAAATAATTTTATGATAAAGTAAATGCAGTAATCAGCAACCCTATTTCAGGATGCCTCAATAACCTAAACATCTTGACATAACAGAAATTAACTATTAATAAGAACATCTTTTTTCTGAAATGCAATATATTATGTAACAATAACTAGAATGACATTTTCTCTATTTCCGAGAGGATGTTAGAATCTTCAGTGTCTTTGTTGTCATAATTGCATATGTTCCATAAAAAAGATGTACATCATTGAGGGTATGCAGCATTTCTAAAAACATTTAAAGGTGCAATAAAATCTAAAGATGAGTTTAAATTAACATTTTAAAAATTGTTACATTTTCTAACATTTTTTGCTTTCAACATTCCATAAGTACAAGGTATCACAATGCATTTAACATGCAAATTTTCAATCTATGCTTTGCTGCAACTTTTATGAGATTGTTGGCCATTGTTGGTTGGAATCCATGAGGTATCTTTCATGATTATTTCAACAAACATCTTCAAAAGTTAATTTTATCATAAAGGACCAGGTATGGTATGGCAAATGATTTTAGACATTCATATATTTTACCATGATTATATTTTCTCCATAAACATGATATTTCTCATCAAAATAATATGTCTATCCACATAAATTTCTTCAATTTCTGTGGGGTCATATATCTATTTAATGAAAAATATTCATTCAAAGTATTCATGGTCAGTATATACTTAAGGTCATAGGTATGACTGTCTTAAATCATTTCCCAAGCCAAACCTGGTCTTTAATGAAAAAGTAACTTAATCAGCATGAAATTAAATTTTATTGACATGCTTTAAATTGGCTTCTTCAGTTGGTCAACCTACCCTGACAGTAGAAACATTGACATAAGACACATTCAATTAATCATATCCTGGATAGAATATAAACTAAATATTTGTAAAATTATGATTCATGAATAAAAGCTGATTTAAATAGAAATAGTTTATCTGATTCCTGTCATAACAGACATATGCCATTGCAAATGTCTGGCTGTAATCCTTTAATAATCCTAGTTGAGACTACTGACAATATTTGAACAAATTAATTTTTGAATTTTTTTACATACTTGACACAAAAAAGCTGCCATAACTAATAACTTCATTGGATTTCGAAATGTTGCTCTTTGTTTCTTATAACATGCTTCGGTACAAGTTTTATTCTGCATGTTTCAGCTAACGCTACATTTTGTCCATAAAATCAAACTGAAAAATAAAAATCATAAATTGTACAGTACTTATTTATTTTTAGGTAATTTATTTTGCTATAAATGTATGTTATCTGCAATACATACGAATATATTGACTGCGTTTTAGTAATTAGAAACATTATAAAAGTCATGAGCTCATTGAAGGGCAGAAATTTATTGGAAAATTATCTTTAGACTTATCGATAACAAAAAAAAAAAACATTCATGGTTATTCAAAGAGCGTCATAAAACTATCGATCTGACTGATGAGAAATGTCATAAACATGAACAATTACATCACTGATTCCAACTTTGTTGAATTGAATGGTAACAGTGATGATGAAACCAAACGTCTCTGGAATTGACTTTTTACAATCAATATCACCGGTTGTTTCTTTGTATTGACTTAAATTGGCTTTAATATTGACAAATCACTCTTGAATCTAATTGCTTCTACAATTTGTAGCTTTCTCAACTGTAAAATGATAAAATCACATTCCCTGTTGTGTTTGCTAGCTAACATTATGGGATGAAGCGTGGGAGTTAATATGTAATAGATATCCAAAAGTATGTTCATCATTTTGTCGCATTACATACCCCTAGTACTTTACTGGGTCCCTACCCTATAACTAGTAGGTACTAGTAAATATTCAAGGTTATATTTGAGTAAACATGATATTAAAATACAACGTCACATTTGAATCTTTCTTTTATTTCATTCCTTTGGATTAAAAATAAGCTAAGACCGAGGGCAGAGATTACGGTATCCAGGGAGAGGGTGTGAGGAAATCAATCTGTCTGTAAAACCTTGATCTTCTAAAGATCTTGTACAAAAAGCATGGTAGTGTGACTCTGTTTATATTATCAGATAATTTTCTGTATTGCTTTTCATACATAAATCCTATTTTTTGTTTATCAAAATACTGACTCCCCAGGACATGATGAACACAACGAATTATTCCAAAAGTAAAATCACTTAATTGAGACATTCTATCCAGGAACTAAATCCATTACCTTAATTACAAAAATAAAATGTTCAACGATATCTTGTGTAATACACAGAATCAACAGGGATTATAGGATGGAGCCAGAACAATAATCTACGTGCAAAATTAATCATGTTGAAATCTTTGTCCTAAACCCATATTAATTAACATGAAACATTGCAAATAATTACTAATTCAAGTCAGCTCTTTGCATCAGGTTTTAGTGTCAAATGTCACGTAAACCCTTGAAGGATCTAAAATCTGTAAGGACACTTAAAGAGGCACTGACTGTTATAGTGGACAATTTCCACAACCCTAAACATTCCACATTATGATGTTTAATTCATGTTTATGTATCAATGTTCTATGTGACATTGGCCAAAATCTGAATAAAAAATAAATATCAGATGGTGTAAAAGTAAATTTGGGGATTCCTGTAATAATTCATTTAATTCCAAAGTCTTAGGTTTCAAAATGATTTTTATTTGAGATTAAAACAGTCAAATGTAATTGGATGATAAAGGTCAGGTCTTTAACCAAATAAAATCTCCTCTAATTTTACATCAATTAATTAAATCAAGCAGTAACATGTCCTTTATAAAAATTGAACATTTTATTACATTGTTAAATGTATTTAATTGCTATAGAACATGGCACCATCCATCATGATAGGTGTTACAAAAGTCATTGATTTCAGAACAGAATGACATCATATTCACGGAAAACCAATATATTCCAATAATTACCTGTGGATTTTGCACCCGTTGATCTAAACTGAAGAGGAAATTGCAAATATAAGACCCAATTATTAATACCATTCCTGTTTAAATGTTTGGATTAATTATATTTTATTAGGTTTTCATCAGAATAAGTTCCAACCACTCGATAATCTGAGGACATTGTTGATTAATGGATAGGTCGTGTCAGGTTTTTATGTCACCATTAAAAGCCCACAGTTATGATTCGGAGGAATGTATATTGAAGTAGTTTTCATAATGTTAAGCTAAGTCAAGGATAAGTGGGACAAAAGAAGCAAATGCAACAGCTCGAATGTCATAATCGATTAAATTAAATCAAATTAGTCCAATAAGCAATAAATCGCAGAGTAGTAAAACTGAATGAATTTTTACTTATTATTAGTATACAGTATGTACTGTAAATTGCTTAAGGCGACGCTATATTATATAAAAAGTACAAAAAATGACTGCCATATTTTTTTGATAAAGACACATGTTTTTAAAATCTGTTTACCTTGTATATGAATTGTGTATCTTGACTAATGAAACATGTCAAAGTTAACATCACACATAAACGCATTTTTCCAAACTATGAATTGGAGGTGCATGGATCCCCAAAGCTAGCATGAAAATGTGTGTCTGTTGCAAGGCTACTCCTTGAAACTTTCAAAAAATAGCCTCACTTCGCACTCTTCATGCTAGCTTTTAGGAGCCATACACCTCCAATTCATAGTTATGAAAAAATGCGTTTAAATGTGAGGTTTTCTTTTATGTGTCTCTTTAGTCAGGAAATGCATTCACATACAAGGAAAACAGTATACAAAATCTTCTGACTTTATCAAAAAAATATGGCCGTCATGTTTTTGTACTTTTGATTAACTTAAATGTCACCTTAATTTGGCGTCATTTAATTTTTAATTTGGCAGATTGGGCAAATTTAAAATTTTTAGCTGCTATTTAATTTGGCGGATTGACCATCGTCAATTGTATTACTAACTTCACATCTCACCACCAATAACGCAATTTTATCTCTCCTGGTATCAGGCTGGTTTATCTAAACAAGTGGGGGCTCTGTAGGTCCTCGGAAATAGTTTAAAATTGATATTTTATCCATGATTGAGTCTCAGAATTTCACCAAAGTGCAAGGTAACACATGAAAAAGGTACTGGACGAAAATCCCCAGGTATTTCATATCTAAAAATTGGCGGAGACTTAATTTGATATTAATTCTATGATAATCCATAAAACAAAACATTCGATGTGAATGAAATCTGGCGCAAATATTCTGTTTTTTTCAAAAGTGATATCTTACTTGTACTTCTGTCATTTTCGCATTTGGAATTCTGACATATTCATTAAGTCCAATCTAGACAAACTAATACAATTTCAGACAACATGGACGTTGATATCTTCAAATTGAACAATGCAGTTGTCAATCATTTCATCTTTGTGTGATTGTTCAGACTAAATGTAATTTTGAGGCTTTACTTCATACGTTTTTGGGGAGGGCCCTTATCCATGTTTTTCTTGGAATCAGATTGATTTTTTCTGTTATCCTGAGGACTTGGTCAAAACATGGAAAATGTTGTAGTATCTATGATGAGGAAATGGTCAAAGACATGTCTGCCTTCAATCATTTGCCATACCATACCTGGTCCTTTGCTTTTTAAAAATAATGATAAAATGATTGATTATGGTTTATTTGTTTAGATTTGAAATAAATACATGTAAAATCACAGATTAATTACTAATATTTATTGAGTATACAAAACAATGTTATTTATTTATAGGTTGTCCGATTATTGCTGTCTGTTCTCTTGGCATTTATTATATGCTGGACCCCTCAACAAGTGTTCCTCCTGTATGATGTCTATAGACCAGCAACAAAAGTAAGTGATATGATTGCCTACAGGGTGTAAAACAAGCCATGTTACCCCAATGATACTCCCTCCTTCTCAACTTTTACATGATGGAATATTTTGGGATTGTGACACCTTTTCAAAATAACACTTACTTGACACCCTGTAATAGCTATTACCCTATACAGGGACATAATTGCAACTATTTTCCTTCGATAAGGGAAAATGGTCATCTCTTTTGCATTCACATTCTTCAAAATAGTTCTTTGTAACCTCACAAGTAAATCTAGAATTTAACATGTTACAAGTGATTCCAATTCTAAAATCATTGACAACTGTACTGAATTAGTGAAATCAATATGTAATATTAGCGAATTAAGAAAATACAAAAATTGCATGTAGTGAATTACATATGCCTATGAGTTACCCTGTATTTGCAGTTACCCCAATGGGTGTTCAGAGTAAAGTACTGGGCGTTAGCATTGGCTTACTTCAACAGTTCTCTCAACCCCATCATATACGCTGGACTGAACAGCAACTTTAGGAAAGGCTTCATTGAGGCCATTAGATGCCGCCTTGTAGCAAAGAATGTGAAAGTTGCACCTCTAGGTATGATATACCAAATATGCTTATTTTCTGAGACTGACTAAATAGCTTTTGGACCTAGTGTATTTTTAAAGTAATTCATGGTACTTTCCCTTTGGCACTTGTGCACACATATTTACATACAAACCCAAAACATGTACAATATATTAGGTCATAAAGGATATAGAAAAGAGTTGTTGTTCACCTATTATTAATTTCAAGTATCTTTCAGTGTAGTCTATTGCTATTATATATAACAAATTGTGTTTTAAGAATATTAATTGTAAATGTTTGTATCCAAAAGGGCCAGAAAAAGTTAAACTATGCAGCCAACCAGCCATTTTTGTTATTTTACGATTTCAATAAATGGTGATAGCAAAAAACTACAAGAGTTATGGAATCAATTTTATTAGTACAATGATATTTGATGGATTTACTTTTATGAAGGTTTACAATTTGCCTTTACCTGCCTATAATTAAAGACAAACGGTGCTTATTTCTGATTCTAAATTTAACCAAAATTTTTAAAATAAGAATTCACGTATAACTTGCACCATCAATGCCATTGACATAAACCTTCTTTAATTTCTATAGGCTACAATGAATTCTTTAAATTAGGGTCATCCTAGAGACAGAGCCTTTTACAACATTTTTTTTAATCTTGACAACAAAATACTTTTACAGAAATTGTTGCATGGCTGATGAGCAGAATGAAAAATGTTCTGACTTTATAGACTATTAATTACCTTCAACCATATTTGATTTATTAACATTATAAATATCTGTGTCCTGTCAACTTATGTAATATTCCAAATCAAAAAAAAAATTGCAATTTATTCATTTATATCATAATGCTACTACTACAATACAAATGACCACTTGAATTTTAACAGTTATTTAGGAAGACATCTGAGAATATTTTAATGACCCACATCTCTAATTACCAAAGTTAACTGACATTGTTTTTGCAAAAGTGAAACAAAAACAAAAAATAAACAATAAAATCCCCCCTTGATGCCAGAAACAATAAAAAGTTCCAATGGTAATGATTCATAGAACTACCTCTTTTCATCTATTCAATTATTTATGAACACATTTAGTCTAATGCATATTAACTCCTATTCAATCAAATATTTAATACTGTGGTAATTTTGCCTAATAATTTAATTTTCCTATTGCCTAATTTTTGCCAGGTTCGGAAAATTAATGTCGGAAATATTGTCTTCATAATGTTATGCAATGGGAGGTTTCTTGTCATGAGGAATGTTAAGATTAGGAAAATGATAAAATTTGAAATCAGCGGCAACTTTAAATGGATTATAATTTTCAGATACAATACAAGGCCAGAGTCAAACACAGACACAGACAACACGTCATAATGCAGTCCAACCAATAACAAGTCAACACAATGAAAAACAAAAAGTGAAAATGGAGATTCGGACAGAGGAATGTAATACTGTTGTGCGTACTGAAACATTGATGGTAGATAAGGACATGCTGGTTGAACAACCTAATGAACATGATAACACAACTGTTAAAGAGCACCGAGAAAATAAGATATTTGAGGTGGTCATAACAGATGAACAAAACAAGACATCGTGATCTCAAAGCATTCAGGATTGCCGTCATCAGTTTTACCAACATGTGTCATAAGAAAATATGATCATCAGATGTTCCTGGCCCACCCAACTCGAGACATAGGGGAGGGATAATTGTATATAAATGTACTATAAAACCCTGCCTTAGCTAGGAATGAGAATGATGAGCTACCTCATCGCATTCTGAAAAAATGAAAATTTCTTTCTTTGTTCCCCTCTCACCATTAACTTCTTGACTACCCGTAATTTCAGAGGTGACGAGATTCCTCGTCACCTCTGAAATTACCTTGAAACCCAGCGTGACAAGGTAATCTTGTTTTAAAATATGTAGAAATGATCTCTGCCATCTAATTTTACTAAAATATGCATCCCTTGTAGTAAAATGTCAAAAGCTGGCAAAAATGAAAAATTGGTTCCAACCCAGTCTGGAATTCAAGAGGTTAAATGTATTTCCCCAAAAAACAGTGTGGGAATATAGCTTTGATAGTTAACCGAATGGATAGATCTACAATTTTTTTAGTCTGGAGAACATATGAAGGCTAATTTACAATCAACTAAATTTAGGATTCATATTACCACTAATGTTTCCCTCTATAGCATCATTATTACATCATAATATGACAACATCCCTAAGTACAAACTGTCAAGACTTTTGACTGGTCTCTGACCAATCAGAATCTCATATTTTAACTGAGGTAATAAAAATATATAAACTAATAGTCCCATACAATATGAACAAATGTGTACTGAAGAAATCCATATGACAAAACTTGACAAAAGTAGTTTTACTATAAGTAATTTTAGTATCAGTTATATATGGTACTAACTTGTACATGTACTATAAAATCAAAGTCTAAAATCTAAAGTGAACTGAATGATATTGTATATATTTTTTGTATAAACATTAAATCATGATACCTCTGAAAGTATGTCATGATGGCATGATAACTGATGTCAATAAAATTCAGGATGGCCAATTTATATTTTAAATTATATTTTAGACTTATTTTTTGATATCTACAGAAAAAATGGGTCATTGCCGTGATTTCTTTTAAAAAATTTAGGGCATAGAAAAAGATTTGGAAGTTGGTATGATAGTGTTAGAGGAGACGCTATCGTGTCTAAATTTTAGGGAAAATGTAGGGTTATATCTGAATCAACATTAGAGAATGACTCTTTCATCAAATGAAATACAGGGTGGTCAAAAAAAATAGAAACCCCGCATTTTCCTCATATCTTTGTCATTTTAAGAAATTACTCCCTGATATTTCACACATTCGTAAATCATTCAATTTCCTACCACCCTACTATATTTCATGACCATCAGACTGATAGTCACAATTTTACAGCACTTTGAACAACATGCTTCAGGTTTGGCCGCCATCGCGCTAGAGGCAAACTTGCACAGTTGTCAATGATCCAAATGCATTCCTCAGCAGGTACGGCCTGAATGATACAGATGATCTCACTGTTGAGGTCTGCAAGTGTCCTGGGGTCATTATTATACACTCTATCTCTGCCATATCCCCATAGGTAGGGACATTTTGGACGACATGTGCAGGTTGGTCTTCAGCTCAATAGTGGCCACCGGGAATGTTCTTTAAAGTGCTGTAACACGGTGACTATCAATCAGATGGTCATGAAATATGGTAGGCAGGTAGGAAATTCTTAGAATAATAAAGATATTAGGTAAAATGGTGTAAGGGTTTCCAGTTTTTTTGACCACCCTGTACATATGTAGTATCCATATAGTCTAATACTTCAACTATATTGAGGTAATTTGCTTTATTCTAAAGAAAGGAGGGAGGAATACTGGCCCAGGGTTCAGAGAAGACCCATATCTTCAATGTAAAATCATATAGAGATGACCCATCGTCACTGATTGGTCAATTGGCAGGAGGTGACATAAACAAATTTTTGAACTCAAAAGCTTTTAAAACGCTTTAAATTATATCATGTTGATTTCTGGCCTGTTTACCAATGTTACAGCTTGTTATTTCGTCAAGATGAAGAAAGATGTCATACATCGATTAAAACTTCACATTGATGTGTGGTATTCACAAACTATATGGTGAAAATTTAGGCAATGTGAGTCATCTCTAAGCTCTGGGGTTTTCCCTCCTCTTTTCTAAAGAGAAATGTTGTGGAACATAAGATCTAGATTGATAAAAGGATGGCAGTGTGCTTTGGAGGAAAGATATAAATAATAGACAAACCACACTGCCATCTTTAAATTAAACCAGTACAAGGTACTAAATTAATTGTGAGAGGCTGAAGTATAGGCTCCCAAAATGAGTACCTTGCATGGAATAAAATAACTAGATGTAGAATAACATTTCAAGAAGAGTATATGCTGTACAGTATCTATCTAGAATAAATTATACTTTGTATTTATACAACATATAGTGTTTTAAGTGGACAATTTATACAGGCTAATGTGCATCCTCAAAAAATAACCCATACATGTATGACCTTTGACAATTGAGGTTAGACTCAGGCCAGTTTTTCAAATATAACGAGACTCATGAATTTAAATTTTCTTTCACAATGTAATATTGAATTTCTTGAATCATAATTTTTTACTATATTTGAGAAATTGTCTTGTGAATGTTTAAAGAGCTGATTCAGCCCAAATCTAAGAGTTCTCATAATTACATGAAATGATATACATTGTGACATATTTTCTAATGCTTTATAGTGCATTCTTGTCAACCCTTAAATGATCAACACATTTAGAAAAACACACTTCATTCTTGACTAGACATTATGACCTAGCTTATTCTCTAAATATAACAATTTTCCAACAATACAGAAATTTCAGGTATGAGTTCAAGGTACATGTAGGTAAGAGAACATAGTAAAAATTCACCTCTCCTTCCTTATGCCTAGGTCATATTTGCCCCGATTCATCGGCCGGCGCCTGGCTGATTGCAGTATTTTGTTCAAAACTGATTTCAACTTGCTTTAAATTGACCAGACATTTTTTTAGAATCATGTACACGTTCTCAGGAGTTTACAACTGATTTCAAATATGAGATTTGTCCTTAAATTTTTAACAAAATACTCAATGGGCTGGGCACCGGCCAATGAATCGGAGCAAATGTGACTGAGGCATTAGAAAGATGGATCTGGGGTTCCAGATTATATTGAGTATACAGTTCTAGTTTGATCTGAGTATCTCGGATCCTAGAGTGTATGAAATATCTCTGAGGTTCTGAATTTTAACAGGTATAATGCAAGTTCCATATTGAATTGAGTATTGAAATTCCACATTGAGTTGAGTATTTCATTTTCATTTTGTGTGGTCCTTTTGGGTCTTACAATATTATTGTATTGAGTGCTAGTATCTCATATTGACTATCAGCAAGGTCCTAGATTGTATTGAGTATCAATGTATCAGTTCCTGTTGAGTACTTGTATCTGGTGTCTTGTTTGCAATGGGTACAGGGAAGTAATAGGCAAGGAAGCCGAGACCAGATCCATCATTATCACTGACAAATGACACCCACATGTGACGCCCTGGAATCATGGGAAATAAATCAGCATGGATGGTAAATCCTGAATCGTCGTTTCATTGCTGTTATATTTTTTGAAGGTGGTGTCTGTGGACATTAGGTACAATGTGTCTTGATATTGAAATGTGGTGATATGGATCAAGAATTTTTATATGCAACCTTTATATTTATATTGCCAAACTTCCTATTTGAGTTGTATATTGAAACTAACAAATTTTTAGTTGATATTATAAAATCTGTCAAGAATATATAGAGTGTACATGTATGTATATGAAATCTTTTCGAAATAACCTTCAAAAGACAACTTCTACTACCTACCAGAGCTTGTAAAATTTGCAGTTGGGGTCCTTGAGCCACAATATCGACCAATCAGAGGTGAGAGTTTATTCCGCCCATCTCTAATCTCAACATAATCAAACAAGCATTGCTTGGTAGGTTCCAAGTCAAACACGTCAAAAAACAGGCGGACATGTTGGTTTTTGCGAGCACTAATCTTCCAAGTACAGTCTAGAAATGAGGAATAACGTTTTGGGAATGCTGGACTTGTAATATTGCCTTCACCAGTGATCTTGTCATAACACCTATCTGTAATGAAATAATTTTACAATACAATACACTACACTACACAAAAAATTTATAAGGCTCTTATTAGATTATTGAAATACAACTGAGAGATTTTATCATCATTTTTCTAAAATCCAAATTCATGTTTTAAAACTAGGGTATACATGTATATCATAATTATAAGAAAGAAATCCCTCTACCAATAATATTAATTTGACTATCCTAAGAAGTTATTTCAGAGGTGAATTTTAAAAGCCCCTCCCCCATTGTTCTGACCTGGTTGTTTGAGTGAGGCCTCATACTTTGCTGAGAAGTATGGGAGGAAGTAGACACTGTTGGGGTCAGTGTGGAGGTGAATGGTGATTATACCAGATGATGAGCTGATGATGGGAGGTGGGTTCTTCATACCGCAGAACTTCCCCTTGGAGTCCTGAAATACATAACACAATCATAAAGAGTACAGTAAGGAAGTACAGCAAAACCTGTCTAATCCAAACACCACAGCCAAAAGTGTTCAGTTCAGATTAACATGTGTTCACATTTCAAAGTTTTCTCAGTATGTGAGTATAAGTGGGAGATAACAAAATTGTGACAGAGAGAAAGGGTTCGGATGAGAGAAGTGGATGGTCAGATATGCAGGGTTCACTGTAACGTCCAATCAGGTAATTTATCAAGTACCCGAAGCCCCATCTGGTGAACTGTGTCTATGTATGATATAAGGGGGTACATTTCAGATTATATATTACATAATTTCTCTAATAGATGGCAGTTCAGGTTCCTGTGATTTTATCGGAAAAAAGGCTGCACAAATTAATTACAAACAAAGAGAACATTGATTGTCTAATCAATGGCTTCTGTTTAACTCCATAAAATGTTTCATTTACAATATGATTTTATACAAAATACAAAGTTGAGATCTGATTGTGACTGATATATGGATATTTTTATTAGAGGACCATTCAGATATATGTTCAATAATGATTTAACTTGTTTTTCCAGAAAAAATACATACAAAAAAAACACACAAAATAGAACACTTACTTTATTTCCTACTAAGACCTCCACATAGTTCTCATTACAACCATGCTCTGAGGATACGTCAAACTTTGTGAATATCAGTGTTACTCTGTACTTGGGCTTCACTTGTATATGCCAAACACAGTCACTGTAGGGTTCCGTGGATGAGCGAATCTTACCGCGGATCTCAGAGAATGTCCCACCACAAGAATCTATATGAAAGAATGGGAATTCATAGGTAATGATGAACAGGGTGTCAAGGACTTCAGGAAAAATATGAATTTTTTGCACAGATTTTTGGAGCTTGAAGATCCAACCAGTAAATTATATGCGCTAAAATCATCCTTAAATAATCATCAATGATTAAACGTAATGCAAGGTAACAGAAAACCAAATATTTATTTTGTTCAATATGAACATAGGATACAATTACAACAGATACAAAATACCAATAAACTAGAGGGACATAAAATTCAGAGAAGTCATTCAAAATATCAACCTAAATTGAAACTAGCTTAACCTCAATAACGCAGATGCGAGTAGGTAGTTACCAGATTCACCACCAGGTGGCTCGTTCGGGTCAGATAGCATGGCGGGTATAGGAGAAAGTTCCCTTAAACTTAAATCACATCTGTTTTAATGATTCAATTTTCATATAACCCTTATGTATCTAATAGTTATGCAAACTGAAATATGTCCAGTAAAAGAAAATGTTATCTATCCAATACAAGAAAAGATATTTCACTTTTTGTGATTTTGTATCATGGGGTCTATGGGGAATCAACCCGAACAAGAAGTCACATTTTCAAAAAAAATTAAATTTTCAAAGTTGATAAACAATTTTCAAAACCATATTTTTAGATGTACTTTTACATGCAGATTTCAAATATGACATCACTTTGACTGAATTTTTAATTTTTAATGACGTAAATCAAGATTATTTCTACTCGCATCTGGGTTATTCAGGATTTCTGTCTATTTTTCTATAAATTCATATAAATATCAATAAAATTCAAGCATTCCAATACAAAGTGTCATGTAAATGAAACGACATGCTTCAACTTCCTAAATTCAGGCTGATATATTTCGATTTCTTACCTTTGAATTCAGGAGCTTTAGGAATGCATTTCCAGCCGTTTCTATGCAACATGTAACCACGGCGACACTGGCATCTGTAGCCCTGGATGTTGTTCTTGCACCAATGTTGACATTTTGTCTCCTTCAGTCTACACTCATTATAGTCTACCTACAGAATAGACCCTGGCTGAAATATCTTTTACAGAATAGACCCTGAATGAAACATCTTTTACAAAATAGACCCTGGAAGAATATCTTTCACAGAATATACCTTTGATGAAATATCTTTTACAGAATAGACCCAGGCTGACATATCTTTTACAGAATAGACCCTGGCTGAAATATCTTATACAAAATATATCTTTTACAGAATAGACCCAGGCTGACATATCTTTTACAGAATAGACCCTGGCTGAAATATCTTTTACAAAATATATCTTTTACAGAATAGACCCTGGCTTAAATATCTTTTACAGAATAGACCCTGAATCGAATATCTTTTACAGAATAGACCCTGGATGAAATATCTTTCACAGAACAGACCTTTGATGAAATAACTTTTACAGATTAGACCCTGACAGAAAAAACTTTGGACATTTTTTCAGCTAATGTGGTAGTATTTTAAAAACGAATATATAAATAATATTTAATTTCAATTTCTTTTTATATACTCTCACCTATTACATATGACATCTTCAGTTTGCTGTTGTCTGTTGATGACCACAGTATCATTGCAACTGATGTGGTTAACACCAATTCACTTGTAGTTGAGCAGTTGTGGCGTACACTACTGTACCTGAAATATACATTATAGCTGCATTGGTCAATTGTGATGTACTTATAGAGGACAATATTTAAGAAATATAGACTGAGGAGCAGGGGTAATATTGTCGAATACACCCTGCATGGCTAGGCACAAACGTTTTCTGTAACCCAAGACCAAAGGGAGTGAGGGGTTCGAAAGTTTTTGTGCCTAGCCCTAGGGGTGTATTCGACAATATTACACCTACTCTGAGCTCTATATTACAATTCGAACATGAAAATTCACCAAAATGTTTCGAATATTCATTATGACATCGCACATTACTCGTATTAGCAGAGGTATTGTTTGCGAATATACCCCTGGTGAAATGTTGACTTTGTTCACAGTTTACAGGAGGCGTGAATACAGTCATGTTCGAATGTATCTTATTGTTCCTGACATATACAATACTATTGTTGTGTATAGTATGGTAGAATTCTCCAAATGACATGATAGCTACAGATAAAGAGAGAGAACTGAGGAGAGGAGAGAATAGTGAGAGAATTGAAAACGTGAGGGATTCAGGGGAGAGTGTAGATAAGGGTAGACAAATATTAAAACTATGTATATAAACAGGGAAACCTGTTCAGTGGAGCACATCTGTAAGGGAAAAGCTTTTCTGGTTGCCAATAAACTTCATGTAAAATGAAATTCTGTTAGTGGAACATTATTTTGAGGTACCCTAGGCATTCTCCTTACAAATGTGTTACTCTGTACTCTAAAATAATTTACCTGTCTAATTTTGTTGTTTCATTTATATCATTGACACTTTTCTTTGTGCCTCTATTGCGGTTGGAGCTATCCCCGCTTGTTTTAATATAGATGTCTCCCACACAGTTCTCCCTTGTACGGTTCACTTTTCTCAGGTCAAAGGTCAACTGGATTCTCACACTGTTGTTACCTGTGATAAAAAATTGAGTATCATCTGAACAAACATTAATTTGATAATGTCAACAATAAGGCAACAAAAACCCCATTGAACATTTTCGGTAATAATGTAAGCCTTGAAATACCTCCATCTATCACCCAAGAGCACTCAACAGGGCGACTAGTTGGCACGGGGACCAGAGGAGATTCAATGTTTCCTGTTCTTGACATCTTGTAGGCGACACAGTCTAAAATAAATCAAACTTATACAATATAAGCCATACTTTTTACTTCCACAGAGTTCTTTTTAAACCTCTTGAATACCCAGAGTGACAGATATATCCGTCACAAATGAAATAAGACTGATGCCCAGAGGGACGAGAAAATCTGTCACAAAATTTTTCACAAAAATTGCTCTCATTTGAACAATTTTCATCCAATTTACACAAAAATTGTTTTAAAACGTGTAGAAATGATCTCTGCCGTCCAATTTTACTAAGCTGAGCATCTAAAGTTGTATAGGTATGTAATAAAATGTCAAAAGGTGGCAAAAAATGAAAAATTCTCTGGTTTCATGCCAATTTTAGAGCCTGGGATTCAAGAGGTTAAATTCATATATAAGACAATTTACATGCTAGCGAAATTTATATATTTTAAGGTAATTATAATGCAACATCCATGATAAAGTAATTGTACATGTGCAATATCCCATTTTGAAGAAAAGTATGATTATGTCAATGGTCATTAGGATGCATAATCTTGTACATAGTACCTTTATATCGTATGTTGTACTTCCTGTATTTATAGTCCACAAAATACTCGCTGCTGCTATATCCACTGCTACTCTCACCGGAGCCATCATCCATGGGACTTTCTAAAATATGAAGAACAAGGCATAACATTACAATATAAAGGAAAAAATTTCAAAATTTTTATGTCTTTTTTTAGACAGTTAAACAACTGTCAACTTTTCATTCAAATTTTTTTTGACAGTTTCTGTAGTACAGGGTGATCATTAAGTTTATATCTATATATTCACAGGGGAGTTCACAGCATTGAGACATCTGTCTATAGTGAACATGTTTATTTGGAAAAATTTATGTATACAACACTTGAATACAAATAAATAAAATACAATAAATAAAATGACAACATATTTGAATGTGTCTAATTGACAAGTATTCGAACTTACCCACATTATAATGAGCCAAGAAACCTTTACTCGTTATAGATGAATCACTTCGGAATCTAATCCATAAACTACGATACGATTCAATGATGCCTGGTTGGCCCTCACCACAAAATCGACCAATCAGCTTTCCCATTTCATCGATGCCTTGTCTGACTTCCACAAAGTCAAATGTGCAATTTGTTGATTTCTCGAGACTGAATTCTGTGAATTCCATTGACAGAAATTGACCTAAAATGAAAAGACAATTAAATCGTCACACTTGTTTTGGGACAAAAAACGGCAGTGTATGTACTTGTAGCTTTTAGTATCATATCATATGCTATGTATGGATTTATTACCAGTACATGTAATGATTATTTAATTTTATATAATTCCTGAAATCAATTGAATCACAATTCATGAGACCCAACACTATTAACAAAGTTACTATGGCAACTATTGAAAAAGACAACTAAGTTCAAACAATAGAAATACAATACAATACAATTTTCAGACAAGGCATTAACATGCAAAATGTCACCATCTGCCATTTGTTACAAATGCCATTCTCCACTAAAAAGTTGGAGACTACAACAATATGTCATCACTTCTGGTGGTGACATAAAAAACAACGATCCTTTAAATCTTTTAATCAAGTTACTAACCCGGCTGTATATGTATGATCCAAGTACAGTTGTGGTTCCTCAGGTAGCTTATGGGGTAGTGTGGGGTACTCAGGTTGCCATGCTTACCAGTAAGCTCTTCATAACACAGGGGCTCTGAATATTCATGTACAAATAATGATGTTTTAGCACATATTGAATTGTGTCATTGCTTCCCATGTAAGGTATTGTAACAAAGATGGCATGTTCTATCATCGTACATGGTGAACATTTTTTTCAAATCTATCTTTCTTGCAGCCTAGCTTTTGCTTATTATTTGTATACAGAAAAACTTTTATATTCAAAAACACCAATCTAATTTGAACACCTGCAAATCCAAACACTTTTGCCCAGTCTCAGTGGCATTTGGATTGGACAGATTTTTGCAGATATCATGACCAAGACAGAGTGAAAGCAGAAACAGTTTAATTTAGTTGTTTATGATACCACATGGCTCTATGTGCCTATATTACACATCACTAATGTTGATAATCCAGGGCTTCTAGTATTAAATAAGATGTAAAGCATCAACCATCTCTGAAAATATCACCTTGAATATTAAAGTTACATTATACAATACAGAGTTGTTAGTCTACTTACTTGGACAGTTGTACAGCAACCTGGCTTGAACCATATCACCAGGACTTAGTCCATCTCTCTGGCCAATCTCAACATTTTTCCTTAAAGGTTCAATGGTTGATTTACCATTTTTACTGAAGTGTAGCTGAAGAAGAAACACTAAGGCTTTATCAGCTTCAAAGTTGTAATATTTTTTCAAATATTTTTTGAGTAATATTTTTAATTGCGGTCAATCATATAGCAGTTGTAAATATAAAATCATTGTAAAATCAACATTAATATGGTTCCCATTTTGAAACCAGATATCACTTTGAAAATTTCAGAAATTCTGTCCCCATAACGCTTAAAATAATTTAATCAAGTTAATATGCGTATAAAATATGAACAGAATTGAACTCAGAAAATAACTAACCCTTCTGTAGTGCATAATGGAGTAATAGTCATACGGCTGGCTGAGAGAGTCAATCTCAAAAGAAAACTTCTTGTCAAAGTTCTCTAATTTCTCTGCAATGATGTTCTGTTTGAGGACCTTCACATATTTATCTCTATCTGGTCTAAAACATTTAATGAAATACTATATAGTACTATCCATGCATAATCAAAATGTTAATGAACGATAAAGTTAGTTGGGTTCAATAGTTTTTTATTGGATATTTTTGACTTTCAGTGCCTCAAAAGTTCATAGCAAAATAATTATGTTAAAGCAACTAATCCCAGAATCCTGTGAATTTTGCTTGTAAATTTTTCAACCTCTTGCTAAATTTTTACCATTATTGTATCAAACTTATGGAGGCGTTCTGCAGGCTGCCGCACCATCCAAAAGTCCCATACAAGCAATTTAAGTTTGGCACTAAAAATTCCCTACCTGCTATGTTCGTGCCAGAATCCAATGACGTGACCAAGTTCATGCACGACTACACCATAGTTGGCACAATGAGGAGATAGAGTGACATGTTGTTTACCCCCTTGACGACCAACAAAAGAACAACATCTGAAATGAAGGAATATAATCTTAGAATTCTTTCAAAAATACAATCTGGGATTTTTTTCAATATAAATAGCCAGCTCCGCTGAGCAAATATTTTGATACGTGAATAGAGGTTTATGTGTGTATAGAAGTTTATGTCTTTAGGGCAACCAAGGTCAAAAAGTGTAATCTGAAAGTTTAGCGTATTTACGACAATATCCAACAATAGTGGTCGAAACAGGTCGTACACACTCATTTCCACTGTAATGTCTATATTAATTATTTGGAAATTCCTTTTAGAACAGCAGCACCCAATTAGTGCATCCATCATATATAAAATACAAATGAGATAAAACATATACATGTAATTCATAAAATCAACGAAGAACATGCACACAACTATTGTGCATAACACATATGTTATTTCATTCAAGTCTATTAATACCATTACCAAATAAAAATGAATAACATAACTTACCCACAGTGTCCTGGTGTAAAGTATATGTAGTCTTTCTCATATGTTCTATTGATAAAGCGTATACAAGTGTTTTTCTCCCAGTGACTCATGGCAAGCTGGATATTCTCTGTTACAGCATCTAGAAAAAACATGATATTCCATAAAAGTGACACTCATTTAAAGGAGGACATTTTTGTAACTATTTTTATAACTTCCACTGTGACACCTTGACCTGAAAAAATTGGGGTATGCCATATCATGCGACCTTGATCCAACAAGATTTTCTATGGCCACTGTAGGTATTTCTCAATTTCTGCTATATGCTTGCTGTAGAGCAAATGTGACTAAGGCCTTAAATTATTGGTTCAAAAATACCCTGAGTGCAGAAGTAAGTTCTGAAGTAACCTCTGAGTAGTTAAGACAATTTTACGGTTCAGCAGCCCCACCCCAACTGCCAGTGCCCATCAAACCCCAGGGCATAAATCAATTCAAACCAGCTGTGTTGACATCTTCTCAACAAATCAACGGATCAAAAGAAACACATTTAAATAATGGTGTAATGTTGGTCAATACTGGGTAGGCAATGACTTCAGAAGAAATGACCATATGTAGAAATTTGCCTGTCTGACAAGCTCTGACTGGCTCAATGAGTTCAAAGGTTTCATTTTAGAAGTCAAATGAATATGAAAAGGTAGTTCAAAAATGGTGTCAACAGTTTTTTACCTGTGATGTTAGGTCCTATAACGTAGGGTACTGTCTGATTGCTCCACTTTCTCTCAGTCAGTCCAGTTACAGCTCTCTTTTGGCGAGTCTTCTGCAATTAAATTTTACATTAGTACTCATACATAAAATATGCTTAAATATCAAATCAATAACACATATATGCTCCAACACTTAAATAATCAAGAAGTAAAAAGTAATTCTAATTATCTAGAAATATGAAAAAATGGTGCTTTAAAAGTTTATTACAATTGGTATGCTCAAATTACCTTATAATTGGTGTTTTGAAGCTACCCTATACTTGCTTTGTTGAAAGTACTTTATGATTGGTGCATTGAAAATACTTGTAATTGGTGTTTTGAAAATATCTGATAATTGGTGTATTGAAAGTACCTTGAAATTGGTACATTTGGTATGATGAAAGTACTTTATAATTGGTGTGTTGAAAATACCTTATAATTTTTGTGTTGAAAATACCTTGAAATTAGTTGTTTAAAATAACTTATAATTGATGTGTTGAATGTTCCATATAATTGGTGTTGAAAGAAAGTACCTTCTGATTGGTGTTAAAAGTACCTTAAAATTGGTGTGTAGAAAGTACTTATAATCGGTGTGATAAAAATACCTTATAATTGTCGTGATGAAAGTAGTGATCATCTAGCTGTGGCTGGTCTAACTGTAGCAAAGACTCTAGATACACATGCTGCTCGTACAATCCACGGAACTCTTCACTTGTAACTGCAATGTCACCCTCAATGATGATAACATCTACAAATAAATACATATTATCATGACAAAATGTCACCTTCAATGATGATAACATCTACAAATAAATACATGTTATCATGAGAAATGTCACCCTCAATGATGATAACATCTACAAATAAATACATGTTATCATGAGAAATGTCACCTTCAATGATGATAACATCTACAAATAAATACATGTTATCATGAGAAATGTCACCCTCAATGATGATAACATCTACAAATAAATACATGTTATCATGAGAAATGTCACCCTCAATGATGATAACATCTACAAATAAATACATGTTATCATGAGAAATGTCACCCTCAATGATGATAACATCTACAAATAAATACATGTTATCATGAGAAATGTCACCTTCAATGATGATAACATCTACAAATAAATACACGTTATCATGAGAAATGTCACCCTCAATGATGATAACATCTACAAATAAATACATGTTATCATGAGAAATGTCACCTTCAATGATGTGAACATCTACAAATAAATACATGTTATCATGAGAAATGTCACCCTCAATGATGATAACATCTACAAATAAATACATGTTATCATGAGAAATGTCACCTTCAATGATGTGAACATCTACAAATAAATACATGTACATTTTATTTTTGACAAAATGTCACCCTCAGTGATGACAACATCTACAAATAAATACAGTACATGTTAAAATATCTTCATCTGGTTGCAATTACATATTTTCAAATTAAGTTGTAGACAAGGTATTAACATGCAAAATGTTACCACCAGCCATTTGTTACAGGTGCCAAATGCCAAACTCCAAACAACCACCGACTGCAGCCACAAAAATAACACTTCTGATGTTCACATAAAAATGATTAACCCTTAGAACTGACGCTGAAACCATTTAAATGCATTAAAATTGATTACAGTCTGAGTAATTTTACTTACAATTTCTTTTATTCATAATTTACTACTCGGTATAGCATACTTATTCATATATAATAAATGGTTACTTATTTGTTTTATAGTACTTTTAGGCAATTTACTTACAATTCAAAATCTTGCTATTTTCAACTTTGTTTTGAGAATATCTTTATTTACATGAGAACACCATGATAGCTTGCTATTTCCACCCAACTGAACGAAATAGGAAGCCTTGTTTGGCTGAAATTCCTGGGAGATGAATATCATTTTCGCAAGATTCAGGTGAATACCATTTTTATGAGAGGAATTAGGAGGAAAAATATAATTTCTTTTCAATATTAAAATATTCCGGGTATTATTCACCAGGAAGTAGTAGTATCATGGGAAAGAGTTGTATATTTAAAGATTACATTTTCTCATATTAAAATGACACTCTGGAGTAAATAAAAGTTAATAAAAGTTCATAGGAAAATCAAATGTCATAATTCTATTAGGTTATGGTGTACGAAATCAATCATTCTACGATAACCTGCCAGATCTTTGACACCATATTCGATGCCTGATTTCCCAAGAGATTATGTAGTAATACGAATGAGGATAGTTCAGTCAGATCATTTAAGCACAATAGCTTCCAGAAAAGGTCCCTGCAGAGTATTTTAATTTTCCTGATGAGGGTCTTTCTAGTTATCCAGATAAAGGGGTCTCAAAAGAATAAAGATAAGGTAGTCAAAAATATATGATAAATTTTATATGATAGATATAAATATGTATGATAGATATGATATAATAAAGATGTATGGCTCTGTTACAACTCATATTTTTAGATGTTGCGACTAGGGTATATTTTGAAAATGCACAATCAAACCTCACTCAATGTCGTAATAAATGAAGAAATCGCAAAATGTGATATTATCTCAATATTTAAAGAAAAATGTCACACCTTTGTCACAATTTTAATTCATATGGACCACAAGTCCATATAATACATGTACATATTTTGAACTTAACTAATCTTAGAATTAGATGTAATAAATATATACTTTTAACTCAAATATACTAAAAGTCTAGTGCTTCTGAGAAATAAAAAGAATAAAATAGATACATTATTCAAAGTATAGTTTTACTGTGGACTAACATTCAACCCTTCACAAACATTGTTTATCCCCTCTCCTCTGAGAGAGAGATAGTCCATTATGAAGAAGGATGTATGTAGTGGATGGTGCCAGGAGCCCTGCACTTGGAGGATGCTATACTGAAGAGAAGTCAATGTGTCCAGCCTTTCCCCACAGACACACGCACATTCCTATCAGCACAAGACGACTATAGTAAAGCACTCTTTAACTCATTCAATACTGGGCCAAAAAGCACTAAAATACTGACAAATTTTGAAAATTGCCATATATGGTAACTCTGAAATAATGGATGTAGTGTATACATGGGCATACATATATAGTGTTATATATCATTTTAAAGCATATGATATACTCTTTCAGAATGAATAGGTTTTTAAGTCCCATTTTATAAGTTGTCATGGTTACAAGATTCCAAAAAATACATTGAGTTTGTGCTTGGACGTGATATCACGTCCTTAGTAGTCAACGTATGTGCTTTATGACGTCATATCACGTCCTCCGTAGCTAATGAGTTAAAGTGATAAAAATGTTGCAATCATTAGGAAAACTCAGATTCGGAGTTCTACATGAGAAAATTATTATTTTATGATAGTCTACACTAGAGATTCAGCTAGGGACTCCTTAAGCTGTAAAACATCAGGGGAGGTATTGTAATTACACTAAATCATATCTCCAAACAATAAATGTCATTTGTTGTAAATATGATGAATGCCAGATATGACATTGAGACAGAACTGGAGAATATATTCCTTCTGTGTTTACTCTAGTTTGCAACTCAATGCAGTTATGAAAATCTGCATATACCGCACTGGCGGATCTGGGGGGGGGGGGGGGGGGCCTGGGAAAGCAGAAAAAAATTGGGCCCAAAACTCAAGGCCTTAAAAAGTGGGCCTTTTTGGTCATTACTGGGCCTCAAAATTTTAAAATTTGGGCCCATTTTTGCGTTTTAGGGGCCCAAATTTTTTCCGTGCAAGCACAAAAGATTTTTCATAGGTCTGAAATTTGGGCCCCCCTTGTTCGTTCCCAGGTCCGCCACTGTACTGTATACTATAAGTGCATCCAGGGATATATCCAATGTGATTCCATTAAGGGGAACATATAAAAAAACAATAAATAAAGTAAACAGTCCATTTAGCACCGGGACACGAACCAAGGCATTTTAGGAGTAGACCATTACAACTTTGGATGGGGGCACTAATCTAATTTTTTCTGGGCAACTTAGGAAATTCTATTTTCCTCCAAAAACTAATATAATGACTATTTATTTTTCTGAGCATACTATAAGGATGTTTATGAGATAATTTGATGAATTATTAGTTACCATCTCAGTGGTCATGCTACGTCAGTTTTGGTTCTATAATTAACTTCATTATTAAAGATTCTTTTACAAAATGAACAAATTAATTGGTGTTTTTGGGACAAAAATACTGTATAGAAATTGAAACATTAGAAGACAACCCACCCAAAAATACAAATTAAGAAAATCAAAACTATATCATGCAAAAATCTACAAATGTTAACCAAATATGGTATTATCTTAATGTGCTGTGTGTATATTCACTAACATGATCATTTGTTTATTTAAGTAAAATAATCTATATTAACCTTTCACAGAAAATGCCCTTTGCGCATAATAATTTAACATGATCTTTGTTATACTTTCACGATGTTTAAATATTTCATTCAAGACCATAATATTAATCCTAATATTTATTTATCTATCACAAAAAACGTTTGATCTATTGAACAGAGATACCAAATCTATAACTGACCCAAGATCATGTTTTAGTTTCTATGACCATAGATATTTTTATATATCTGGAAGCACCATATACATTGTATTTGTGTGGCGCCATAGCAATGTAGATGTAGTATAGGAACAGCAATTCCAGTAAATAAATACATGTAAATAGAAAAATACAAAAAAAAAAAAAATTCTAATTCCAGAGCATATTTATTGACTGAAAAGCCAAAAATCTGAAATTCCTCTCAACAGATCTCCACAGTCCCACAGAGAACTGTTTTTTACTGTTATGCGTTTCAATTCTCAAAGCAGCATGTCCGAGTGCTATCTTATACAGAAGCTTTTCAATGATTAACAAAAACATGTGTTTTTGAAATAGAAACTTGGTTTCAGGCACTCTCTAGAAGGGTTATCATCTGTAAAAGCAATCACTATTCAGTGAATGAATTGTGGCCGATCAAATGAATTGATAAGAAACCCAAGTGTGAAAAGATGACTTAGTTTATTTTGGTAATGTAAGGAGTTATCCCTTATTCTTTGCCATTAGACTAAATGGAGAATTATTTGGGATAAAAATTGCAAACTACCACCTTTACCATTCTGAATAAAAAAATTCAAAAGGATTTATACAGAAATGTGTCTGATGATACCAGCAGTTGGTATTAAATAATAAAATATGATATCAACATTTATTTTCACAAATACAAACTTGTCAAAATCTCTCCTTGAATGAAATAAAAAGACATTGGATCTGCCATATAACATAAAAGATTCTGAATTCAGTTCTTTCAAGATTGTAGCTCTTTCCATGCTTTTTCTCATTTTAAACAACATCACCATGGCAATAGACTCACTCATGCCACTCATGGTCAAACAGTGAATATCACTTTTGCATCATGCTTATATTCCATCACAAGAGATAAAATAAGAATGATAAATTATTTTTTCCGAAATCAATTTCTGGATAACATCAAAACTCTATGAGAAGTTGTGTCAAATCATAAGAATTACATCTCAAGTCTAACTATAATTGATAGAGATAGGTTGGCCTCATAGGGAAAATTAATTTGCTCAGTGTATCTTATTTTAAATCGCAAGTACTTCCAGGAGTAGAGTCAAATAGATACATATCTATCAGAATCTTGTTTAGAAGAAAAAAAAGTATGTGAATACTTAAATGAATAAATAGCACTGGCATAAGTTGTGATGGTAAAAAGGTATTTTTTGTTTTGTTGCGTCTCAAAATCAGTTCAATATTGAAGCAAAATTCAAGTTCAAATACTCCAAAATTTAAAATGGTGCCTGTTAACAATCCCTCATTTATTTTGACATATATTTAGGTCATTTTGAGGAGGCTTCCGATTCCCTAATTTCAGAAAATGCTAAAGAATGGCATTTCACATTCTCTCAATTAAATAAAATCTGATACAGTATTCATTTGTTGCCAGATGTAAAACGCTATATGTTTATATTGAAGTTAGTATCACCAAACTTGTTTTGGCATACTTTAATAATTACCCCCCCCCCCCCACCCTCCAATCCACACAGGACACTGCTAATGAGGGAAACATCTGACCTCTGCAACATGATACATCAGCAGTCCAAGCCAACAAGAAATATAAGAACAATTGAATTATTTGCAGGGTTAATCAAATCACAAGTCAAATAATGGGCTGATAGGATAATTATTTCTTTCCTCCATGGAATATAATGTGCTAAACAAAGGGAAAGACCCTCAGGAAAATCGCAAAATAATCAAACATTGAAAAGGAAAAAACTTGAAAACAAGCAAAATTGCAAGAAAAATATCATCCCTGCATTAGGATTAATTTGATAAATTTCCAACATCATATGCTTTTACCTAAATTACCTTGCACTAATTTAGATAAAGGTAGAAACCCTGGGACACTTAAACAATTTGTAAGGGTAAGACAATGCACCTGATACAGTAGAATTAATTTAAACTTTTCTCAATTTTGCCAAATTACTGTTCCAGGTCCCAGTAGGCCAACAAATGTATCAGGTCCAGACTGCTGGGTTTGAATTTAATGTAATTAACATGCGGCACAATGGGAACTAATCTATATTAGTTTAAACTGATAAAGTGTGGAGTTTTGCAATGACCATCGAGAAGTCCAGTTTTAGTAAAGCTATAGTAGTCATATCATTTTACTTTTTGAACTTTGGATTTTGAACATTTTAGATTTTGTTTAATATAGGCCATGAATATTTCATTTTCCTTGACTTTGAAGTTCTCCCATTTTGCATTCTTTCCGTCTATAGAAATGTGGATTAAAACAGAGATGTTCATGATTTGTTATGCTTGTTTTGTCAGTTGCTAGTCTCAGCCCCCTCCTCCCCCCCCTATGTCAGATATCATCTTGTTAAAAATTACAAGATTTATGTGGTACCTAATGGCCTCTGTGTACCCTGCGTGCAGAGTCTAGTTAAACTACACTCTGCCTAGTAGAGACCATTTTACAGTTTAGTAGCCCCGCCCCCACGACGAGTACCGGTGACAGTTTGGGTAATAAATCACTTTTGACCTACGCACTGACCTTTCTTCCACAAATCAGCGAGCTGGAAGAAGCGTATGCCAAATGCGTTCTTATATAGAACGTTGGTTAAATTTGGCCAACGAACACTGATTGGCGCGGTGAGTTCACAGGTTTATTTTAGTTTGAAAGAGTGAAGACGAAGCTCTCTTTTAAGAAGTGAAGTCAAACGAATGCATAGGGTGGCCTCTACCCACTTCCAGCTCAAGAGGTCTACAATGTAACAATTTCTTGGCAATGCAATAAAAATAATCAAAATACTTACCCTCCTCATTCCCCTGCTCCTCTGGGTTTCCTATGCACCCTGAAAGGATAGCTAGAGTCATGGTACACAATAGTATGCACCGTAGCCCAGTCATGGCGCATCAGTCATGGTTCAGTAGTTCTCATGGGTCGCCATACTAATACAATAACTGCCTGTGTAACTACACGTTATGGCCACTTGATTGCTTCTTTCAAGTTAAACCTTACTGCCTATCAATTCTTGAGCTTGGAATACCCATCCACGTTGATTATTCCATATCTCCTGAATATAAAAAAGTCCAAATATAATTTTAATTTGTATGTTTCTTATTTTCATATTAATCCAAAACAAGATAAATTAGCCATATTTATTGTTTATAATAACAAGTGTACCTCTGACAGCCTGAGTCTTGTAAAAGATTCCACTTTCCAATAAGAAATACTTTTCTGCGAGACTTTGCTCCTTTATTGCTCCAAATTGTAATAATCGCAGTGTTGTTGTTGTTATTCTTAATGAGTGTTGATGTTTATGAGCGACGTTTGTGTAAGATGAACCACCCAATGTTTGTGTAATATGAACAACCCAGCGCAACTTGCTCCTCAGACCTGGCACATCTTCTATTGTACCAGAACCACTGGTGAAGAACTCAGATTGGCATTCTCATAGAAACCACGGGTAAGAAGCTTATTTTAATTTTGCTCAAATATCATTTTGTGTTCTACTTAATACATTCCAGTGGAATAATATGAAAAAGCATTGAGCTTAATTAAATTATGTCTTGAATTTTAATACATAAGTCTAAATTTTGGCTGCTGTTTTAAGCCCTAAATGTATCTACAATTTGAGTTTTGCTACATACTGGCAGTGAGAGAAACCACAATTTGAAACCATCAAAACTGAAGAAGTTTTATTGGTTTTTAAAGAGAGTTGGCAAAAATGTAATCAAAACAAGGGATAGTTGTCAAAAGTTGACATAGGTTACAAGATTTATGGTCATAGAAATCAAAGGTTAATGTTGTAAAAACATGAAGGTTAAGGCAAGAAAAAACATTTTTGGATGTCTCTAAGATTCACCAAGGTTTATGTGTTCTTTGGAAAAATATTCTTGTCAATGTCATACATTTAGTGCAGATCATTCTGACCTGCTTAGGCTGAAGATGATATGTTAATTTTGTAAATAAGGTACCCCTGGACTACATGTACATGTAGTTGATTTTCCTCTTAAGAAAATTCAATTTGTGTTTCTTTTATTTTTAATTTTAGCGCTAGTGTGATAGAAGAAACTGATCTTAAAATAAAGTGAAAACTTGGGTTAAAATTTTATATTGTGTCATCTCATTCCATAAAATCACAGAATTACACAATTGTGTTCTTAATAATACAGCTTCTTTAAAATTCCCTAGACATCTTTCTTCATAAAGACAAAGGCTTGAGTCAAAAGCTGTAACCAGGAACGAATAAACAAGGACGTGATTATGGTCCCAAAGCTGCCGTTAATTCAATGAACAGCTTATCATGTATAAAACAGAAGACTGCATTGCCAAATCAATTTCTATGATTTCTCGAAGACAAAATTAAAGGATCTACTAAAGAATTCACTCATTTTTAAATAATCTGAAAAAATAATTGTTTTTATATCTTATTCAAAATATAATGTAATAACTGTCGAGAGATGTTTTTGTGATGTTTAATTTGGAAAGTATGAAGAGAGGAATAAAAAGAAATTTTTGAAATGCGAAATATCAACATTTTCTAATTATATGAGTTGACTGTATTATAAAAAACCTTTAATGTTCATAAGCTATGAAATATTATAAACACAATCATGAATAATTTATTTAGATTATTTTTCACATGTAAAACAACAACTTTTCAATATTTATATATTTATTGATTTCATTTCAGTTTGCTATAGCGCAAGTGTTCTTATGGAAAATAATAATAAATAGTGTTGACATAATTTGTCATGCATTTGTCATATTTATATATATATATCAAAGATTATAATAATTCATCCGACAAGCCTGTCTTTTAGTGTTTTTTAAAAGCTCCTAGATTTCATTCCAGGAATATTAAACAATGCAATATTTACAATATATAAATTCAGTACAAACATATAAATATACAGATCAAATTAAAGAAAATTAAATAACAGATAACATGTACTTATTAAACATGTTACATTTTTTTTCACATGGCATGCAAACTTTTTGTTGTCTATTCTCTTTAATTAGAGTGATTTGGGGTACCAATATTATTAAGTTATGCATAATATGCAACTATGACATGAAACATGCCAAGTTCCGCAAAATATAGGCTGGCCTTGTCTCAAACCATAATACAGTAAACTATGTGTATGGTAAACTGGAGCAAGAAAAAATATTTGTTTTACAAAAATGTTCACCACAATTTCTTTTTTCATACACAGTCGTAGATTCACTAGAAACACCATTTACTTGAGGCAGGTGCTCAATATGTTAGGCGTTACTGTATTTAAAGTGGCAGCAAAGAGAGTATAAAATATTGGAAGCAATCAAAAATCATGCCAATCTTCCCCTTACAATCTTAATTTTATTTTCTGAAAAAGGATTTTAGATATTGTTGGACATTTCAGAAAATGAGCATGACATGTGTAAAGTTGTGACATTTTTTGAAACTTACTCTGAACTGATCAGTATTCTTTGTTGTCCCTTTAATATCAAACATACCTACCTGTCAATCATACATTTTACATGAGATTTAAAAACTGTTATTTTTTATATAAGGTAAGCACAAGCCAGGATCTACAAATGGATGATCCAAATCAAAATCAAGGACTATAGGATTTCATTTTGACATTTTCATTTGACAACTTCTGAATAATTGTTTTTCTGTATTTACAGTGAGGCTGTTACCTGTCCCATACCTGGCTGTGCCCCTGTTTACAAATAGACTTTACCCCTGCCAATCCCCCCCCCCCATTTTCCCCTATTTAGATTTTACACCGAGCCTGTCCCCTATCTAGAATTCTGGAGGGGATCCAGGATTTTGTGTCGGGTGTGGTGCATCCTATGAGTGGTATGCCAAATAGCACTGAACTCAGGGAAATTTGAGATTTTTGATGCCAATATGTGTATTTTCCTATTATTATAAGGGTGCTGTATCTCACACATTGTCCCCCTGAATCCGCCTCTGAATTATATGTGTGATGTCATAACTTTGTTCTGTTCTTAAATACAACTCCAATCCTACCACGATACTCATCACAATGAATATGTAAACCAGTTCTTTCAGGCGTTTATACAACGATTTCTTCATCTTTACACTTTTCAAAATCTGTAAAATAATTCCATTATAATGCCATATTCTTGATACCATCAGAACTAACTCTAATGATACATTGTTAGGTATTTGCCCAAAGATAACTCAAGATACCATATTCTGCCTTGTAAGCACACATCATAATGTGGCTCTATTTTAACTTGATTGGGAAAATATGGTACAATGAAATCAGTGTACAATATCCTGCCTTGTAAACACATGGAAAGATGTAGGTCTATTTTAACTTAATGGGGAGAATATGGTACAAAGAAATCAATGTACAATATTCTGCCTCATAAACACATGGAAAGATGTAGGTCTATTTTCACTTAATGGGGAGAATATGGTACAAAGAAATCAATGTACAGTACAATATTCTGCCTCATAAACACATGGAAAGATGTAGGTCTATTTTAACTTAATGGGGAGAATATGGTACAAAGAAATCAATGTACAGTACAATATTCTGCCTCATAAACACATGGAAAGATGTAGGTCTATTTTCACTTAATGGGGAGAATATGGTACAAAGAAATCAATGTACAGTACAATATTCTGCCTCATAAACACATGGAAAGATGTAGGTCTATTTTAACTTAATGGGGAGAATATGGTACAAAGAAATCAATGTACAGTACAATATTCTGCCTCATAAACACATGGAAAGATGTAGGTCTATTTTAACTTAATGGGGAGAATATGGTACAAAGAAATCAATGTACCATATTCTGCCTTGTAAACACATGGAAAGATGTAGGTCTATTTCAACTTAATGGGGAGAATATGGTACAAAGAAATCAATGTACAATATTCTGCCTTGTAAACACATGGAAAGATGTAGGTCTATTTTAACTTTATGGGGAGAATATGGTACAAAGAAATCTATGTTCAAATATTTAACAAAATGTTACAACAATATGAGAAATGTCCATGTTATTTCTGGCCGAAAAAACTTCGCAACAATTCTAACAATTTACAGTACATAACACGTTAAATACATTTTGTAAGACATAATTTATTGTTCAAACACCTAGAATTGAACAGACATTGAGTTCATAGGCTTTGTATCCTATATTTATAATATATTGAGTGTAAAATAAAAATAATAAAAAGGATAAACATTTACAAATATCAATTTCTGCAAATTGTTAGAATGTTACTCTGTTTTCTCTTTGCCGTCTACTGTCGGTTCTGATATATCCACCTCCTCGCTAGATGGAACCACTAGTTGTAAAATGGCCGAAACAGCAACAAACAAAATGGCGATGGTTATGAAGTAGGAAATCCTATAGATAGAGCTGATGGAGTAGAGGACCATGGGAATACATTGGAGGTAGACTGCCCAGGAAGCTGTTTTGTAGACTGCCCTGAAAACAATACCTTAACTAAACTCCAGATGTCACAGAAACAATACCTTAACTAAACCCTGGATTTCACAGATTTCAGCAAAATTATTCCCCTAAATGGTTTCAAGAAAAATCAATAGATAACATTATTGAAAAAAATCAAAACTTAAATTAAATTCGCAAGAAGGGCCCAAAAAGGTGATCCTCTTTTAGATGACAAGCTGTTTTCCTGGAATCACGATGACAATAATGCAGCACACCATCACAATAATGAATATGACAATTACATGTATATCACATCAAAAATGTTATAAAAAACTTGAAAAACTAGCCCAAATAAATGCTGTTCAGGTTAATGAAACATATATCTCGTATTTCCATGACAACATGCCTTATTTAGGGACTAACCTGTTTGTGACGGGGCCTAGAGTGTAGAACAAAATAATCAGAGAGAGACAGCTTACTATAGATGTCACCCTGGCAGGATCGCGCGAAAGACTCATCGAATAACTGATAAATAAAAATATATTATTCTATTGAGTTTTTATGATTTAGAAACAGTATGTGTAAATAGATGGCAGGATTGCTCCCAAAAATGGACTCAAAATATATTCCTCAAAAAAGTTAAGGAAAAACAAAATTCTAATCCTGGAAATGTGCATCAGCTGTTGTGAAACATGTTTCATTGTTGTCTCCCAATAAAAACGCCATCTAGAAAATAATATGTGAAAGAACAAGACCATTTTAATTGCCTGAAGAAAGATAGTGAGAAAATAAAAAGTAGTAATAGAATCATACCTCAGATTTTGAAACCAGACTATGAGAGATGGTGCATTCAAGATAACAAGCCAATTCCATAGCAACAACACAGTTTTGTAAACATTGTAGGTGCTGACATCTTTTGTGCCTGATTTCTTCTGTATATGAAGAAGGAGAACCTGAAATCAAACAATATGGAATGTACATGTAGGTCACAATATTTATGCTTTGATGTTTTTTTTAACATAATAATGGATTATGGAAATATTGGCATTCCACTAGACCCTTAATTTACCCAAAAAATCAAGGTTTACTTATTTCTATGAACATCAAACAGAAAATAAAAAATAAATTTTAGTTGAAAAAAACAGACCTAAAGATTTATCAAATAGTCCAGCAACATGGATGACATAAGTTACCTTGGCTAGTAGTAGAACAAACACCATCACAAGGCCTACAGAGCCACTGAATATCCCGGCAACTAGTGTTGCTATGACAACAATATTGTACTGGAAGAATGTAGCTATGTCACCACTCCTATTTGATCTGCAGCACCTGTGTAATGAAACAAACTAACAAGATGATATCAACATTTAATGTTTTTCTATATTTCCACTTAATTTCATAAAAGATTCTCAATTTCAATTCAAGATGCCAAACTTTAATGTTTCTCTATATTGAATTCATTCCATGAATTTCAATTTCAATTCAAGGCAAGAAAAATGTTCTTCTAGAGTCTCTACAATGAATATTCATAGTCTTCCCTAGTTCGATTATGTAAACACCTAAGGGAATAAAACTAAAAGATCCTTCACTGGAGAACCAATAGACTCTAAAAGGTCAATAAATCAAACACGTCTCATTAGTCTAAATCGCAAGAATCACTGGTGACAGATTTTTGGGAGATCTGAATATGAGATTGTATTTCAAGCACATGTCAATTTATATTTGAATCGGTAGATTTACTGAGATGCTTTCATGGAAACAATAATACACAAGGAATAAACTGCACAATGTTGTACCTGCCATTTGTTGCAGATGCCAAATGCCAAACACGATTCAAAAATAAAGTTGGGACTATGAGAAATAACTGCCTTACTTGAGTTAAAGTACATACCTTGCACATATAAATCCTAATATTGCACTGGCTATATAGAGTGCTATAGATACTAAAGCATGATGCACGAGAACCAAACTTGTGGCTAGCACGTATAGTGATAAAGGAAGAAGAGGGAACCATATTCCTTGAGCAGCTAAACCCTCCACATCATCCCTGGGTACACGTAGTAACTGTAATGCTGGGGCAAATATGAACGTACTGGAATATATAATATATCATAAAGAGTACTATTAGATGAATTATGGCTGTGTTGAATTTTTTCATAGTTATAATCTTTGGAAAGTAGATTGCATGTACTTCAAATTTAGAATGATTTCAAAATCTATTAGTTGGTCACTAAGTGTGTAGATCATGGTATATCTGTGTTACATCCTATAAGTGGGGACTTTACTAATGTACAAGACTTACCCAAGAATGATTCTAAGTAAGGCTGCAGGGGGCGCCACCCTATATGACTGTCCCCAAGCTGTGTGGGCATCTGTGAAACCAACTGCACTTCCTAAAATACAATGACTGGTAACTGAATTACACATAACTAGGTGTGTTATTTCATATTTCATCCAATCAGAACACAGTATAAATTACAAAAGACATTCTGTTTGTTTTCAACCTTGAATAGTTATTTTTGGATTCAGTGAAATTGATGATTTGTGGGTGATTTAATGTATTCTTATCTTCTATTGCCTTGAATTTGAATTCAGGCTCTTGCCCTCATTTAAAGTCTGATACAAGACAGACATGCCTAAAACTGACCACAATACATTGAGTCTATAGGTGTTAACATGCAAAATGTCACCACCTGCCATTTGTAAAAGACACAGAATGCCAAATGCCGAACACTCTCGACAAAAAAACCTGGAGACTATAACAATATGTCATCACTTCTGGTGCTGACATAAAGAAAATATGAACTGACATTTCTTTATCAAACTGAATATGGTATAATTATTTTGTCACTAGAATAGTTACTAAAACAGCACAAGAATATTTTGTTGATTCAACAGCGCTTTAATTATATTGGCAGTATAGACTGGTTAAATGGTATTCTGTGAAACCTGTGTAATTGGAACACCTTTGGTACCTCTAAAAAAAATGTTCCTGCTGGGGGGTTCTACTAATAAAAGTTCATTTGACAATAAGTTAACAAGTTGCTCGACTTTGAAAAGTGTTCCACATATAGAGGTGTTTCACTTTACAGAGGTGTTCCACTTTACAGGTTTTGCTGTATTTTTAAATTAGACTTACAGTATTCAAGAAATGTCAGTTCCCATGAAATTAATTGGAAGGGCTTAAACAGTTGTAACAATATAATTTCCAACCAGTTGACAATGAAAATGACGAAATCCAATAAAAAGGAATTTAATAGGCTTAATCATGCTTTTGGCTAGAAATTCTTTCCTCATCAATAAGTGGCAAAAAGCGCCTTTAAATAAGCAACATTCCATACATATCTCTTCTATTAATTAATCTGTAAAGGATATGAACTGATGGGTCTTGAGTGAAAGAACTTGCAAGCAATTGTATAACGGAATACTTCTATATGGAAAATAATTAGGGTTAAAGGGTGATGTTTCATAGAGGGGAGGCTAAGCTGAAACATAAACACACTTTCAGAGTTGGCTTTTGGGAAAATGATTTGTTGCCAAACTAATGAGATTTTCAGATTCAACTATTGTATCGCAAGTTATGGAGATATGAGATTAAGCAAATAGTTAATGGATGTTTATCCACTGAGATAATGTCTTTAGAGATTACTTTTAGGACGAAATATTCCCATGAAAATATATCTTCATTTTCCTGTATTTTCAGTGTTCGGAGATTTATGTAACATTCAGGCTGATTTGAAAAATTGGGAATATACAAAAAGGGCAAAAGGAAAATTTTATAGCTGATATAGTAAACATCATAGCGGTTCCTCTCAGAGAACAGTCCTAAAGTAGGGGTATTATAGAAAGCCAGTCAACATTAGTTAACATTATGTCTATTTGACTTACTTTGCAATTCAAAGTTAACAAGAGATCATTCAATGTTAACAAGATCATATCAAAATTTCAAAAATTAAAATGAAACATGTATAAAATACAAATGCTTGTTTATTTATCTCTGACGCTCTAAGTCTTACAATAAGCAACAATACCCCATGTGAAGTATGGACTAACTTGAGATTTTGCAAAGATACGTGTACTTGGATATTATTTTGAGGTAAGTTTCAATTATAATCACAAATTCACCGTATTCTTCTTTCATTTACACTTATAAAGTCTTCAAACTTCTCAGGACGAAAGAAAACCAATTCATATTTCTTTATTTTTTAATTACAGCCATCATCAAATTTCTCTTTCAACATTTCTTGTGACTGGTAATTAACGAAGAAAAGAAATACGAGGCAAGGATATAACATTCAGGATTTCCGATATATTGATGGGTCAATTATATAATCGTTAACACAAACTTACCTGTTTTGTGTAATGTATGTAGTTGCCATGACAACACCATCAGTATGTTGATCACTATGAATGTTGGGAATAGGTTACCATAGAAACGAACCAGCTAAAAACATAAAAATTCAATCATAATACAATACACTATACCCTTCTATGAGTAGACTAAGAGCATGATATATCTTTTATGTTCTGCAATTTACAAGACAAGTGCTGTAATAGAAAATTAAGGTTCATCAATTATTCAACTGACAAAATTAGCTATCGCTTATCACCTTTTTAAACAATAATGGTGCAGTGAAGTGACAGGAACCTATTATCAGATTTTCCAATATTTCTTTGAGCCAATGAATGTTTCTTCAAGTCCTCCATTAGTTTTTTAAGTAGATAGTTACATGAAAGTGTTCCATATTGGCTTAATAAAATGACACTTTTACTGATGCCAGAAATATCATACAAGAAGTCTAAATGTAATTGGGGTAGAAGAATACATACTATGGTGGGACCCTAGCTCATAATCTTTACATGAGAATCATGCTCATTTAATCATAACATGACACCCCTCCTCCTTAATCCATTACATGACATCCTCTAACTCAGATCATTACAACATGACCCTCCTACTTAAACCATTACATGACACCCCTCCAGCTTAAATCATTACATGACACCCTGTAACTTAAATAATAATTGACATTCTCCAACTGAAGTCATTACATGACACCCCTCCTCCTTGAATAATTACATGACATCCTAACTTAAATCATTATTTGACATTCTCCAACTGAAGTCATTACATGACACCCCTCCTCCTTGAATAATAATTACATGACATCCTAACTTAAATCATTATTTGACATTCTCCAACTGAAGTCATTACATGACACCCCTCCTTCTTGAATCATTGTATGATAGTCCTTCTCCTTTATCATTACCTGACACCTCTCACCCTTGAATCATTACATGACACCCTTGTCCTTAAAACATAATAGGACACCCCTTCTTAAACCATTATTTAACACATCTCTCCTCCTGATTGAGACAGGGGGTGAACTGACAGATTGGAAAAGTGGTTGCATCTATAAAAAGAAGTAAATGAAAGCAAAAGTTCTGAGTTCTGAGTTTTAAAATTTTTAACTTCAAATAGTTCAGGTGCAGATTCAAATTATTTTCATAGAGTTTAGATCACAAGGGGCAAAGGCCCCTCAGGAAATATGTATTTTATGAGCTCTTGCCTTCCTCAATCTCTGTATTCTTCATGAAATATGTTCAAAAAATAATTCTGATAACTTAAATAAGGAGCCCAAATGCTACGCAAAATACTGTGCAATGAATTCTATATATAGAGGGGCCATTTGACCAACCCAAATATTTGTCAAGTCTAAACCCCTTAGTAGCCAAACAACAAAGTGTTTACTATGATTTTCAAATCAAAGCAAAGTTTAATTCTGTCTAAAACAACTCAATTAAAATCTCTGACATTTATGTAATCTGAACCCCATGAAGTTTCACAAATTTAAAAACGAAGCATAAATATAGTAATAATCAAGATAAATACAGATTAAAAGCTCTATAGATTTGTGGTACTATACATTTGGACAGCTATTCAAAGTTACAAATTTTTGTTGCTGAATTATTTAGATCAGTATTTACTTTCTTGGAATGCAAGTTGTTGATCATTTGCTGAATCAACACCAAGACTTGTAAAGTTCTAGACCAATCAATAGAAACTCTGCCAGATATCCTCCCAAAAAATCAAACATATTATCAACCATCTAGAAATATCAAATAGTTCTATTTTAAATTGTATTATTGAACTCTGTGTATGAATGAAAGCCAGGCCAGTCTAAACATTCTAATTTCATCTGAAGTTTTTCTCTCATTCCATGTGTCCATATATACTTGACCAACGTGTATCAACAATACTGAATGGCTATTGATTGATTAAGAGGTTTTCGTTACAGTTCGACCCTAGCGATGTGGCGACACTGCATACTCATAAATAGGAATATGGAAAAACGAGACACACTCAATAAATGATCTGGGAATTCTCAGGGATAGCAAACTCAGTGATGACATGATTTGATAATGAAAATCGACCATTTAATAATAAGTAAACAAAGGAGATGATTACAAAATGGTAGGTGAACCTTCGAAGATTCTTTTAGTTATAAACAATTCCTTTCAAACGTGTTATAATATGCATTAAAAACATGTCTTTATCTTAAAACTTGATATAGGAAATGTCTGAATAAAGAAAACAATTGCAAAAAAGATATTAATTTTCTCATATGAAATTCAAAAAATATATATACTAGTATATTTTACTCTTGATAATGTAATAGCTAATTGAAAATTGAAACTATGTGTGACAAAAATTTCGAGGGAAATTATTGATATACAATATCTAAGACAAAGGAGGTCGTTTTGACCTTTTAAGATCCAAAACACGTATATATCGACTTAGTTGTGTTCAAAAAACCATTCAGCCTTTACTTGGAAGCAGGATATAATTAAAGTGTATAAAATAAAACTGACATTTCTGATGATGTGCAAATACAGTTAAATCAATTCTGAAACACCACTCACACATTAGCTAAGGTAAGTTCACTCTAAATATAATCAGGATTGGTAAAAACAGACAAAACGAGGCATCAAAATTTTTTAACCAAATGTCACCTTTAGGAAGAGTCTAATAATTCTTACAGATGTTTACATGAAATGACAACTGCCCTTGCCAGTCATAAACAAAAATGATAGCTAAAACAATACATCATATAAAATATTAATTATACAAAATGATTTATTCCTAGAATATGAGGTACTGATACACTGTAGCTATGGAAGAACTTCATAAAGAAATGCTGCATCTTAACTCTTTTGAAAATCCTCAGAACATTCTATACAATCATTAATAAATATATAATTAAACTGAAAACAAAACGTTTTTTTCACATGAAATTCATCAAGTCAAAAAATATAGATATTGATTAATCCAAAGCACTTATTACATTCTGATACATGTGGTATAATTATGTTAACAATGTTATTGTAGCATCTTAGCTAAGGCCTAGTTTATTATTGGAAACTACTTCATCCTCTACTTCACCATTGTATAATCTTGTATCATATTGCAACCTCACTTGAAGTTCTCCTTACGTCTCTGACTCCACATACAATGGTTGCATAAATTAGTTTTTCATGAAACATGAAGATATTTATTATTATTATTAATTGTTCGACTAAATGATTTCACCAAATGACATCCATGATTGAGTATGTAACTTGTGATATAAAACACCTGGGAGAAATATTCATTTAAAGTGGTACTATTATCTCATCACTGCATCATTTTCCATTTTGGGGGTTGTACTTACTTATAATGCCCATATCTAATTGACTTGCCCCAAAACATCATCAAACAACTGCACAAATTACAAATTATGTATGATCTTCAGATGACCTTCTCATCTCAGGACAGTATAACCATGTGAACATTAAATTAATAGGGCCGAGAGAGCAGATATCAAGAATGATGATTTAGTCGAGACTAATGACAGGCTTTTCTTTCCTTAATGCTCACATAAGACTGATTAATGTTCTAAAAAGCTGCTAGTTTCAATTTACAATGCTTTTTCCTATCAATAATGCTCTCGTAAATTCAATAATACCCTATTGTGCCGGTTTATTGAATTCTCTTGATGTTCTGCCAGATAAAATGCTGCCAATAGCAATAGGTATAAGGTATGGTAAAGTTGCAGGTGTTTTCAATTAGTTCATTACACCATTCTATATCTTACCCTTTCACTCAAGACATTTGGGTAATCTTAGAGGAGGACCGTTAAATCTAAAACAGGAAGTGACCTTGCTTTTCCTTGACAAAATTTTTTTTTTCTGATTCTGAACTAACTGTACCTAGAATATTTTTGTTTTTGCTATAGTTTTTTATTTAAATTTCTTGAACGTTAACTCCCCACATGAGCTATCGGTAATAGTTCACCTTTTGTAGTCCATTGGCATTGTTTTCTTAACAGTTGATGATTGACTCTTTCAGACATGTACCACCAGATTAATTCAAACATTATCATTAATGAAATAATAAGATAATTATTTGACTTGTTTACTGTGCTTTTTAAAAGAGTCACCATAGTAACAGTTGCAGTTACTTATATGGTAGACAAGCCTAGTGTTGCCAGTAATGGGGCGATAAATGCTGATTACACTTTAATTTGTTACATAATCTTTCCTTTTGACTTGTATGTTGTTCCAAAATTTTGATACAAAATCGTGATAATTGGGTGTTGACAGAATAGAGTAAGTCTAAATCTCAAAATATAACAAAACGACTCATTTAGGATACTTCATAACTTTTAAGTATCTATGACCCGAGAGTCCAGAATCTGTGTTTTAAACTATATTATTCTCCATAATTCAATTTTAAAAGTGTTGTTGAGTTTGTACCATCAATTTCCTTAATAGATGTCACCATGACAAATTATCTCTGTTTGTTCTAAAGGATGTCACCATGACATATTATCTCTGTTTGTTGTAAAAGATATCACCATGACAAATTATCTCTGTTTGTTCTAAAGGATGTCACCATGACATATTATCTCTGTTTGTTGTAAAAGATATCACCATGACAAATTATCTCTGTTTGTTCTAAAAGATGTCACCATGACAAAAAAAAAAAATCTCACAAAACATTAGAAGAAAAGAGTTTGTTTTATAATTCAATGTTTATTTTGTTATTTCACAATGTAAAAAGATATAATGTACATTGTAAATGTTTATCAAGATTTTTTGAACTATTAATAGTATTTGTATTATATTACATTATGGCCGCTTTGTTTATTTACCCTTGAAAATTATATATCTATCACTCAAAATTCATGATTTATCTAAAAGCTGAACTAAGAAAATTTCATGATCTATATAATTGTTTCCATGTTTTGATCTTGTTAAAAAAAACATATTTGAATATCTGCAAGGAATAACTTCCATGTAAGAGTATTTTCTTAGTTTTACATTTGAAATCAAATTTTGATTTCTAACAAAAACACACTTTACAATGCAAAATATTCTTTTACAACCCTGAAAACATATAAGTGAAAAGTCACAATACAACCTAAAACAGCCCTTTATTATTCTCTATTGCAGGACTGTTAACAAAGTCAACAGAAATGCCAGCTTTCTACATAACGTGTAAAAAGCTTCAAAAGAATTAAGTAAATACATAAAAAAATATTTTGAACAACCTAACAATGGCAGTGAGAGGATATGACTACAGAGGCCCTAGCAGTGCTCCTAAGAGTGGGAAGTTGTATAGCGACGACAGGGCGGCTTTGGAGGTTAATGTTTCAAACATAAAGGAGCACCTCAGACTAACAGAGCAAGTTCAGCTATATAAGGATAAACTTTTACAATGTTGTCAACCCAATCAGCAAGTTCATAACATGAGTGCAACAAAACATTTACAGATTGATGCATGGAGAAAGGAGGTGAAATTCAAAGATGAGGACATGAATAAACGTTCGCAACAGGCTAAAATTGCCTATGAGGAGGAACCAACGAGTATTAGATGGACAAGCTCAAAATCGATACCACGCAAGAAATCAAACATATTCAGCAAACAAGATAAAAGGGAAAAGCCGTTATCAGTATTTCAGAACTCAGATGATCCGTATACTTTAGATACAGTTGCTAAGAATGTTGCTGGTATTACAAATCATTATAACAATGAACGAGACTCAATTGCAAGTGATACAAGCCCTAGATCAGTTACAACCACAAATACGCATATTAATTCCAGTGGAAGTGCAATTCATAGGGATAAACTACAAAACAACCTGAACTCAAGAAACAATTCCCACGAGACTGACGTAAATACAAACCCCGAAGCGAGTGACAGTAACAGTTCACGGGAGGATATTCCAGTCTTCCTTAACAAAGACTCCGTCGTGAAAATCGAAGTGCCTAATTTGCTGTCATATAGTGGTGATACAAATCCCTCACACCAGAAAGCAATCCAATCTCATGAAACATTTGTGCGACCATATTCCACACCATTCACGCATTACAACAGTTCACCTACTCTTTCCTCTGGTTGCCTGTCGGGGTATAATAAAGCTGTCGAACGTGGTTTTGACACTCTGCTAAATAACTCAAATGGAGTAACATATAATCGAGCAAAAAGTGGACTATTTGATAAATCAGCTAAAAAGAGAATAAGAGTACGAGAAGGCGAGAAATTCAGAGCTCGTAACGAGATCCTGCGTGACATCATGCACTCTTCCATGCAGGAAAGAATGAGTCCTAGGCCTAAAAGTGGATTAAGTAATACGCCAAAATCTTCTCGATCTCAAAAAAGTGCTACTGTAACCAGAAGACCAATGACAGTACCAGCTGTTATTAGAGACCCGCCAACGAAGAGAATGCCAGACAGTTTTCTTAAAATGTTGGTTCATAAGCTCGAATCTGAAAGTATCAGTGAAAAATCCTCGCAGAAAAAGGTAGAACAATATAAACGACCTACGGAACAAATTGTTGAAGCTCATGAAAAAGTGGATTCTCCTCCTCCAAGTATAATAACTACTGATCATTCAGACGAATCCAACAATGCAAAACCTAATGTAAAAACAATTGATATTGTTGAGCAAATGTCAGAATTACTTGGTAGTATTGCTGAGGTGGATGCAGCATGTGACGTTAACTTCGAATTAGGTGCAAGCAAAAATTTGTTCATATGACCAATGTAAACAAAACATGAATTCAAATGAGGATCAGGGTATTATGTTCTAAGTATTCCTTCAGGCTCAATGCTCCATTATAATAATAATATAATCCAAGACAGGACTTTGAAGTTGTAATTAACAATTTGGAGAAATTTAAATCTTTTGAGATGTTACATACTTGCTTTTTGAGTTCCAATATATAAGATATTGCATCTTAGGTCACCCACCCTCTATCTATTTACATTAAAGGGTGTCCATAAAGTTTCTTTATAATGTAAATTCTTTGTAAAACATAAAGAACTTTTTGGCCACCCTGTATTATATAAGAGCTAAAATGGGGAGGGGGAAACCAGAGTGAAGTTGATGTTTATAATGTGTAGTAGAGTAGTGAGTATGAACAATGCATTTGCATGGTTGACTTATTTCTTCAATTCTAATATGATGCGTGACGTCACAATAGCTAGAACAATAGATTTCTACATTGGAGTATGTATGACTGCTTAAATCCATAAATGCAAATAGTTATTTTTCTTGTCTGTTTATCATTTAGAACCGTAACAAAGACCTTGATTTTATGATTTATGGCAGATATATGACCTTATAGTCCATTTGTCACCCCTATACATACTATAGTGAACCTATGAATTGTTAAAAACACGATGTTTTATGGTTTAATTTATAATAACAAGGGTTTTCTGAAGTGATTTAACTGGGTTGGACAAAAAGTTAGTTTGGGGAAAAAAGTATATTGGCTAATTAGGGAGGGGTGCATTGGCTTAACATGGCGTTAACTATTGACTTAGCGTCGGGATACCACCATGTACCTGGTATGTTACCATGGTGATAGATACAAAACATTTCCCCAACGTTAATTTTTTGGCAACCCAGCTAAATCACTCCAATAAACCCTAATGATAGTATTTGCACAGAAAAACATCATGTTTTTAAATATTCATACGTTAAGAAAATGACAAATGGACTATTAAGTGTTATTCTTGGCATTGCAAAATACCTCAATCGCTATGCTATTTGATTCTTTTAATAATGAACAGAATAAAATTTCAGTCATATACTGCGCCATAAATCATAAAATCTTGGTCTTTATTCCTTAAATATTATACACATTCTATGTTCTGCATGTCGACAGAAAAGTAACATCATTATACATTTGTGCAGAAATTTTATGGAATTTGCTATGTTCGTAGAATTATCAAATGTTGAAGTTTACCTCAGAATTTTTTTTTAAAAATCATTGCAAAATTTCAGCTTGAAATTGATAAATTATAAAATTTGTCTCAAAATACATGTATTCTCAAAAATTGGATTTTCACCAACATACAGGGTGGTCCAAAAAAAAGTGAACCCCTGCAACTGGCCATATTTCCCTTATTACTTGTAGGAGTTATTTTTTATTTTCACATGTTGTAGAGGAAGGTCTAAAATTTATGTTGGTAATATACAATTTCCAGAAATTATAAGCCCTAACCAAACATTACTGGACAAATTGTGATTTTCAATATCCGCGATTCTTCAACCCTTTGACACGTTTCCCCTGAGAATTTTTTAAGCTGCAGTTTTAAAGAACTAATATTTTCTGACTTTGTTCAATTTTAAATCTTGCACATTATGGCTTAAAACTAGCATCCTACATTTGTTAGTTGCAAAGTTATTGTGATCCAAAGAGATGTGCTAAGCTTCCACAGACGAAAACATTTTCCAGTGAAATCATGAACATACCCCTATATGATCTTAAAATGTCAATATCTTCATAAATCATGGACCAATTCTAATGATATATGGCTCAAAACATTGAATATTGGATTTTCTTTTGATTTTTTAAAGATATTTGATGAAGGGGTTATCAGATTCCTGGTCACAGGGGGCAACTTCCTTCCATAAGAGGCCCACCTCTAACTGTTGGTGTAGGTAACATACCCCTGAACTGTTGAACAGTTAAAAATGCTTCAAAATGATCAATGAAAGTGTGAAATGTGTTTTCTGCTTGAATAGTGTCCCTTTTGTCATATGGTAGGGTTTTAAACTTGTATCTCTAACTGAAAGCTGTTTAAGATCATCCAATGTGTTTAAACAATTTCCGTGAATCACATTTGTAAAATTTTGTACAATATCTAATTTCCAGGCATGTTTGTTAAACGCTTGTAATTTTTTCAAAATTTAAGACTGAGAATAAATTATGGCATCAACCAAAATTTTAGACCTTTCTCTACAACATGTGATAATATGAGCCAATTCATGCATGTATTAAGAAAATTGTAGCCTGTTGCAGGGGTTCACTTTTTTTGGACCACCCTGTAGTTATCTATAAATCATAGAATAAGCAAAATAAATCTAAAAAAAATAAAACTGGAATATGTGATTATATCTTCATATGTAGAGAAACACCTTACTTATACAGTAAATCCTTTCATATAAATTGACCTTACATTAGTACAATCAACCCTTATATATACAGTAAAACTTTCATCTACAGATTGATACAATTGTATAAATATATACAGTAAAACTTTCATCTACAGATTGATACAATTGTATAATAAAACCAGCTCAAGGTGAACACTTTGAGGTCGACAAAAACACATACATCTTATGTCTGGTATTTATTTTGAATTGGGTTGTTTAAAAATAAGTAAAGTATTTCAGTTTGATGAGAGAAAATATATTTAGGGTTCTGTTGTTTGGAAATTCCAACCTAGACTGAAAAGTTAGATAGATTTGAACAAATCAAAAACCTTTGATTAACTTTGTAATTCAGATCACCTTGGAAGTATACTTGAGTTATTTCATATGTCATATTGGATAACAGTCAAAAAATCATCATTTCGCTGTTATTTAAAAAAGGTGATAGAGAATTGTTAAAAAATTATAGGCCAATAAGTCTATCAAATACTGACTATAAAATACTAGCATTTGTACTTGCAGACAGGCTACAGTTAGTAGTTGGGAAACTTATTAGTTTACACCAAATTGCATATATAAATGGTAGATACATTGGTAACAGTTGCCGCTTAGTGTTAGATATTTTTGAGTATTTTAAAAATAATGACAAAGGGCAAGGATCAATTCTATTTTTAGATTTTACGAAAGCGTTTGATTCTATTGAATGGAACTTCATGTTTGAAACTTTAAAAAAATTCAATTTTAACGATAACATCATCAGATGGCTTAAATTATTATATACAAATCCATTTATTAACATTAAACAAAACGGATGGCTATCACATAATATTCCAATGGAACGCTCATGTCGGCAGGGCTGCCCCGTTTCTGCAATTTCATTCATATTATGCTGTGAAGTTATGTCTTTGAAAATAGTTCAAAATAAAAAAATAAAGGGTATAGAAATTGATAACATAAAATATAAAATTTCACAATCAGCAGATGACACATCATTATTTATCAAAGATAAAGCATCCATAAGTGAAGCATTAAAAACTATAAAACAATTCTCGAAATATTCGGGACTTCAACTAAATTTAAGTAAAACAGAAGGAATATGGCTTGGAACCAATCGTACTTTTGAAAAAAAATTTGAAAATATTAATTTTACAGATGAACCTGTAAGATATTTAGGCATATATATAGGTCACAATGAAGATAAATGTTATGATTTAAATTGGAATGAGAAAATAAATGACCTTGAAAAAATTCTTGATTCTTGGAAAAAAAGACACCTTACCTTATTTGGAAAAATCACTGTTATAAAATCTTTAGCTATCAAAACTTATCTACTCAGCATCAATTTTATCTTATAAAGAAGAAATTATAAAGCGAATAAACAACTTGATATTCAACTTTTTATGGAATGGCAAGAAAGATAAGATTAGGCGAACTATTATGATAAACAATATAGACAATGGGGGTCTAAATATGCTGGATTTAGAATCACAGCTACACAGGCTGGTATCGAAATATTTGTCCGCTGTGACGGAGCATACTATTTTTCATAAAAACACTAAGAATACTTCACGATTTATTTTTTAACTCATATGTTTCGTTATACCATACAAAATTACTTACTCCATGCAATGGATATATCATTTGCGGGTAACTTTCACTTCTGTTTGAAGTCAAATTACGCTGGGAAGAAAAGCTATTGAAAATGGCGCCGGAGTATCATACTTCAAAATGTACCATTTCTTGTTTAACTTTATAATGGCACGATATAGTGACACGATAATATTTACACATGGTTTCAGCATAACTATGAAGGTATAAATGAGATAGTGATGTATTTGGTCTTTTTAATTCTTTTATAAAAAATAATGTTTAATTTTTTTGTCCGCTGTGACGGAGCAGTTGCAAATGTGAACTGTGAAAATGCTCCGTCACAGCGGACAAAAAATATTAATATTATTTTTTATAAAAAAATTAAAAACTCCCGATGCATTAATATCTCATTGATACATTCAGAGTTATGCTGAAAACATATGTTAATATTATCGTGTCACTATATCATGCTATTAAAAAGTTAAAAAAGAAATGGTACATTTTAGAGTTTGATACTCTGGCGCCGTTTTCAATAGATTTTACTCCTAGCGTTATTGGACTTCAAACAGAAGTGAAGGTTACACGCAAATGATATATCCATTGCATGGAGTAAGTAATTATCTTTGATATAACGAAACATATGAGTTAAAAAATAAATCGTGAAGCATTCTTGGTGTTTTTATGAAAAATAGCATGCTCCGTCACAGCGGACAAATCTTTCGATACCAGCCTGTGAGCTAAATGCTCTTAAAGCTGTATGGATTACCCGTATATACGACAAAAACAATATGTTTAACAAAATTCCATACTTTGATTTTGACAAACTTGCTCCAAGTTTGGATATTTTGTTAAAAATGAATGTATTTTCTAAAGACCAGCTTGAGGGATTACCTATTTTCTACAAACAAGTTTTGAAAGCATCCAATAGCTGTAAAGATCTTGATGAAATAAAAAATCTGAAACACCATGAAATAGTCCAGCAAACCATATGGAATAACAGATTATTTCAATTAAAAGGCAAACCACTTTTCTTTAAATCTTGGATAGATAGTGGTATTATTTATGTCAAAGATCTTATCATTCGAAATGATTTTTTAAATGTAAACTATATTCTAGATAAATTGAGGAATAAAATAAATTGGATTTCAGAATATTTTCAAGTCTCAATTGCAATGAAATCAATAAAAAAAATCATTAACATAGAACAAGCAAACTTCACAAATATATCAAGAAAACTCAATTTCAAAGTAAAAAATGTTCAATTAGATTTTAGAGGCCAAAAATCCAATTTCTTTTATAACATATTGAAGAATAAAAAATCTGAAAAATGGTTTGTCTCAAAAAATGGGAAAAAGATTTCTGTATAACAAATCAATGTAAAATAGATGAAATAAATTGGCAGAATTTTTTTGTTAGCAAGATCATCAAGATTAAAGACAAAAAAGTTGCCAATTTTAATTTCAAACTAATTAATAACATACTTCCTGGGTTAACTGACTTATTTATCTATGGTATAACAAATTATTATCATTGTAGTATTTGCAATCACTTATGTTATTTGAAACATATTCTTTTTGAATGTTTTTTGTCAAAGGATATATGGAAATTTATATACAACACATGTGGTCTCAATATTTCGTATAGAAAAATAATAATTGGTTATAATGGCCAAGACTCTCAAACTAATTTTCTGAATTATTTTACAAGTATAGTTGCTTACAGCATTTACAAATCCTACATTTTAGAACTGAATAGTAAAGAACAAAGAACATTTGAAAAGATACTTTTTATGTTAAAATATGAAATTAATTGTAGAAAAAATGTGTATTATTGTTCCAAATGGAATTTATTATCCAAACTACTGCAATGAGATTATGTAAACCTGTTTTTATAAATCATGTACTGTCTATATATTTAGTAAATGAATGAAATAAAGACTATTTTAAAAGAAAAAAAAAACAGTCAAATGCGTGTTGAAAACAAACCCCTTTAACTTTGGTTTGTATGTCATTTTTTGATCTTTCAACTGTAAAATGTATGTCATCTATTAAAAAGAACATGAAAAATGTCACGTACCTAACTTCATTAATGATATAAATACACCAGATGGAGATACATTAAATTGAAAGCATTTATTCAACAGAAAAGTTTAAGGAACTTTAAGAAAATTGTTACTTAAATCTAATATCTGTAGAGAAACCAAAAGGAGAACATGTCCTCTGATCAAAAAGATAACACATGTAAAGAAAAGGGAAAATGGATATGTTTTGCACTGCTTTTGTTTACAACTATAACATTGCCCAGTGTATTCGCAATAGTAAATCTAAGTGAAACATACTATGTATACGTTGTGATTTGCGTGAATCTGATAATAATGTTTTCATTTGTGTGCTACATTGTGGGGATGAAAAAATGCAAAAGCCTTGAACACATGGATTTTTACTCCACTCGAGGGCCAAATATGGAGGAAATTGCAACCATAGATGCACTCAAGGGTGATACTGAGAACGCAATAGGAGAAACTGCAGCGTCAACTGAAGATGTACGTACAAATGAACTTCCACCGCATTATGAGGCAATTTGCCATTTCCAAGAAAGGGATGGTTCAAATTCACATCCCATAGCACAAGAAGTTTCCCCAGCAAATATCATTTGGATTTATTCAGCAGACGCAAAAAAGATTGTTCAACCACCTCCTTACAATGACTCACCTCCATCTAAACCACCAGCATATGAAACTGTAATTTCTATCGATGGGAGTTTGAATTAAAAAATGATGACCTTCATGCATAGACAAAATACACAAAACGCTGTGGTGATTTATATGTCACATAGCATAAAAAACATCTTTTTATTTTAAAAGATTTACAGAAGGCTGATTATAAAAAAAACATACCTTTTGAAAAAGAGACATGATTCACGACCATTTACAGTTACCCCAGAATATTATGTAAAGTTGAAAATGTGAGGATAAATTGATATACATGTATTTACCTGGCCAAGGAGCTCCGTCCAAGCAGGCTTCATGGCCAATCTGTAGGTACATCCTGGCTGTAGAAAAAGTTGAAGCCTTGCGTTGGCTTCAAAATTCTGTGGTCGGGGAATTTGTAACTTTACCGCAAGGGATGAGTTTTTGTTTGGCCTGAATTGAAAATGAAATTCAAGATTACTTTTTACATATGTGACATATGTGTGTCAGGTTACAGACACTTTTTTGGACTCATTATTTGACATCATTAGGTCTCTTTTTATAGACACAGAGGCCTGACCTAGTTTTGAGTTTTTGCATTCAGGTTTTTAGTGTACTATGATACTCTTTCTTTAAACACAATAGTTCATTTTGTGGAAATATTTTATAATTATACAGCTACATGTATAAGTAAATTGACTAATAATAAATAACTTTGTTTAGAGGTTTCTTTAAGGTTAACCTTTTGCAATATGCTATCTGTATAGAAATACTGTAAAAGAGGGGGGGGGGGTCTTATTTGGGGGGGGTCCATTGATCCCCAAGTTTGCTGAACATTTCCTGCTTTTTATTTCCACGTAAACGTATACACAACACTAAGTATAGTAATACAAAAAAAACATGTTGATAAGTAAAAACTCACTTGCTAAACTGGTAGACATTTTCATTGGACCAGGGTATATTGAGGATCATCAAGCTACCATCATAATTGCCTAAAACATAAATAATTCACATTAAATGTATTAACTAACCTTACTCAATGTAAATCAACAAACACTATTTTGTTCAACTGGCAATGGTTCAAAAAGTTTTGAGTTGAAAACAAAATACAAATATCACTGCAGTCATTCTATTATTTGCATTAATATTAACAACCATAGAAAACTACATACAGAGTTTAGAAAATATCTCAAAGACTATACATACATCCATAGGAAAAATGCTTTAAAATTAAGAGTTTCCTGGGAAATTTGTTCTTTTAATATGACTACATATTGATTTGATCAATGTCAACTTGATGCGATAAAAACATATTAATTGATAAAAAGTTTGGTTTATGGAAGTGTCCAAATTTTTAAAGATGTATTAAAGAAAACATTGACTCACATCAGTTAAAAATCAACATTTTTTCACAAAATCATAGAACATTTAAAGTCCACATTGGTAGCAACGCTGTTTTGAAAAATCATTTTTAAGTTGAATATGACCTCTATTAATAGGTTAAAATCTGTAAAAAAATATAATTTTATAAATTGTATTGCCTTTGAATGTAGGAAACTGCAAAAAAGAAATTCCCTTGAGGAACATATGTCGCCCTGCCATCTTTAAATAAAAGATTTATTAATCAGCAATAAAAGTTAACATCCATACTCTATAGAGGTGGACATTAATACACCAGATGCGAGTATAAATAATCTTGATTTACTTCATTCAATTTTCTTTGAAAATATGATTTCTAGGTCGGGGAGATTCCCCATAGACCCCATGTTGTAAAATCACAAAATGTGAAATATCTTTTCTTGTGTTGGACATATTTTAATTTGTATAACTATCTGGTTCACAAGGGAAATATGAAAAGTGAACCACTAAAACTGATGATTATTCAAGTTTAAGGGAATTTTGTAATACCCTGCCATGTTATTTCCCCCAAATCAGCCACCTGGTGGAGAAAGTGGTAACTACCTACTCGCATCTGAGTAATTGTCAATAAATGTCTGAAGGAATTATGTCAGTTTCTATCCGTTATTTTCTGGGAATTAACACATAAACATCTAAATTCTAAAATGTATTGGTACAAACATCATGTGAACATAGATGGCAATAACGCAGATGCGAGTTGGTAGTTACCAGTTTCATCACCAGGTGGCTCGTTCGGGTCAGATAGCATGGCGGGTATAGTAGAAAGTTCCCTTTAACTTAAATAACATCTGTTTTAGTGGTTCAATTTTCATATAACCCTTATGTATCTAATAGTTATGCAAATCAAAATATGTCCAGTAAATGAAAATGTTATCTGACCAAACAAGGCACAGACGTGAACAATATCGTACCTAAAACACAGCAGTGTGACAGTGAAGAATTTAGGACGGAAAATCCAAAATGGCCACCTTAAAATTTACCCAGAATGCCCAAAAACTAATCAGTTCTTAACTTTGATACGTAGAAACATCCCTGAAAATTTCAGATGAATCCATCAAATGGTTTGGCTGGAAACCTGTAGACAAGTCTTGAAAGTGAAGATTTTAGGATGGAAAATCCAAAATGGCCACCTTAAATTTTACCCAGAATGCCAAAAAACTGATCAGTTCTTAACTTTTATACGCAGAAACATCCCTGAAAATTTCAGATGAATCCGTCAAATGGTTTGGCTGGAAACCTGTAGACAAGTCTTGAAAGTGAAAATTTTAGGACGGAAAATCCAAAATGGCCACCTTAAAATTTACCCAGAATGCCCAAAAACTAATCAGTTGTTAACTTTGATATGTAGAAACATCCCTGTAAATTTCAAATGAATCCGTCAAATGGTTTGGCTGGAAACCTGTAGACAAGTCTTGAAAGTGAAGATTTTAGGATGGAAAATCCAAAATGGCCACCTTAAATTTTATCCAGAATGCCAAAAAACTAATCAGTTGTTAACTTTGATACGTAGAAACATCCCTGAAAATTTCAGATGAATCCGTCAAATGGTTTGGCTGGAAACCTGTAGACAAGTCTTGAAAGTGAAGATTTTAGGACGGAAAATCCAAAATGGCCACCTTAAAATTTACCCAGAATGCCCAAAAACTAATCAGTTCTTAACTTTGATACGTAGAAACATTCCTGAAAATTTCAGATGAATCTGTCAAATGGTTTGGCTGGAAACCTGTAGACAAGCTGAAAAGTGAGACGCCGCCCGCCGCCCGCCCGTCAAGCTGACGACAATATCGTACCTTTATTAGGTACGATAAAAAAGAAAAGATATTTCACTTTTTGTGATTTTGTAACATGGGCTCTATGGAGAATCAACCCAAACTAGAAGTCACACTTTCAAAAATAATTAAATTTTCAATCTTGATAAACAATTTTCGAAACCATATTTCTAGATGTACTTTTACATGTAGATTTCAAATATAAAATCGCTTTGACTGAATTTTGAATATTTAATAGCGTAAATCAAGATTTTTTCTACTCGCATCTAGTCTATTTGAAAATCTGAGATTTTATTACCTTTCCTAATCATATTAGGAGGAACCTTTACCTATTGTATTTTAAATCACTTACCTTTCTGTGTGTCATTACTACAACTAAGGCTGGTAAGACTTGCTGTATAGGCCTGTAGGGGGGCACTTAATCCAATAAGCTCAACATCATAGAACAATTCATTCTCCCTTGTAGCTTTTATAACTGTCTCTGCAGTCATTAAACTGTTGGGGAAATTAAATAAACCACGGGAGATGTTTAGCAGTGTGTATGACAGGTAGCGCTCGGTATTGGTAAATGTTTCAACCGTTACTTCAATTTGTGTCTTAGATTTTGGTATGGAGAGTATAACATGGGTGAAGCCAGTGACATCTGTGGGTTTAATGGAGATCATCTGTAAATATGGGAAAGTACACATATAAGTATCATGACGGAGCATTTATGTGTAGGTTTTACACATATAAATATCATTAAAGTGTTGTGTAGCAGTTATGTATAGGTTTTACACATATAAATATCATGACATTGAAGCAGTTATGAAGGTTTAACACAAATAAATATCATGACGATGTAGCACTTATGAAGGTTTTACCCATAAAAATATGTAGGCTTGACACATATAAATATCATAAAGTTGTAGCAGTTATGTAGGTTTTTACATAATATTAATAAAGCTTACAAACATATCACCATTCATATTTCGAATTGTGATACACGTACAAAGAATTCTTATGCTGTCAGCATGCATTTGTATTTGCAAAATATTGAAACGCATATGCATGACCAATGACCATCCATCTTTTCAAATACTATTCTAGTTCACAATATATTCTAGTTAGAGGTCAGTTATTTCCATCAACATTAAAAGAATCTGTATCGTTCATTTTGAGAAATGTGTGTAGTGTATCACCCTCAGGAAAAACATACATTGTATATTGTACCTCCCAGTGCATAACTAATATATATTTACCTTCTTATTAGCATACTGAGGGGGAATGATGCCACCTTTGTGAGATAAATCTGTAGCAGTCAGACTGAAAAATATTTGAAAACAATTGTAACTATGTATTTCATTATTTATATCATTTTATTTTGTTCAAATATGGATTATTATGAATTGATGACATATCACATTTTACGGACAAAAGAAAAGTATTCAATTCTTCCATTACAAAATGAGCAGTTAATCTTACCAGGTTTCTGATTGGTCCGCCTTGCAGCCTAACACCCACATGTCTACATCCTAAGAAACAAAAAAACAAATACAGTCAATCAAAGCATCTTTCATTTTATTTTTTTATGCATCAGGTTTTACAAGTAAGACTGTACTTGTACTTCAATGTAAGCATTTTATGATGTATACACTGTGGTATTTATAGATACATCATATTGGTTAGCTATGGTGTAGCATTGTCTCGAGTTAAGACTTATTGGCCTGTACATGTTTGTGGTACAATTGTCAAGAAAATATATTAATTTCAAAAATCCTGGACATAACATGAAAATGCTGTTAAAATATGGGATCTGACGATTCTTTTTGGTATAAGTGAAATATTGCCCCTTGTTCGCAACTTACCACAGTTGATGTCGCAACAATCCTCCAATCATCTCCTTGAGGAATCATAACACAGAAATAATGAGCATTTTTCACTTTATTACGCAAAAATCTCCATGATGTTTCAGTCCTCACTTCCTGTTTAATTGATTTATCTAGAACTATAGGTGTCTCTGCTTTATTAGCTACATAAGCGCCACCTTTGTTTCTATAGAGATGATGACGAAATATTGCCATTTTTTCAGCTGTGTTTGTAATCACTTGATGAGTTTTTCGGTCAATTATATCAAACATTGCTCTCTTTGTTGCCATGACCATTTGTTTACACCTATAAAAATGATATTGAGAAGAACAATATATTTGGGAACTTTTAATTTGTCTATTCTATAGACACAATAAATCAGTGTGCATCTAAATTAAAAATTACTCTTTAAAGGCCCTGTAACCCAAAATGATTTAAAATTCATATGGGGCCTTTAAAGAGGGGGAGTCGTAAGATGTCCTTTTGTGTGCAAAAATTTTAGTATGCTTTTTATCAAAAAAAAAATTCCTAATTTCAAAAATCAGTTTTGTGTGTGCTCTGGCAGTTATGGAAACAGAAGTGTTGAAGTAGAAGGAAACTTATAAAACATGGTATTGATGGCTAACAACTTACCAGACTGCGCATAGATGATCAGTGGACACCCAGGCCTTAGGAACAGACATACTCTGCAAACACAATATTGGTTAAAGAACTTGTGTAAATTGATCTTGTCTTGCACAAGATTTGATTACAAACTCTCTTAGACTAAAGTTATTAGGAGCGGGGTTAGAGCACCTCATTCTTAAGACTGCTTTTATGAGGGATGAAAGAACCTACCACTAGAATTGAAACGCAAAGTACCTTGTACTAACATAAATGATTTCACTTTACTTGGGACAAACCAACCCCTTTCAACAAATTGCTTGCAAAAAAGATATATTTTTGACTGATTTCCTCTCAATGATCTGAAGTACTTTCAAAACAAGAATTGTTGTATGTGAAAGCAGATACAGATATCAATTTATACACTGTATACAGGTATCTATCTTTATTGTATGATCTGTAAAATGAAGCCCTTTGATTGGTCAGTTCTTGTGGGGTACCAATTTTATAATACACCTCCCATTCAATTTTGACGTTTAAGATCATAGATGCTCAAATATAACAGTTTGCATTGTGCTTACTAGAGTGCTTAAAGATCTTTCAGGTGGGACAATATCTCTGAGACTCGTCAGTCCAGATCGCACCATGTTGTCACGGTAACCGCCACCAGTGGAAACAATGGTGACATCTTTTAGCGTGTCATTTACATGCCAGTGCCAATAGGCATTCACTTTGTCATAATACTGCTTCACATGAATGTCCATGGCCATCACTGAAAAATATAACATTCAAATTCAAAAATCATTACAACAAGGCATTAACATGACAAAATGTCACCACCTTGCAAATGTTAAGAATTTCTTACAGACACCGACCACTGAACAACATCCACAAAAAAGTTTTAGACTTAAACAATATCATTTAAATTTAAGAGAAATAAATACATACATATATTTTTCTCTATATTAGGATATTCGGATTTGTATTTCCACAACAGTCAACCATTCCTAAACCATCACACTATCTACTCAGTGAATGTACATACAAATATTAATCGACGGCAAAAATCTATAAAATCCATTTCCACTTACCTGGGGCCTGGTGGGGGGTGGCCTGTGTTATAATGGTATTAATAAGCTTGCTGTTAAAGTCAGTCAGAGCGAACAAACCCCTGGCTATGATGCCTCCCTAAAATACAAAGCATAAGGTATAATTTATTTAGAATGTTACTATACCCAGAGTATAGGCAACAATAAATTAGAAATATCAATTAAGGAATACATTTTTATGCACATTCACTGCATGGTCCAATTTTTGACTGACAATAGTAATTGATTATTTGACATGACTTAAAACTCGAAGAATATTTAACGACACAAAATAGACATAATTGCATTTTCATCTTCAAATTTAAAATTAAAATGAGTGAATTATTAAAACCGGGAATAAGAACAATCATGAATCAGAAGATCACAAGAGTCAACACAGAAAAATATTATCATCCATAAATCACATAGAGGTTCTTGTACTCGTACAAGTGACGAATCGCCCATTCTTGATTCACTTTAATTTAATGTTTCTTTAACTCGTCTTTAACTCGATAAAGAAAAATTATCAAATCTCATCAAGAATGGACGATCTTCCACAGGTACTCATACTCATACAATCTTTCAGTATCTTGGTTAGTCATATGAGAAAATATAATCCTACCATGGAGTGTCCAACAATGACAACACTGGAAGGGGGATGGCTTGCCTTCTTGTAAAGGGTGAGGATGTGCTTCAGACATACATGAACAAACTCTAAAACACATGAATAATCAACAAACATAAATGTAAAAATACATAAAAATACATCACATTTTAAGTGATCAATGAAAAAACTTAAAAGTAAGAGTCTTGACAAACTTGCATGAACAATTGACCTTCAAATTTATTCTTTACTCTCTCAAATAAAATATCTCCAAAAGATCCTCAATGTGTTATAAATTGGTGAAGTTACTAAGGATTCAAATTGAAAAATAGGGGAAAATATTTGAATTCTCCAAAATAATAAATATGGTAACTGTATTGTATTATATTATTTGTAATCAAGTATGCACTTTGGGGATTTTTAGAAAATATATATGTCAGGGAATGATATGAGCCAAAAATATTCTAAAATCGAAGAATCTTTGCTTGTTGGCTAGATCTGATTCTTTCTTTTACAGAATGTACGACTGATTACAGGCAATAATACTAATATGATTTCTGAACACATTTGACAAAATCTACAAAATCACAGATGAAGAACATACCTGTCTGCTCCTGTAATACTCCTCCATAAACACCTGACAGTTCCTAAGATACAAAACACAGCCCTTTGTTACAATACTATAAGTATAGTACAAGATCATACTCTGATATGTGATGATAAACCACTTTTGAAATTGGTAAAAATGAAGGTTTTTCCAAATACAAAGGAGAATAGAGTTGACCTTACAAACAAAATGTTGTCATTTAAAGTCATTTAAACATTTCAACATTTTAACATATTAATAACCAGTCAATATTTCAATTATGACCAATACATATAACAATGCACCCTGGAATAAGTCAAAGATCCATAATTTAATTGTTCTAAAATATTATATTTCATATTTTTTGTATACATACCTCACTGAAGTCAATGGAGAAATAGTTGAATTGGAAAGGAATCTTCTTGTCCCTCATCCTACGATACGCCACAGAACCAAGGGATCTCACTACAACATCAGTTAACATATTTCATATCTACATTCATCTAAATGCATATTCGCAAAATATGACTCTGGATTATAACATAGGAGCTATGTCTTGAAAGGTGTCCCGTTTTTAGAATATTTGGGACATATAAATATAAATTTGAACAAAATATGAATTCCATCATATCATGCCTTTGAAAAATATTGTTTAGGTCACATAAATGTTCATAATTTGGATGGATTTAATGAATTATAGGCTGATTTATAGCCACCTAAAGTCAATGTCATTATTTCAGAGATTTTGCTATAATTTCAAACAAAAATATTAATCATTTTAAATGTGTTTCTTGCAATTGAATCAGCTATCATGATCATTTTAGAATATGAGTTTCACGAACATTAAAGTAGATTGTCTGACATTAAACACAGATGAACAAAATAAAAGTACATATCTTTTAAGACTCACCTTGTTTATAGCTCCCAGCATTACCAGGTATAAACAGCACTGGGATACCATTAAACTCCATTTTTCTAAAAAATAATACACAATAATAATATCAATACAATCACAATCATTATAATACTCTATTACAAAACAAAATTTATATATTTAAAAAGCTCAAGTTTTTTTGTGTTTAAATACCACAAATGTTTATTTTCATTATCAAAGTCAAATACATGCACACTGTACATATTGTATTTGAGAGTGATGAATATTTCAATAGCACAAACCCTGATCAGTCAATTGTACAGCCCCATAAATATAATTCTGTAAAATTCTGAAGTATTTTAAGGTTGTGCATCAAACAAATATACTGCTGTGTATAACAAGAAGGAGGTTAATCATTTAAAAACACACTTATATAGCATTCTTATTCAATTCAAAGATGAGAGCTGAATTAAGATTTTGATGAGGAACTGTAACTACCAAAGTGTTATTCAGCCCCTTGGATACATAACATTTTTCATTGTTTGCCAGTGTTAGCCACTTTATTACATTAGACATACAATATCTGGGGTTAATTTTCTAAAACTAGATCAGTTTTACATACACTGTATTTTAAAAGTTATTTGTGCAAATTGTAAAGATTTTGTTGAAAAATTCTGCGACTAGTTTTATTGTTGCCTCTGGTATTCAAGGGTTAATAAAAACTATCGCCAACACTTACCCTAATGTTCTGGCATATGCCCTAAAATAATAAAAATAAAACATATATTTATACATGTACATTGTAGATATATATATTAGAGAATTAATCTTGATAATACAAAACTTTATTCTATCGATCAAGATACTATAAAACTTTGTTCTGTTAATCAACAAATATCCAATATACGGTATATATAGATAATAATGGGATGAACATTTGAATTGACTTGACATGAATTTAAAGTACAAGATTTATACAAAATTACTTTGTTTGTATCAAGTCCCTACACCCACAATTCCAACTTATTTAACAAGTAGTCAGGGGGGACAAAAAGGACAAAATGACTTGATACAACTCAATTTGATGCTCACCCTTCTCCATAAACATATAAGCCATATTTGGGGTACTTCTGTTCTACACTCTTCTTCAAGGGAACAGGCTGAAACAAAGGTATATTGAATAAAATTTGTATACACATGAAATAATATTATTAAATAATTTTAAACCAGGTATGCCTTGTTTCCAGACCTGGAATGACTCGAATGAGTGTAGCAGCACATATTCAAAGTCTTCTATACAAGACATGACTGAGTGAATTAAATTTTGTGAGATTTGGTTGTAATTTCAAAAATGCAGATTATTTGAACTGTGTTCTGATTGACTGGAATTTGATATATCATGCCTAGCTAGCAATGTGTAAATAACAAATTACATGTAATGAGAGAGCTAGACTATCTAATATTCCCTGATACAGTGGAGCCACCATTGGCTGAACATGTCATGGATGTGTATATGAAAACACCAGCCTTCTGAAAAACCAATGATGAGAATAAACCCTGGATGAGTGATGAGATGGATACTAAGTAGATCATCTGACACTTGCTCAATAAAGTACATAGGACATTCTTGGACACGGGCATTGTCGGACGATCTTTAATAATTCATTATTTTGCTTGATTTCTTTATTGAAAATTCAAATAAGACACATCATGATACGGTAATTACTTAGGGACCCAGCCTGAATATTTTTGTTTTTGAATATTGGAGAGTATTACGCGAGATTTTTTCATTTATATTTATTTTATGATGTGGGGTGATATCTAGAGTTTGAGGCTTGCGAAAATAAGATATCCTCATCTTTATACCCCCACCCTATAATTTCAGGGGGGTCAGAAGAAAATAAACTTTAATTCATAACTTTGGAAGTAAATGAGATACAAATTTAATTTTTTCACCATAATTTATAGAATAACATCAGTAATGCAGGAAAAAATATATCAAACGAAAATTAGCTAATTTGCATAATTTAACCCTTAAACAGCCATAAAAACTATTAAATAACAGAATGATAATAAACAACTTTTACTGTAATTGCCTTCATATGAAGTTATAACTTATGAAATAATTCCTAAAAATGCATCTATATATGTATATTAGATGTGCAAAATATTAAAAGTGTATCTTACATAACGACTGTGAAAAATATTTCTCCCCTTACCCTAAAATTGAAGGGAGGGGGTCAAAAGAAAATAAACTTTAATTCATAACTTTGGAAGTATATAAGATACAAACTTAATTTTTTCACCAAAATTTACAAAATAATATCAGTAATGGAGAAAAAAATATTTTAATATTAGAAGTGCATCTTATATATAGATTGTGAAAAAATTTCTCCCCCTACCCAGATATTTCAGGGGGGTCAACTGAAAATGGACTTTAATTTATAACTTTGGAAGTATATGAGGTATAAACCTATTTGTTCACCAAAATTTATGTAATAACATCAGTAACTAAGAAAAAACATTTTTGATATGCAAATAAGCTAATTTGCATAATTTAACCCTTATACAGTCATAAAAACCGTTAAAAGACAAAACGATAAAATACGACATTTATTTTAATCGACCTCTCATGAAGTTATAACTTATGAAATAATTCATATAGTTGCATTTATATATGTATAACAGATGTGCAAAATATTAAAAGTGTATCTTACATAACGACTGTGAAAAAAATTCTCCCCCTACCCAGATATTTGATTGTGAAAAATAAAGTCCATTTTTATTTGACCCCCTCCCCTCAAAAATCTGGATAGGGGGAGAATTTTTTTCACAGTCTTTATGTAAGATACACTTCTAATATTTTGCACATTTATTATACATATATAGATGCATTCTTAGGAATTATTTCATAAGTTAAAACTTCATATGAAGGCAATAACAGTAAATGTGATATAACATCATTTCGTCATTTACTAGTTTTTATGGCAGTTTAAGGGTTAAATTATGCAAATTAGCTTTTTTTCATTCAAAATATTTTTTCTTCATTACTGATGTTATTTCATAAATTTTGGTGAAAAAATTAAGTTTGTATCTCATATACTTCCAAAGTTATGAATTAAAGTCTATTTTCTTCTGACCCCCCTAAAATTATAGGGCGGGGGTATAAAGATGAAGATATCTTATTTTCGCAAGTCTCAAACTCTAGATATCACCCCACATCATAAAAGTAACTTATTTTCCAACAAGAACTGAAAAAATCTCGCGTAATACTTTCCAATATCCATTTTCACTTTCTAGCTGTTTCTCAGAACTTGGGTCCCTGAGTAAATATACATGGTATAAAGTCTAACATGACAATGCCCCAGATTTTTACCTGATGCCAAGGGTTTGTTCGGGAAGCCCCTGTGCCCCTATATACTCTATGTCATTAAAATCTACATGTGTTTGAAGACAATCTACAGTGTTCCACTAGATTTTTCTGACTACTTTGATCGTGAAAAAATAAGACTTAATACTTAAAGAATGAGACTGTCACTTACCTTCCAGAAGTTAAGTGAAACATAAAACCTAACAGCACATAAACTGTGTTGCATAACCACAATGTCCAAGAGATAAAAATGAAATGTATTAAAACAGACTTTACTATTTCGTTATTCCAGAAGTTTTGATACACTTTATTCGAGCTTGCATGCACACACTTTAGTCACTTTAAACTACATTTTCATATTTAGATGAATTATGAGATTGTATCATTTAGAGCAATTTATTGGGCACATTTTCTGAAAGATTCAAAAGATTCTGTTCAGTGACCTTTCCTAAGCTCCTACTTTTAGCTATTTTTTCAGTCACATTTTCAGAGGGCTGAAAAAGTTATTTCATCATGTTTAGGGTCATTCTGGCCATGTACATTGTGATCCATGTCATGTAAATGATATGTGCAACTAGTTACACTGACTGGAGGTCAAAACAGGACTCTGTTATCTTGGTTCAAAAAATGTTTGAAATCAAGCATGGTTTTGTTTATCAAATCCTACGACCACTTTAGCATGCTAAGAGCTTCCACCATTGTGGAAAGTGCTGAATATTTCCAATTCAAAAACGAAAATCTCTTCGTTCTGCTGACAAACCCATACAATTGGCGGTTCAACTAGTTAATAAAAAGGATTCTTAAATACTCATGGATGTATCAAGGTAGCTCATTTAAGTATGCTTTGTAAAAACATTGACTGACCAATGATTCGTGCGTAGTCCTAGGATGCGATAATGGTTTTGTCACTTCCTGTTATGTCATTTCCTGTTAGAGTCCATTTCACTGTTTCATTGCGTCAGTAGAATGGCAAAAATAAGAAATTGGGAGACCATTGTGCAATAATATATGGAAAAGTATATTCATAATGTACATGAATGACATTTGTATATTTCAGATTTTTTAGTTTTTTGTGCAAAAAGCCTGTGCCGTCTTGTAATTTGAAGAATTTCAGCCATGTTAATCTTATTGAAAATAACATGGCAGAGAAGCATCCAAATATAAGAGGCCACACACTTTATAAGCCAAACTAGAAGCAATCCAAGATATACAAATGTCATTCATATACAATAGGAATATATTTTTCCATATATTATCGCAAAATGATATTTTGATTTCTTATTTTTTAGCTTTTACTGACACAGTTAACAATGAAATGGACTCTAAGTACCATGGCACCTTAAGGTCAGGGTGCATAATGGGAAATTTTCTGCATTCCTCAATTGAGTTACATGTTATTTTTCAAACAAGAATCACTCCTTCCCCATATTGTGGGTTTGTGTAAAAAACTGGGTGACCGGGTAACCGGGTGACCGGGTAATTAACGTTCCTAGCAGGGTTAGGAATTTTTTTTATTTATAACGTTGGATCTGGACGATACATGTACGTTATTTTCGACATCACGTTTTGAGGTTATTTCACATCGTTAGAACGTTTTGACAACGTTAACTTTTAACGTTAAAATAACGTCGGTAATGAACCGATTTAGTGAGAACATATTGACGTCTTTGTAACGTTTCCTTTACTCACACATATTTTGAAGCCATTTCCACAATGTTGAAATTCAACCATCCATCGACGTTTTGCTGAATATTTAAATAACATCAGATCAGTACGGTCCATGAACGTCATTATTGACGTCACGTTTTGATGTTATTTCAAATTGAAAAAACGTTTCGACAATGTTAAATTTTAACGTTAACGATACGTCGGAAATGAACCGACTTAGTGAGAACACAAAGTTTTTGTCATGTTTTTTTCCACCAACAAATATTTTGATATTAAAAGTCTGTTTTGACAACGTTGAATTTTAACGTTTAAGTTACGTCACATATGGACCAATGTAGTAAAAAATCAAACGTTCCTGTTAATTATGTTTTCCAAACTAATGAACTTTACGGACACGTTACAACAACGTTCTTTTTATACCATCAATAGATGTTTCATGTTTACGTTGCCTTGATGTGTAAAGAACGAAAATGTGCAACGTCTTCTAGGAACTTATATACTTATAAGCAACGACATGGATGTCACTGTTTGCTGGATCGATTATTTTAAAAAGTGCTCTGTCTCGTATAGGATAAAAATATCGAACAGCAGTGCACTCGGTAGGCTAAGTCTGTCAAGTCAATTCGCTACTATATATCGGGGGAAATGTGGAACTTTGAAAGTTTGTAACCCTGCTAGGAACGTTAGGTACCCGGTGCACCGGGTACCCGGTTACCCAGTCACCCGTTTTTTTACACGAACCCCCATATTGTCTAAATCTTCCAGTTTTGCACAAAGAGTGCTCTTATGTGCCTAGAAAAGACTTGTGAGAAGAATGTTTTGATAAAGTGTATAAAAAACAAAAAAATTCAGTGAAAAAATTCAGAAATTTTTTTCACTGAATTTTTTCGTTTTTTACACAGTCAGAGAGAATGTTTCTGGCGAAATTCTGGGATTTCAAGTACTTGAAGTTGGGAAACCGGAAGGGCTTACCTTTTTTAATTCCCGAATCTCACCAAATCTCTCCGAAATTAGCTCATCTTTGTGACTGTAAATTGCACAGCTGTATCTAATGGAGTCTTGTCATATTCAATCAGCCTCAATTTTAAAGTGTATATTTTATTTTCAACGTGATTTCATCGTTTTTTGTCTACTGGTAAGAATACGCTGGGCAAATGGCAAGATGGATGACTTTTGACCTGACCTACACCGATGGCGGTGACGTCATCAATTTTATCTATACAAATTCTATTTGGTCACGTGACCTTGTGCCAGAAGTCCGACTTTTTGGTCAGTCGACCTGTTCAAAGTACATTTAGTTATAATTATTGCTTTTCAGAACAATTTAGGAAACAATATTTTCTATCTACGTGACTACGTCGATTACAAAACATCTAAGGTACGTAAATTTATATGAACAACTGAGTCAATAGGGATAAATAGCCCAACGAGAGTCGGCGGTTTTAAAAAATACTTGGATCTGGATGCCAGTCCTGGTATAGATATAGTTCCAGGGCAGTTCGAAGAACGTATTAGATGTCCGTGGTTTTTTATACATTTTCCAAAACAAACCTTCTCACAAGGCTTTTCTAGGCACATAAGTGCACTCTTTGTGCAAACCTGGAAGATGTCGACAATGTGGGGAAGGCACAGGCAATGGAACATAGAAATAATCCCCCCCACTTTCTATATATGAGTAAAATAAATTATTTTACTTATATATAGAGAGTGGGGGGGGGATTATTTCTATGTTCCATTGCCTGTGGGGGAAGGAGTTATTCTTTGTTGAAAAATAACATGTGACTCAATTGAGGAATGCAGAAAATTACCCAACATGCACCCTGTCATAATATAGCGGGACAAAAGGGCCCAAACTCGGGACATGAGGTCCCCTGGGTAAATTCTATTGTGTTTTTTCAAATGACCAGTGCACATGTATAAAATTGACCAAACACATTTGGACTGGTCGGTGAAAATTCAAGTGGAACATTTAGTGGTGGTATACAAATACATATATTTAGGGTAAATAAAATAGAATCAAACCTCATAATGTGGATACTCGTACATGTATGTCATCTCACAACCATTCTTTTCAAAATTGAGTAATACATCTATCGCTCCGAGCAGTATTACAGCAAACAGTGAGATTACAAATATTGTTTTCATGGGCGCCGCCATTTTAGAACGGAAATGGTAAAGCTGAAACGAAATCATTATGTATTTTTGATAATCGATGCACTCAGAAGAAAATATACACCATATCATATTAACCAGTTAAAGGATAATAAAATATTATGATAATATCACAAATGTCACTTTTAATGTTGATTTCATATGAATAATATTTTGATTAACAATTTCGTTTTATTCTCGAGTTGAAACTTTGATGTGTCAAAATAAAAAAATAAAAAAATGGATTTGGAAAAGTACGACAGTGCACTTCTAGGCATTTTACAGAACGAGGGCAAGATAGAGAAATTTCTTGATGTTGTATTTGGCTTTCTCTATAGGAGGTAATTATAACTGGTCATCGTATTCGCTTTGAGTCTGTGTTTTATTGTCAAATCGGCGACAACAACAATGGTCTGTGGTTGTCTATTATCACCCACGGCTCCCATTCCCATTGACGCAGGCCTGTCAACTGTCCCGCAATTTGCGTATTTGTCACGCATTTGCTGAAGAATTTGAAGTCACGCCAGTTATTTTTGCGTGACAGAAAATGTCACGCAAATACGCATTTTACCTGGTAATTGTCAAGCAAAAATATTTCTGTAGAAAATTTTTTAAAAAAGATCGTCTACACAGTAAAAATACGAACGCCGGAAAAAAACGTACGCATTTCGTTCGGACATCTCACGCGAATTGCGTATATGTCACGCATTCCGTTCGAAATATTTCGTACCTACCCCCCCCCCCCCCCCCCCCCCCCCGTTGACGGATGTTCGAAACGCGAGCGTAGCGAGCGCGAAAAATTGGAGGTGTTCAAAATTTGGCAAGATGTAATAAAATTTAATCCAAGGTGTTCAAAATTTGGATCAAGGTGTTCAGATTTGGACCAAGGTGTCCACATTTTGAGGGGAGGTGTTCAACATTTCCAAGTCACTCATGTTAGGTGTTCCCAAGTTGACAGGCCTGATTGACGCAACTCTATATTTTCCAACAAATGAAAATGTCACAATGTTGTTATTTTCTGAAATTATAACTGAGTATGAAAAAGTACAAAGAAGAGCCACCAAGTTAGTACCAACCTTAAAAGACTTAAAGGGACAAAGTGCTGAAATGAAGTCTCACTTTTGATCTTCATAGTATTTCCAATGGATAAATAAGTACCTGATCTTTCATTTGACACCAAAAATAGCTCAAACAGACCACATCAGACTTGACACTGGATCATGAAAAAATATTTTTGATCTATCAATTTATATGTGTCAAGTTTTTAGCAATGCCATAGAAAGATGGCATTGTTGTTTGCATTGATTATCTATTCATTTTTGATAGGATTTTCAAGCATACGCCATCTTTTAATCCAAGAGTTATTTAAAACATACATTTTTTGAAAAGTGGTAATTCACTTTTTTCAATCTCTGAACTTCAAATGCCGTTTTCTATGCGAATAATTTTTTTTTCACTTCAGTATTATCCCAAATTAAAGTTTTTATCATATTTGATTGACTGTGTGAGTGACATGTCTCAAATAATATTTTGTCCTTTTTCCTTCAAAAATAGGCGCATTGCCTGTTTAAGCTACTATGATAGGATGAAACAACTAAAACTCCCCTCCCTCCAATACAGAAGAACTAGAGGTGACCTAATACAAATATTCAAGATAGTGAATGGTTATGACAGAATCAAACTCATGGACATTGCACAAAAATCAGAAAATAAGATGACGAGAGGGAATACAGAAAAATTAAGCCACAGATATAGCAGACTCGATGTAAGAAAAAATGTATTTGGAAATAGAATCGTCAACACATGGAACAATCTTCCCCAATCTGTAATAGACACCACAGATATAAATCAATTCAAGAATGGAATTGACAAGCACCTGATGAGACAGAAATTCCTTCACCACAACTAACCCATGTCCAGTGAGCAATTAAACAACGCCCCCCTTAACATGATATGAAAATAATACATAGAAAGATCTGGATTATACAGGACTATCCTTCTTCCAGAATTATAGATATAGATATAGATATATAGAAATAACATGAGCCCATGGAAATAAGAACAAAACCCGCGATTCAAATTCTGAAGTCAACAAAATGACAGCTGTTTGAATTTAAATTTTGCAATCCTGACATCTCCACATAAGGCAGATTTGTTCCTCGGGATTTTGGTCTAGGGACGGGACAGGGTGAGACAACCCTTGTGAAATGAATATTTTGGTCCATGTTCAGGATTTACTATACTATTTCTCCTGTATATGAACCTAAAACTTCCCAAATGCACGATACAGTGGGAGACATTAATAAACCTCAACCATCAAAAGTTATCACTCTTCCAAGCGGTAGAAAAATAATTCCCGTTCACTTTAAGAAGCACAATAAATGAATCCAAAGCTTCATACATGTACCTGCAAATGATAGATAAATTCCTACCAAATCGAACGAATGTTTTCATGGATCGCCATGTTTGTGATCCAAGGTGGATTGACTCCCAGAATGCAACATCAGTTAACCTTATTTACTCGTGACAGGTTTCAAAATGGAATGGCATTACTCATTACTTATTACATCCTGAAATGGATAATTATTGTCCCATCCCGGAATATTTATGTTTCGTGACATCCCTAATCATTATTTTGTAAATATTTTTATATGATTTTAATAAATAAAAAAAAAATATATATATATATATATAGATAGGCTGCTCTTTATCATAAGAAATGTTCAGCTTTTTTCGATGAGGGAAAAAAGAATTATTTTAGTCTATTTCCGTTTCATTTGGGTTCATTTTTTGGACATCCTGTATTCCATGAACATTACGTTTCACATTTTTCAGGACTGATTATTACTTGCCCATTCAAGAAGGCAAATTAGGATTTCCACCGGGTGTTGCTCTACAACTTGCTGCTGCGGTGAGATATATTTTAAAATATCCTGCTTTTTGTAAATGTGGACTCTTAGATATTTTAAAATCTGGTTATTAATCATTATTATTACCACCTTGCCGGGCCTGTTCTAGGGATATTAGTGCTAGTTTAGAAGGCTTTTATTTTACTATATTGGCCTGATCAATATATGACATCATAGTGGCGGGCCAAGCTGGTGGGCCAATATTGATATTTCAGCCCGCCAAAATATTGGTAATAATACCAATATTTCACTATATTGCCCTTTGAAATGACGTTATTGTACTATTATTCTGAACTAGTAACTCATGGTCACCTGATATTGTAACTTACCAGAATTTATATCATAATCATTGACATATCTAAGTGGCATCACATCTTTGCACTAAGTGACATCATATCTTAGTGACATCACATCTCTACACTAAGTGACATCATATCTTAGTGACCTGCTCTAGAAATATAAATATTTTAACAGATTTTGTTTTTTCAAGAATATATCTTTCACACTTGGATACATCTTCAAAGGAGTGGTATCGATATGGTGAACTATTTGAACATGAGTTTCTCTTAAACCAGTCATCAAAACATTCTGAAAATTTACACATCGTCAATTTAATGGTCATCTTTTGGATGGTAAGATTATGAATTAAAAAAAATATATGTACTTTTCTCTATATTGTTTTAGAAAACACATCAGACACTTCTTTTGTTCTTGGTATCATATGTTTGGAATGAAATGAAACATCTATCCGAACCTCATTGGAACAAAACGACATAAACACAACATGTTTAGGTCTCTCAATATTGTGATTGTGCAAAGGAAAGTTTGGTTGATTTTAAAAAAGTATCTTGTTAATGAAATAAAAGGTTTAACTTAATTTTTATCTATTTTGGGGGGTTTTGTTTTAAGTTTTTGCATACTTTTTGTAAAATCAACCAAAATTTCCTTTGTATAACTATAATATTGAGAGGTCTAAGAAAATGTTGTATATGCTATTTTGTTCCAACAAGGTTCGGAAAGACATTTTATTTCATTCTCAAGAATTGGTAGAAAGGAACAAAAATCAACTTTACTAAAAAACAAAAAAATGTTAACAAAAACAGTTATATAAAATATATATAAATAATTTTTGCATTAAATTGTTGCCAATCAGTCAACATTACATAAAGCAGAGATCACGATAGTTGAAAAAACTTGTTAGCCATTGTGGCTAATTCTTCCAAAATTTTTTTAGCCAAGCAAAATATGAATTAACCATTTTGACCGAAAAAAATTAAACACTTCTAATGACTGACATAGTGAGTAAAATTAATATATGTCGCGTAATCTACTTTTCCGAAAAAGTTTTCTTCTGAAAAGTCGTTCAAATTCAACATTTATGAAGTTGTTTGGTGAGTAAACCGTAAAAAAGGGAATTCGCTGTAACTGCGAAATACCTTTACATATTTTTCGCCACCTCTTTCGAAAATTCGCGATTGGCGAATGACAAACGTCTACGGTGATCTCTGCATAAAGGACCATTTTTTTTTACAGAATGTTTTCAATAATTGGTTTAAGAGAAAAACATTGTTGAATTCAGTTCACCATATCGATACCTATCCTTTGATAACAAATTAAGTTTTCAGTTTTTCTTTTGTATACGGCCATATGTATACATTTTCTACCTCCTGTTGTGGAAACTATACCCAGTGAAATGGCTCAAAATCATTTTATCATGATGCATCAGTTAATCAAATCAAATGTTATTATTTCTTTATTTCATAAATAGATGGAAGATTAATCACTTAAATGTTAGTTATCGCCTGAAGTTTATCAAATAAATAGACAGTTCAACCTATAAAAATGAACACTGAATGTTTGTGCAGTTAGGATATATTGTCTTCAATAGATTAAGTGGGCAATAGTAGAAATGATACATTTTGTAATTCAATGGATCTTCCAGATAAGTACCGTAATCGCCGTATTAAGGGCCCACCCCTAAATAGCTCCCATCTGCAAAGAAATTTCGTGGGCGAGAATTTGAGTACTTTACACTAAAATGCAGAAAACTTGACGCATTTTGTGATTCGATGCATCCTCCCGATAAATATCTATCAGTGGGTGCTTCCCACATCATACTGAGCTAATATTATCTTAAAATAGTCCATGATGAATGAAGGAAATGTTCAGGTTTCAGAGTTTTGTTTCGACATTTTACTAACTAGCGATCGTCAAGGTTATGTCAAGATTTCTCTACTTTTACATGACTTTTACACGAAAAATGATGATCTGTCATCAAATTGAAAAAATCAGGTATACCGGATTTTCTCGCATATAAGCCCTGGGCGTATAACTGAAAGAAGGGGTAATTTCGTCTGTTATTTTACCTCTTATTTTTCGCCCATGGGCGTATAAGTGTACTACTTTCGATTTTTGGCCAAGTGGGCGTAAAGGTGAGAAGAGCTGATCTTCCTCAAAGACTACCGTACCTACTGTTGTAGTCCTACCGCATGTTTTGTAAGAATTATAAAGGAAATGTCACCTACAACCTTAGACTTAATGTTGAAACAAAGTAACAACAGAACGATCCACCACTGCCACTTACGGCACAGCGTTGAACTTAATGTTGGAACAAAGTAACTACAGAACGATCTGCCAGTGACAAAATACTCTTGAATTTATTGAAAAAATCAATTAAAGTCATTTTTCATAGGCCCATGGGCGTATAAGCGTACTACATTCGATTTTTGGCCCATAGGCCTAAATTTAGGGGGGCGTATATGCGAGAAAATCCGGTAACTTTAGATCAGTATCTAACAGTCTATAGTGGAAATATTGAAGATAATAGCGGAAAACAATTCCTTCACCTCGAGGGGCTCTGCTGGGGAGTTCTTCAATCACTGTCAATATAGTAAGATTCTTGCTTTACTTTAGCAATCTTTACCGTATTCTCTTCAATAACGATACATATCATTATTGTAAAAATATGCTGTTACTTTCGTTGCAAATAAGGCATTTTTGGCAAGAAAAATTCCCATACATGAAATTCCCGGGGATTTTTGACTTCTCTCATATATGGGCACTCTTTGTTATGGGTTACAATGGGAATTTCAATTTCAAAAGCGCTAAATTTCATGGTGTTAAATGAAAAATGGTGATCTATAATTAAATTAAAAACATAAGGTATAATGTCAAGGTGTGAACTTCTTAATACAATGTATATATTACTTTAGTATGCTGTTGCTCAACCATTCTGATGTTGCAAATAAGCCTCTCTTGGTAAAGAAATCATATACCCAAAATTCCCAGGGATTTTTGACTTCTTTCATATATAGGCACTTATTAGAATGGTCGGAAGGAGGTATTTTGAATTTTCTAAACACCCCAGGCACTAATTACAGAGAATATGGTAATTTATTTATTATTAATTTGAAGTAGTCTATCACATAGAACTCGACTGATAAAGTTCAGAATGGTACATTTCAACAAACTAGTTAAAAATATCTACTAGAAGCTTTGTATAATTTGAAGTCATAATGGACATTCTGATATTACCCCTTGCTAGTGAAAGATTTAAAGTATTAATTTACAATTGTTTGTAATTTCTTGTCATCAGAATTCCTTGGAAACTGCTCATGGGATTCAATTAAAAATTTTAAAGCTTTAACATGGTGTCCAAGTCTAGAGCCATTGTTAGTATTTATTATTGTGAGGGTGCAGGTTAGTATCTAAATCTACTAGGTATTTTGGGTATGTTGTACTTCATCCCAGGAGTAGGGACCTTTAAACTATGAACTTTGCCTATATTTGACCAGATATTATTGCTCCCCGTCCGTTGAAATTGACCCACTGGGTTGCTTATTATATTGTACAGACTATGAATCCCATAAGTTATAACCCAATTTAGACAACAACATTTACAAATATGGGAAAACTCTTCAAGGGTTGAAGGGGTCTAGTTCACACCACGTGAAAAAATAAAAGATTCATGTGATTCCATGCTGATTTCTCAACATATATTACATATATTAAGTGAACCATAAAAATATTATTAAATCAGTTATGTAGTCATATAGTAAAAGTTGATAAAGTTTGAACGATATGCAAATCAGAGTGTAGTACAGCGGCATAGCCAGGATTTGTCAGGGGGTTCTAACGTTTTTGAATGAAATTTTTTCTGAGCCATTCTCACGAGAATTTGGTGAAAATTTTGCTTAATTTACTTCAACTTCACATTTCCTTAGATTTCACACATCCTTTGATTTGCCATTTGATTAATACAACTCCAATTTTTCAAAAAATGTAAACCCTTTTTTGAAAAATGTCTGTTTAAATCCTTTTAAAATTTAGCCATTCTGGAGGACTTTCTGGAAAGGTTGGTGAAACTAACAGCTCATGGCTGTACCAGACCACAAACTTGCAAAAATTGTTAGAAACAGAATGCCCCCCCCTCAATTTACCCCCCCCCCCCCAATATAATTCGAGCAAAGTTCATGTAATTGATTCATCAATATGGTTCATTGATTATATTGCATTCATATCTCAATCACTTGTACTATGAGCTCTTCAAACTATAGTGATATTTGTAATTATTAGACACATTTGATTCACCCGTCTTTCTGAATATGAAAGGACAACTTTGTTAACACAATTCTGCTGACTAAGGGGGTTCAAACATTTAAAGAGTTATTTGGGGCATGAGGCCTTTCAAACCCCCTCTCCATACGGTCCTGTAGATATAATTGATAATTCATAAAAGTAGCTTAGTATCCAGAATTCAGAACCTTGGGTTCAAACCACTCCTTTTTATGCCCTTTTTGAGTCATTAAAACTTCATTTGAAATCTTGAATTTTTACATGTGTATGTTTATTTTTCTGTAAATGTTATCTAAAATTTTTTCAGATATTGATTCATAGATCATAAAGTACATATTAATATTTTACATTCTTACATACATGGTAAATGATTCTTGGTTAGAAGGCTGATGAAATATGTGTCATTTATGGGATAATTTATTACATGTACATTGACCCGACCTTAAAGATTTAGATCATGTCAGTTTAGACTTGATATAATGTCATTAACCTGACAAATTTTATACATGCTGAATGATATAAGTAGGGCAAAAACTATTTTTTATCATCATGCTCGGAAATAAGGTTATAATCAATCAATAAAACTTTGTAGATGATTTCCATCTTTACAAAGTACAGTACATACCAAATTTAGCATGACAGTTGAACGGGCGGGGTACAGTACAACACAAGGAACGATAAAATGTGATAAAACTGATGATGTTTTCATTGTTTCAGAAAAACTCCTTCAAAAACTAGTCTAATTTCTAGACATTTTTATATGTGAATGTCTGTAACAATATCCTAGACAGTGAACTTGATGGATAATTTCATAGTTAAACCTACACAAACTTCAAATGTAGTATACAGTATAACGCGCAGTAATGGTACATTTGTAAGTACAACACAAGGAATTGGAAATTGCATTATACCGTATCTTACCCGCGCGTTATACCATATACTACATTCGAAGTTTGTGTAGGTTTAACTCTGAAATTAACCATCAAGTTCACTGTCTAGGATATTGTTACAGACATTCACATCTAAAAATATCTAGAAATTAGACCAGATCTATCTGAAACAATGAAAACATCAGTTTGCTCAGATTTCATCACCCTCGTGTTGCACTGTACCCCGTGCGTTCAACTGTCACGCTTAATTTGGTATGTACCCTGTGATCTTGCCCATCAATATAGCATTAAATAGTACTGCGGCCAAACACATGTATACATTTCTTTAGTAACAATAAATCACTTTTGTTAATATCAGGTTTAACCTTTATTTGGTGAGGTTAAATGTTTATAAATAACACATCAAATGAACAAATGATAAGATGATTTCTTGCTTAGTTTGATAAGGGACAAATATATGTCAAGACATACTGGCTTGGCAGTTATTAGTTTCATTTTCAATTTTTGTTCTAATGGTCATGGTAAAGGTCTAACTAATGATATACCACTAGAATGGTTTAGTGAAATGACAAGTTTGTGCTGCTGAGTTGGTTGACAGGCAACACAACACAAAAAAACTGAATCATCATGAAAGCAAGAAAACTGTCCATCCGTTTATCCTGTAAGGCACAACCGTGGTGTGCCCCTCAAAGACTCTGAAGCTGATACGCAGAAATTTTTAAAGATGCAAAAGTCTGAAATTTTTGGCATGCTGGGTGGATTATTGCAACTTTGCCTTTAAATTTAAAGTCAAGTGTCTCTGTCTCATGTTTCACTTAAATGTCTCTACCTAAACTTCAAGCTCCTCGGGCTACATCTCCAACTCCTTGTCTTCCTTTACTCCATTCCCTTGAGAACTCCAGCATTGCTCCAGTTGCTCATTCTGGGTACTTCTGTACTCCCCTCGTGCGCATCAGGCTACTTTTTCCACTTTTCTTCTCAAGGGGATTCAATGGAAGAACTATTCTTAATTCTCATCTTCTCCTTGCAGCTTGTCTTCTTCTCTGGCATCTTGAAGCGTAATTAGATTGTATCGTTTCATTCACCTCTGGCAAGTACAAAATCATTTTCCCAATACCCATACTATTCTCCTATATCCATACTCTTAGTAACCATAATTTGTCTCTGTTCTGAGCCTCTCCAAGAGCAAAATCTCATGTATGACCATACTGATATTCATACTTTAATTAGTGATAGATTGTCTCTCGTCTAAGTCTCTGATTGAATTCAACTTAACTGCATCCAAGTCAACCATTTAGAATCAAAACTCCATTTAAAAATTCAACAAATGTTTTCCTCTTGTTCACACAATCTCCCTTCCAAACGCCCAAGGTCTAGTTCAATTGTTCCTCATTATTAGCATTGTTTCTGGAGGCTCTTCTGCCATGCAGTCTGATGATTCTGCAAGGATCTATCCACACATTTCCCTGAATGGTCTTCACCTGTTCTTAGTCTTATTTTCGAGTATCTTCAAGGGTTCACATCCCATAAAATATTGGTGTACTGATCATTCACAAAGAACGGCTACTTCCTTTAGGCATCTCTTCCAGGTGCTGACCTGTTTGAGGGTACTTGTAGATGCATATTATACTTAGTGTACTTTGTATACGAGCTTTGTATGTGAGTCTTGCATGTGAGCTTTGTGAAGTGAGCTTTGTGAAAATGTAATAGTGGATTTAAACAGATGTCAGATAGCATTCAAATTTCCAAATATAATAGTGGATTTAAACAGATGTCAGATAGCATTCAAATTTCCAAATATTGAGTTTGATATTTTTCTATTTGAAGCAGTAAATTGGTTATGGGGGAAATTTGGTAAAATGTAATTATTTTAAAATGACACATATTTTTTCAGCATATCTACAATTTCTAAGTGTATCTAATCAATATAAAAAGGCTACATACATCCAGGAGGATGTCAAGGAGATCATGTTTTTGAGATGATATTATGTAAATGAAAAGTAATGCTGAATGAAAATTAAATGAAAAAAATAAAAAAGATTCATGAGCAAACTCCTGTTGGTTGTTTTTGATAGTGTATCAAAAACTTGTGAGGGGTACTGTAAAAGCATAAAATTCAATGAACACTATTTTGATTTGGTTACTGATTTTTTATCAACTGTATTCTCATTATTTCTATTGGTCAAAAATAGATCAAATGATTAAGTCAGAGTGTAGATGAAGCTCTCTTTTAAGAAGGAAAATCAACTTATTGGAAAGGGTATAATACATGTAATGGTGTTAGAGTAGCATTGATATTACATGTACAATGAAATAATCCATTTATTTACAGGGTGACACAAAAATGCGACCTACTAATTTTGGAATAACTTTTTCAATAATTAAGGAATCTTCATGATTTTTTGTTTGATTTTTTATAACTTTCTCAATAATTAAGGAATCTTCATGATTTTTTATGCATAGATACAATAGAATGTTCAATGGAAGAAACATTGGTATGCTTGCATAGCATCAGCAACTTGGGAATTAGGAGATATCTTATTTTCCGTGGAGACATGCTGATCGAAATCATTAAAAAATGTAAATCTAAAATTTATTCAGTTAGTGACTTGGTTCATCAAATTTGACATTTTTTTTAAAAAGATGGGTTAGATATGACATATGGCATATTATTGATAATATACAGGGTTCTCACCAGAAAAATACAGAGGGGGGGGGGGCATATGGTGCATTCTAAGCATTTCTGGCAATAATTTGGTAAATTTTTTTTCAACAAAGGTTTGATTCATTCAAAAACACTGATTTTATTTTTCCTTATCAAAAGTACACATTTCAAAATTTCGGCAAAAAAATCATTGCAAAAATTTCACATGCTCAGCAAAAATTATTTCTTCAATAATTACTTACAATCATTCTCTTTGTTCCAAACAAGGAGGGTTGTAGCAGAAGTGCCCTTCTTGGGAGCACTGCCTGGCATTGGGGAGACTGATAAACTTAGATTTATACTTTGAAATGAAATGATTGAAGAAATATTACAAATTTTACAAAAATCTAACCTAGAGTATGTGTCGCACAAAACGAAAAAATTTGAATGAATTCCCGGGATAATGACTCATTTACATTGTGTGTATAGGCTATCTCCTCATGCATTTATTTGGCGCAGTCACGACATCTAACGTGCAATACAAATATGGCTATCTGGTAAAAGAATTGTTTTTTAAATCGTGATTGTAAACGATATTAGTTTGAATTTACAACAATTTAGGCTGTGGTTATGAGAGTTTAGACTGGTTACTACCTTTGATGGTGGATAGGTTGTGGAGGTACTCAATTTAATTAGATTGTTGTGTTGAGCCAACAAAACTGTAGCGAGAGCCCTGATATATGTGAAAGCAATCCAGAAATAAATAATGGCTAACTTAAATAACAGCTAAAACAGAAATCCCAATTTCAATAACCTGTATTTTTGAACATTTTTGACAATTTCGTCATGAGCATACCTGGACAGAAAACATGGGATCTCCAAATTGCAAAGTTGTTGATGCTATACAAGTACACCAATCTTTCTTCCATTGAACACTCTATCTTCACATAGAAAATCATGTGGATTCTTTAATTCTTAAGAAAGTTATTCCAAAATTAGTAGGTGGTATAATTTTGTGTCACCCTGTATATGGATTAGATTTTCTGGTTGTAAGTATGCTCACATTAGAACAAAGTATAGAAAGATTTCAAATATGAAATAACTGAATATTTGCAGACATTTAAGAAGTATGAACAACTAGCAGCAAAAGATGCAGAATTGAAAAAGCAAGCAACAGGAAAAGGTGAGATAAAAATGAATTACATATATGTAGAATATATTTTAGGAATTTCATTTGTACTACATGTATATATTATGTGTATTTTTCTATCTTTAGTTTTTGAATTAGTTCATGAATTCTAAAATTAGATGTTTTGTTTTAAGTTTATTTATATATACATACTTTCAATGAGTTCTTTTGTTAACAAAAGTATTTTTAGCTCATATTGGTGAGCTATTATCGCCCCCATATATCTGTATGTCTGTCTGTCCTGTCTGTCCATTTGTCTGTCTATCTGTCAACACATCGGTAGCTAATTAGAAATCCTCCATGACAATTTGAATGGTTTCATTTTTAAAAGTGTCTATATAAAGTCGTCAATTGTTCTATAAATGGTGTCTCAAAAGCTCACCTTGTTTCAAAATGGTGGCCATTTTTATTGCCGAAAAAGTAGGCTTTCAGCTTTTTTTTTGTCATAACTCCACAAGAGTTCCACCATTTTGCTTAAAATTCCTTAATTTCTAGATTTTCAATAATGTGTCTACAAAATGTGTCGCAAGATTCAAAATGGCCACCACTTTTACTCCTGATAAAATCAGGCTTTCAGCTCTTTTATCATAACTTGACAAGTGTTCTGTCAATTATTTTGCTTGAAATTGTACAGGTACCTTAATTTATAGGTCACCAATAATCTCTACAAATTTTGGCAAAATTTCTGTCAAATTTCAAAATTGCCACCACTTTTATTGCAGGAAAATTATGCATAAAGCTACCTATTAATCTGCATCTGAAATTCCTCTGTTCCAACATCATGTGAAAAATGCTATTTATCCAAGTTTATTCCCATGTTTTAAAATAGCTCTTACTGTTAGGTATTAAGAAAAGTGAAACCTTCCCATGTGGGCCCAGTACCCGTGATACTATTTTTGTATCTTGTTATAAGTTATTTTATAAATGAATATAAATTGTTTTGATTTATATTTTATTTTTCAGTGGTTTCACCGGATAGTAATAAAACAAAGGCTAGTGAAAACAAACAAACAAAGCCTAATGAAAATTCCAGCCAAACTTATAAAACACCAAAACCAAAGGATCCAGTAACACATAATCAAGCAGTAGTGGATATAAAAGACAATGCTGGTGCTAACAAAAGTGCTGAGCCTACACCTGTAACATCTGCTCCAAAAGAAACACAAACAAAAGCCTCTGGAAATGCTAATGACATTGCTGCAGCTGCTAACAAGCCTGATGGAGACCAGAAAACACAAGCAGAAGGACATGAATCAGAAGATGACCCAGAACTCACAAGGTATCATTGCTCTTTACATTTATATCATCAAGTATTTATATCTTATATTTCCTTCAAGTTGAAGTGATTAAATTAATCAGTTTTGTATAAGCCAAAAGAAGGAGAAAATATGTTAAATCAATTTGTAGGATATTTTTTGAAATGTTTCATTAAAAGTTTCATTATCCTAAAATTCAATTCTTTTGATATACGTATGTCGTAAAATGAAAGTACTTTCAGTAAATTCCTGGGAATAACTATGACTTCAGTCATTTATTAGACTAAGGAGAGCATCCTTGAGACTCTTCTTTGCTTCATTTAAAGTACAGGGGCGTAGCCAGCTTTCAGTCAGGGGGGGTGCGATTGCCAAAAATTCGGTTTTCAGTCGGGAGGCATGCGATTGTGGCATAAACAAGCAAAAATTCGGTTTTCAGTCGGGAGGCGTGCGATTGTGGCATAAACAAGCCAAAAAACTAAGATTTATCTTGAGTTTTACAAAAATTGATGCAACTTTCTTCAAAACTGAGCTAGAAGCTTCAAATAAAAAGCATTTTAAAGCTCTTATCCTATCCAATCGCACACCCCCTGGCTCGTGTATGCAGTTTATATCCAGTATAATACGATCCATTTGTTTCAGGAAACAAACTGTTTACCAAGAGAACCCTGAGAGTTATAATGGTGCCATACGGGACAAATACAGCTGGGCTCAGAGCATTACGGATGTTGATGTCTATGTTAAGGTATGTTATAGCTTTTTGTCCATCTTTATTTTGGAGTTTTCTGTTTGGTACTGTGGTAACAGGCCTGTAGCCAGGATATGCCAAGGGGGTTCACTTTTTTTTTAAATTCCAGGGGATTTCACTTATGACTTGGGTCAAAATCATTTGAAATGTGCTCAGAATGGTGAAAAACTGCATGATTTTGAAAGAATTTTTGACAGGCCTGCGTAACTTAAAGTCTATCTCTATGAATTATAAATGAGCATTTTTATTTCTATACATGTCGTTTGCAATAAAAACATTTTATACATAACACATTATACATGTTACCGATGGAATGTTTCTGTCCCAAATGAATTTGTGATTCAATATTGCTTCCCTCTGTTGTTGTAATTCTTAAAGCTAGAGAATAATGAGAAATGAGAATTTAACATGATGTAAACAAAAATCAAAAATATGCAAATGAGGGAGTAAGTATGTTTATTTCACTTGCACTTCATATTCATAAAAGTATTTGGGGCTATGTACTTTAAGGGACCATCTCAAGATGTACAAATCAAGCTTTTTATAAATATTCAACAAGAAAGTCTATCACTTCTGGAATCTGATTCAATATTTATGGTGACAGGGTCTGTTTCTTCAACAAGATTTTCAATTAATCAACTATTCAAACAACACCTATTTACCATCATCCCTGTTTATGTTTACATCAAGGGCTGTCGTAGTTCTTTCTACAGTCCTCTTTACTCCCTATCCCTCTTAAAGAGCCTTTACCATGGAAACGTTCACCAGCAAAGCATTTACAGACATTATGGACATTGATAATGTCAGCTTTTATATCGATGGATAGATCTTTTTCTTTACCCACTTTTAAGTACACATACATAACTGGACTTGAAATTATTCCCCAGCCCAGTATATGCAACATCTGATAGATTGTGTAATGGTAAATTCTCATTGAAGTTATGTTTTCTTGCTTTAATATTTACAACAACCGAGGAAAGAAATATTGAATCACAAATTCATTTTGGACAGAAGCATTCCATCAGCAACATATAAAAAATATATTGCAAATAGCAAAAATCAAAAATATTAATTTTTAATTCATTAAAAGATAGACTTTAGTTTACGTAATATCTTGTTAAGCATAAATGGGATAGATATAAAAAATGTAAATTGAGGTTTTAATTTGTATTAAAAATGAAAATGTGAGAAATGTCATGCTGGCACATGAAGTGATTGTAAAATTGTTCAGATTGTAGCATTAAAATGGTCATAAATATATTTTGCCCCAAATCTTCACAAGTTAGCAATTATATAATTTACATGCATTTGAGTGTAGCGATATAAGCTCATAAATCATAGAAACCATGTAAATGGAACAGTTTTATGAGTAAACAAGCCCGTAGCTAGCTTTTGCCAAGGGGGGGCTCACTTTTCAAAAATTCCAGGGGGTACGGGTTCACATTTGACAACTTTGGCCCAAAATCACTTGAAAAGTGCTCAGAATAGTGCATATTAGAGCTGTTTCTATTCTAAGAGGCTAATGACCTCACATAGAAGACTATTATTTGTCAGATGCTAATTTTTGTCGTTCATCATTGTATTTTCACCATGTTTAGAACACATTGCTGTTACAGATACAATTTTTGCAATAAACGAAAGTGGCAAGCTCACTTCCTTATAATTTGATATCATTGTTCTGTTGCATCGAGCAAAGCTAAAAAATAAGAGAAAGTCAGTTCACATTTTAGCTCAAGTAGTAGATCTTGAGATCTAATCTGGAGGTTGTGGGTCCGATTTCGTCCAAGGTAGGGTGACTTGTTTTACATTTACACCAGCCCTTAGCATAGGATTTGATTGTGTTTCAAATTAACCCTCATACCTCAATACAAATTGACAGAAATTATTTTTCTCTGTGAAATAAGACTGACAGTATAAATGTTGAACAGGAACAAAACGTGCATAGATTTCAGTACTTGGATTTATGAATGCATCCGGAATCAAGATATAAATTTTTTAGTTATATTTCGAGAGCCTATATGACATACATTTTGCAATGTATGTTTTATTTAATCTTCAGCGACATGAGCCTGTAGATTAAATTTTGGTATTAAATTGAATTGATATTGAATTTTAGTTTGTTTTTTGTAATAGAAGCTGAATATTTACAAAAGTGAAAATACTCAGGTATTTCTAAAATCTCTGGAAGATTAAAATAATTCTTTGTGATAAATATTGAAATGATTATTGATTAAAGAAAGGGTTGTAAAAATTGTTCTAACAGTTGATTTTGAAATCAATCCAAATTTTAGTTTATATGTGTTAACCAAATACAGATGATTAGCTAGGGCAAATTAAAACACTTGGGTATATTTTGCATGGTATATTGAATTGAATTGAATTATTTAATCTTCGATGTCACTGACAATTGTAAAATACAACATGAAAAATGTAAAAATATCAATGTGATGTACCTGGTGTCTACAAAGTTCCTTTACAAATTCAAATGTGTAAAGAGACTTCATGGACACCCTGTATTTCTGGCAAAGTATTTATCTAATTTTTGAATGAATGATAAGTAGAGCTAAGCTAAATTTTAAGTTACACAAGAAATTTCATGAGACATCAGCTTTTTGAATATAGAATCAGGATAGCTTGCTATTTTATTCGATGATATTATAATGTAATACAAAATATATTTTTGTATGTTTTCTCATAATTATAACAGAATGCCACATTCATTCACAGGTTTTGGCTTGGGTTCAATAATGACCAAATTCTATAGAACTTGTATGAGCTCAGCCTAAATCTGGTTTAAATGATGACCAAATTCTATATAACTCAGCCTAAATCTGCAAATAGCTTGTTTGCAGTTCTTATCTTAGATATTTGAATAAATCCCATAGACGGTATCTTGAAAAATATTTTTGAATGAACAAGAAGGTATTATAGAAATATGTTACAAGCTTCACTCAATATGTTTCTTTCTGCAGATACTAGAACAGCATCTTATACTCTTCAGTTTAAAGTTGATTTAAACAAGATTTGAAGCAAATAATGGAGGGATTGGATTTGTACTTAGAGAAACTGATAACTATTTTGAAAATATTATAATTAAAATTATTTCAATAATTTTTTATTTTACACATCTGTTCAAAGTGGATTAAGTACAAAAGTTTCAGTTTGAGTTGAATAATAAGTTGCAGCTTTCATGTGTGAATTAATTTTTTGTGTAGTTCAGATAAAGTGAAGTATGGTTCTTCTGGAAAGCATTTTTACACATAGGATATACCCTGTTCATATTTGGTTCAGTATGAAGACCTATACATTTACTTACAAGTAGCTGTTCCATGATTTTGTAATAATCATTTTAGGTTAGTATTGACATAATTGGTACTAGATTATAAGAGAATGAGTAGTTATTTCTTCTCTATAGTATTAAATTTAATTATTTTAATGTTATTATTTTGCTGTAATGATGTAAATGCTGTGATGTAAATATTATTTTTATTTTTGTTTTATTAACTTTTTGATTTATTGGATTTATCTTGTTAGATATTGTTTTCAAGAGAACAATAAACTACATATGAAATTTATTTTTAAGAAGTTTTGTGTAAATAGAGTTTTAAAATAAATTATGTGTATGGTATATGCTTTTTTCACTTATGTTTATTATCTTAATAGAAGATGGTCATCTAACATATTTCTTGATTTTTTTTTTATTCAATTGTCAACTATTTTAAAAAAAAGATAATTTTTTAATTAAGAAAACTTTCTGCGAATTAAAGTTTTAAAAAAGTCATGTGTATGTTATATGCTTCTTTCACTTATGTTTATTGTTTATTTTAAAATAACATTTAATTTTAAACTATTGACTAGAAATTAAAAATTAAAAAAAAATATTTAAAATACCCAGCTCAACCTGGGGTCATGAGACACATTACACAATTACAATTTATAATTAATACAATTTACTTTAACGTGATAATTAGTTTTGATTTTTGAGTAAATGTTTTTCCTTTTGTAAAATTGTTTTTGTAAATATTTTCCAAAACATTAAATATGTATTTTGTTTTTAAAAATATCTTTGAAAGAAATGTCTTTGTATTCTTGAAGAAATGACTTTCAAGCTTCCGAATGCTTTGTTGAGAAATAGGGATCGAAACCAGTCATGGTTTTCTCCTGATTACCATTGTGAAATATTGTGTTTTGTGGATGATGGATTTGCAGATAGATGTTGTCTCTTTGATGTGCTTTTAGATTTTGAGATTGAATTTTGTCTGTCCAACATTGTTTGAGACTGAATGCTCTACTATTAAAACTAGTATCTACATTTTTTGAATGTTTTTAGTATTGGCTATCAATTTTGAATTTATTTTACCACGTGTATTGTAATGACTTCAGTATGAATGATATTTCCCTTGGAATAATAATTTGGATTGTGATATTGGTACTTGAACGGTATGGGAGGAAGAATTGAACAATGTTTCTTTTCACATTGGATTGTGATATGGGATGATCGTGGTTTAGTTTCCTTATGCCGGTGTACTCTTTCTTTTTCTCATACTGTTTTCTTTTCCTTGCTGTGTTCTGTAACCATATTTGGTGTTTTCCTGTTGGCTTTTGCGCTTGCTTATTTGAACACTTGAATACAAAATAAAATCCATATAGCATAGGATTTACATGAGTCTAGGAGATGGCCATTCTTTGAATATTAGCCAACAAGTAAACGTTTCCCTTTGACTTTGAGGTCAACAAAATAATGAATTTAATGGAAAAAACTCATAGGCAGGAGGTCAGTTTCATCAAATAATTTCTATTTCTATTATTATTGATACCGTAATTTTACATAATGAAGTGAATACTTATTCAATTTCTATTGTTTGTTTGCTCTGACGGGAGTTATTTGTTTTGCTAAGCAGACTTTGATTTGTTCGCCATACAGTTTTGTAATTTTGTTTTATAAGATTCTAACTTTAGAAAATTAGATTAAAATATTTGATATTTACAACTGATCAGTCCCTGAAAAAGGAAAATCACATAAAAACAATATATAATGGTATAGGTTCAATTCTAATAAATAGTTCTTATAATAGCTGAAGATTATTTGAGACAAAATTCTGATCTATAATCAGAAAACAGTTTTGTTTTTTTTTCTGTAGAGTTTTAAATATATTTCAGAAACATACAGAAGGTTCAAATAAATAAACATGGTTAATACATCTAAAATTCATTGTACTACCTAGATCATAATTCTGTTAAGACATAGGATGTCTTGGCTTTTTTTTTATTTTAATTAATATTTTGGGCTAGATATACTTACCAAACCTGAAGTATATACCAAAGCTTGTTGTGTCTGGTGGAGAGTCCTACAAAAGAAATTACTTAAGGTTGTTTATGTATACTATATATTTAGATTCCATGAATATTTACCAACATGATGAATAAAATATTCTTAAAATCTAAATGATTAATTATTTTATTTAACATATGTTTCATACAAAGTAATGTTAGTTTAGGTATGGAATCTCTAGATATGTACATAGACTGCAGATGTATGGTCAAATTATTTTGTTTGTATGATTATTTTTTATATTTTTGGAGTATTGTTCTTATTGATATCTGAAACTTGTTGTTTACTTTTGATTTTTATTACTTCTAATAAAATGGGTGTGACTAATTTTGCACATAATTTTCAATAGATTTAGGACAAGAAATAATTTATTTTTTATTTCAATAATAACTGAATGTAAAAGCATTTGATATATGTATTAGTATTTGATATACATTTAAAAATATTTGATATATGTATGGCATGCACACAATAATCGATACACTACAGTGACGAATTGTGATGTAGTTTAGAAATATGTCACGAAAATGGATATTTCTGTAGTTTTTTACATCCATATTTTCATTTATTAAGTTTTTCATATGTTATTTATTTAAAATAAGAATTTTAATTTAAATTTTATAATGATTATTAAACTTACCTTAATAGCAGTTACGTCATCTGGCGACCTACAATATATCTGAGAAAAAATCTAGGAAAAATATTTTATACTTTGTCAAACTTTACCCAAAGATTGATGTGAAATCTGGAAAAGTTAAAATTGTTAAATTAGAAATTGCTTTTGAGTTTTGTTTTAATATTTTCAAGTTAGATTCCAAAAGTATTTTGTTTGTTCAAAAAGGAATAATTTGTTTTTCTGTTTTGAATAAGTTATCCTCCATATTCTCATAGATTCTCATAAGATATTCATTACATCCGAAATAAACCCTTCTGAACTAATGTTTTTTCAACAATTCCTTCATTATTTGTGCAAATAATATTTAGATCTTGAATAAAATTTCTTAAGAATTTTTTTTTCTGGAATGAACTATTTTTGAAGTTTTTTATGATTAAGGTGGTTTTTACCTGGGGGCATAAAAATAATTGATGAAATGTATGATAAAGTATATATATTTAAATTTTATATTAAAATCACCAGGACATAATTATGCTTCATAATCAAATAATGAAGTTGGTGTCTCTGGCTTTATTTTTTTTTCACTTAAAGCTAGGAACCATTTTGGTCACCAATGCAAGGTAATTGGAGAGTAAGGGATTAAGAGACTGTTTTTTTTTAAATTTTTGCACACTGAAAAGAGTATGATAAAAATTCATTTAAGTCATAGTGTAATTTTTTTTATTATTGCACATTTTTCCAATGTGTGATTTCACAAAGTTTAAACAGAGTGTACTAAAGCTGAACACTCGTCAAATCATTGCTCCTATGCTTTAGCATGGAACCACTTAATACCAGTAAACAACTACCTTAAAATTGCAAGTTCGAGATCTCGTGAAATTGATATCGTTCAGACACGTGAGCTTGGTACTGTGGTATCTCCCACCCAAAAAGTTCATACAGATGCACATTTAAGATACTCGTGTCTGTTTTATGAAAAAAAGTTTATTTTAGTTACAGTAAAATTGCTCTTGTAATCTGTACTATTGTAGTCTGCAATATATTGTTGCTAATTTTAGTTTTGTATTCGAAGTACCACATGTTGTTATTTCATGTTTTTGTTGGGAGAATTACCGATGTTAGTATACGAGGGGTAACCATAAAGTTATCATTATATAATCTTATTTCTTTGTTCTTCAATACTATTTTTGGTAACAATTAATTGGTTCCGTTACGCTGTACTCATTTTTTGCTAGTTTAAACAGTCCTATAGTATGTTCCACATTGGGTGACAATTTAATAAAATATATTGAAAAACCAATTAGAGTGATATTATGAGAATTTTATAATCACTCCTCGTATTTAGTTCACATACCCTCTGGTAAGACACGTGGCAATTTTAGTCTTGGTCAGTACATTAAGTGCATTATACATTGGTCTCTCTTTAGGTATCTTTCGCACAAAGATTATTTAGCCATAAGATTTTGATTTATCTTTCAGAGTCATTATGTGACGAAGGACATAGACAGACACAGATATTATTCTGGTTTGTAAATGAAATGAATGGTCATTTTATGGAGATTAACTTTATGTCATCACCAGAAGAAGTGACATCTTGTTATAGTCCCCAATTTTTGTGGATAGTATTTGGCCGTTGGTGTTTGGCTGTCTGGGTTCAGCAGTTGGTATTCGGTGATCAGCATCTGTAACAAAAGGCAGGTGGTAATATTTTGCATGTTATGCCTTGACATTAGTGTTAGATGTTTTTACTGGTTAAAGTCGGTTAACCGGCGGGAAATTTGAACTGATAATTTCAAATGAAATCTTCATCTTCGATCTTGAAAGTTGAAAAAAATTGGAAAAATGATATATCAGCGTTTATTTTTTACGTTCGTCAAGCTTTACTCTGTTCTATTCATACACTACCTGACTACCAGTTCCTCTAAATTACCACACTGCTTTACCCTTGGAATTTCCACGAACGCACCATAACAACGAGAATTGCAGCTGATTAGTGTTTGTTTTGATTTTAATTTTCTCACTACCAAAGCGAGGCTTTGACCTTTGACATTTTGGTGACGTTGATAGACAACAATAATAACAAAACTGAAGAATTAAAAAATGCATATCATTTATTTATGAAATAGTTTTGCAATATGAGTTGATTACACATGGCTGACACTTGAAAAACAAACAGATTAACATGCAAAGTAAGCGCGGGAAAGCAATGTGGCAGGGATTAAAGGTGCTGATTGGATGTTTGTAAGGAGTGATTGGAACTATCACATGTATGAGTAGCTCACATGAAACTGACACTTGAAAAACAAACAGATTAACGTGCAAAGTAAGCTCGGGAAAGCAATGTGTCAGGGATTAAAGTTGCTGATTGGATGTTTGTAAGGAGTTATCGGACTTATGACATGTATGAGTAGCTTACGTGAAACTGACACTTTAAAACCAAACAGATGAGCATGCAATATTAGCGCGGGAAATAATAGAATTATACACGGTCAACTAACCACCCATAAAAACACAGACCGGTCAAGGCATTATCAGCGGTTAACCGGTTAACCGGTTAATACTTGACACCTCTACTTGACATACATTTTTATTGGAACTACTGTATACTATATAGTAACCAAGTTACTTGTGAGCAAGTCCTTTTTTAGGAAAAAGCCTAATTGTGATTTAAAGAGTTAAATTTACCTTGTCTAAAAATCTCAGAAAATTTGGAAGCTTCTAAACAATTTTAGCCATCACAGATTTCAAATTGGACGCAAAAAGTCATTATTGTGCAAGATATGTTTAATTCAAACTAAAAGATAACTGTTGGATCAATGCATCATGTCTGTCACGCTGTGGCACCCACCCATATCATTATCAGTAGCAGCTCTACCAAGGGTTTAATACAGGGACTTTCAATCAGAAATATATTCTTGACATATTTTTCTATTTTGATTAGGTAATTCATTAATAATGGAAAATTGAGGATTTTAATGTTAGTGACATTTAATCCTGCGCTATGAGAATGCACTAAGGTAAGGTAATAATTGTAAGCGTGAATCTTAAGTGCAAAGGTAACACCTAAATCATGTAAGTTACAGTGTGAAGATAATGATTATACTGTACTAGTATTTGCGAGCATCTGTATATTATGTGCTGTATTTACAGTACGTTCAAATGTCAATTGGAAAAATTAAGAAATGCAGTACACTGTATATTGATTTTCTGAGGACATGAACTACGAAATCATGTGTTAATGCAGTGATAGCACTATTACAAGAGTATATAACAAAATTAGATGTTTGAACGACATCCGGACATCAAGCTAATCTTGGGAGGTACAATAGACTTCTAAGGTTAGCTATGATGTCCAGCCTAACATCAGGCTAACCTTTGAAGGTGTATTGTACAATTTTATGCAAATGCTTGACTTTTTCTGCATTTTCAGGTGCCTGCTACAATAAAAAAGGGCAGAGATGTCAAGGTGGAAATAAAGCGGAAAAGTTTAAAGTTTGAGTTAAAGACCGCCACAGGTACCCCAGAAATGATTATAGATGGCGCTCTCACTTGGGATGTGAATGTCGAGGAGAGCATGTGGACATTGGAGCCGGGAAAACATGTTCATGTGAGTGTCTGCCATGTTACGTTTATATCATAATTATAACTTGATGCATATCCGCATCGAAGGTTGGTTATAGCTCAGCGGTAGTGCATGTACCTCTTAAGCAATAGGTTCTGGATTCGATCCCTGGTTCAGGCAAGACTTAATTTGCGTGTTTGCGTGAAGTACTTCAGGGTGTTTGACTGAGTGGTCTGCAACTCGTACAAAAGGCTGTGCTGTGTACTTGTATGTCTATGTATAACTGCACATAAGAAAACAGGCTCCTTCAAAGAGGGGTTTCTGGGTCTATCTTCCAGGTTAATTATGTAAATTACTCACCTTCATTGGTGGTAAACAAAATACAATATCAATACAATAAGGGCAAAAGACTAGTCTCGGTTTGTTCATCAGTCTACTGCACGTTATGCCTGCTACAGACAATTTTGATATTTTTGCATCTTGTAAATTTAAATGTGCTCTTTTGAATATTCATAATTTAATTTGGGTGATATTTCTGTATTTTTCATAGAAGACTGTTCTCTAAACCGAGACTTGTCCTTTAGATGCTGAAACCTTTTCTTGAGGAAAATATACCATATTTGAATGAAATGTATCTTGGTCCTTTGGGTAAAAACCCTAATTTCTTGACTTCTGTCATGGAATCAAATTCAACATCACTTTGAATATTTTATCCCAGATCAACCTTGAGAAGGTACAGGACAGATGGTGGGAAGCTCTTCTGGAAGGAGAGGAGAAAATCAGCGTACGTAAGATAGATGCAAGTCGTCCAATGACAGACTTGGATGATGAAGCGCAAGCTAAGATTGAAGAGATGATGTTCAACGAGAGACAGAAAAAACTTGGTTTACCACAGTCTCATGAACAGGTAAGCTGAATTTTAAAACTTAATTTACAAGTATACTTGGTTTACTGCAGTTATTGAGCAGGTTAGGTGCAGTGTAGGCCCTAAAGGACAGTCCACTGGTCAGTACCAAGCTACTTTTGATATGGACAAGTTGATTTTTTCACTAGGTATAGGAAAATAACATTGCAACTGGTCCGTAATGCCATTTTGACCAGATCCTTAGGACCTATACATGTTAGGTGCCATATTGTATGTTTTGCGCTAAATTATACATGTGATCCTTAAAAGTCCATAAAAGTCTGTTAACGAGTGTGCCTTTGTGGTCTAGCAGTTTATGACATTTAGAATTTGGTGTGATACCGCCGAGACAACTCCTTACACAAAGGGCAACATATGAAGAAAACTTGAATCTCATTTTTTTCTTATTTTCAGAAAAATCAAGATATCCTGAGAAAAGCATGGGATGCTGAGGGTTCACCCTTTAAAGGACAACCATTTGACCCTTCAGTCCTGAATGTACAGAATAGTGCAGAGTTCATGAACAATATCAACCAAAAGAGTTGAAACAGCTCCATCTATTAAAGTGCCAAGTGACTAAGTCAAAGTTAAATAGGAATAGGTACATCCATGGATGCTGCATTACATGTAGAATGGTGTGCAGAGATGCTGAACATACCAGTGGCAATAATGGGCAAAAATGGGACTTCAGTGTTCACTAAGCAGAACACAAATAAGCAGAATTTGTTTCGAAAAACTTGTAGAATAGAGTAGATGAGCAAGATATCCAACACTGTGTTAAACATGTTGATGGTGTTGTTTAGCTACAATTGTACTCTCTGAAACCTGCTGTTAATGCCTGGGTCACATATGCTCCGATCCATCGGCCGGCGCCCGATGATTGAGTGTTTTGTTCAATATTGTATTCAATTTTGAACAAAATACTCAATCGGCCGGGCGCCGTAGTGAAAATCGGAGCAAATGTGACCAAGGCATTAACCTAAGGGGAATATAATGTCCCAGAATTCATTGATAAACCTCCATATAAGAGGTTCATCTTTACACACAGCGAAGTTTATCTTTGAATTCTGGAGGATTTTCTCCTCTTGTTGAATCTCTAGAAATATGCTTGTTCACCATTTTTATGTGATTTGCATTTTCTGTCTTTGTGGTCACACTTTGTAACTGCAACAAGGTAGTGACATTTTGTCATGATAACGCCTTGTTCATATGCGTACACAGTCTATGCAGAGCTCATTACCCAAAGGTCTCACACATTCCCAGATGGCACATGTCAATTTGAATTCTGAAAGGTCTATCAAGTGGCTTAAGAACAAGAAATGCATATGAGAAGACTGTAAATCGAGGAGTTACCTGAAATACAAATCATCGTAGAAAACTGATTATTTAGTGGTTTAAAGGGGATACTGGGGAGGTTTAGTTACATGTGAATGTGTAATATTATGAGCACCAGGGATAACTGCCCCCCCCCTCACTTGTTTAGTTCCTCCAGGAAATTATTATAATTTCTTATTACATTTATAGTCAATCTGGCAAGTAAATACTACAAAGGAAAGAGGTGATCCATAGAGGACCATAAATCCACACATTCACTTACAAATTCTTTTAAAACATATAGCTGAAAACCTCCTTAAATGCATGAAATGCTTACTTAGCGGTAAGGTTTGCAAAGAAAAGCTGAGAGTACATCAAATGGGAAACTAATCCCAGGCTGCATACATGATAAGTTCAGTGAAAAAACATTGAAAATCTCACACCATCTGATCTGAAGGAATCTAACCATTTTATCCTTGATGATAATACAGGGTTTCCACAAAGTCTCTTACACAGGCTTTGTATTTTAATTGTAAAGAGACTTTATGGTCGCCCTGTATATATTACAAGTTCTCAAATCCCAAAATTTGTATGTCTGTTTTTTATCTACCAAAAACCCATATGTTTTCCAATATTCAGGCTAAGTTAAAGTTCTAATGCACTTGTGTTAATGTTCACATGTTATAATCATCCTAATATTCAATATAGGGTTTGCTATATGTGACTTTTATCATGACATGCTCTTGTTAATGTTCACATGTTATAATCATCCCAATATTCAATACAATATAGGAATTGCTATGTGACTTTTATCATGACATGCTCTTGTTAATATTCACATGTTATAATCATCCCAATATTCCATATAGGGTTCGCAATGTGACTTTTATCATGACATGCTCTTGTTAATATTCACATGTTATAATCATCCCAATATTCCATATAGGGTTCGCAATGTGACTTTTATCATGACATGCTCTTGTTAATATTCACATGTTATAATCATTCAAGTATTCCATATGGAGTTTGCTATATGTGACTTTTATCATGACATGCTCTTGTTAATATTCACATGTTATAATCATTCCAATATTCAATATGGGGTTTGCTATATGTGACTTTTATCATTAGTGATAATTGCCTGTTTAATGTTTTAAACCTAATAAGAAGGACATGTTTTTAAGGTGTTACAAATATATTTTGAGATATATAAATTCTTGTTTTGTTTACATGATTTTAACATACTGTAAAGCAAGAACAGTTTGAAAGATAAATGGTGCTACATCTTGCATGCAAAAATTTATAGTTTTACAGTATATCTGAAATTGTACCCCTGTAAAAGTAAAAGAAGTGGAATTTTGCGAAGAGACAAAATCTCCCAAATTCATCCATTTCATATGATGCAATTCTTACATTTGAACAGCCATTGATTTTCTCTTTTATCCAAATAAGGCCAAAGAGTTCAACCTTCAAGAATAAATTTACATAATATTTAATTTTGTTGTTATACTGTAGATCATTGCAATGAAATTGAATGAATGCACTGGTCAGACATTTTGCAATGACATTTTGTAACTGTCAAGAAGTCCAACCTTTTCTTGTGGATACAATACTTTTACATACATTTTTTTTAAAGTTACTTGTATCCCACATCTCAACTAAAGTCATAAAATATATAGACCTCAAATAATTGTCTTATCAGCTGCATTTTAATTTAACCTGAAAAATCATTGGATTAATTCAGAGTATGATTTTTGTTTACTCCATTTGAACACATGTTAGGATCAGAGCCCTGGATGTCAATCGTATGAGCATGATTACCAGACTAGTCTCATGAACTCCCCCGATTTGTGGACAGTTGGATGATAAGGGCAATTTTACTTTCTAATCTACATCAATCCAAATCTAAGTCAAGTACTTTTATAGTACTGATTACGACTAGTCTTTTCCAGCTGTTAAAGGGACCCTCAGCGATAGCAATCAATTTTGCAAAATGTCTCAATCTCAGAATAACCGGTTTTATGTCACCACCAGATGTGGTGCTTTGTGGACAGTGTTTGGTGTCTGTAACAGCATGTGTAACAAATAGCGGTTGGTGTCTGTAACAAATAGCAGGTGGTGAGATTTTGCATGTTTAAATGCCTTATAATTATTTTAGAATACACACACAACAATTTCCAAACCCAGGCTGTAAGAAGAGTTTGAAAATAGAGATTTTTTATTTTTGTCAGTTTTGACAGTTTCCTCCCTAATGCCTAAATATACATTGTGATATTGATTTCTTTAAACTTGAATTTTGAACTTTAATTATGAATTGAATATTGCGCAACAATTTTTGCAAAAATTGCATTCTGTGACAGATATATCTATCACTCTAGGTTCCCTTAGAATTAGATTCTTGACAGAAATGGCTATTCATGAGATATTTCACAACTTAAATTGATTCATCAGGTGTCCTCGGGTAACGAGTGCTCTGGCAAATAAGGTTTCTCAAGCTAGGCTTAGTACAAGATATGATATTCTTTTTAGATGTAGAGACACCCAGCTTGGAAAAATCCTGGGGACGCCTGGTGATTGGATATCAATATAATTGATACTGGTTTAAATATTAAGAACATGTTGCTTAAAATGTTGGACCCTTATGATGGATTGTACCTTTACGTAACAATCTTAATCTGAAACGACATCAAACTTGTCACTACTGTTTACTGAATCAATGTCCAATCCGTTGTTGACTTATTCAATAATAAACAGCTGGGTCTGAAGTGTTCAAACTTGCAATCATGACTAATGTAAGGCATCTAGTTTTAAGTTAATCTGAGTTATAGTTGCTTTGAACTTTAATTGACATACTGTACTCCTGGTAAATTTAGATGCTATAAAATTTCGCAAATTTTCAAAATTGCAATTTCGCGGCTATTTAATTTCGCGGATTTGAGTTGATGACATTTCGCGGATTGCACAAGTTGTATTTTTTTCCGATTACCGTGAATCAATGCGTATCTGGCTATTTTAGCCCGTTCAGAATCCGAATAGTGTTTGTATTTCCCACGTTTAGGGCATTTATTTGAATATTCTTGAATGGCTTTTTTCAACTTCAGTTGGTGGGATATCATTGTTGTCAACAGTTCTTGCCTTTGTTGGCCTCATAAGCCAATTCAAAATGTGACATTTTAGAATTATCGCCGAACAACACTGGACGAAACGTTTTACACCGAACGAAACATATAAAAGTCCCGGGTCAAATCCCCGGGGATTTAAAAGACAAATTTCGCGACGATAAATGTTCGCGATTTTACTACATTCGAGAACAAAGCGAACTTAAATCGCACGTGAACAATACCCAGAGTACAGTAACTGGTATTGTAGCCAGTTTTAACTCACTGAAAACTGTAAATTTAAATAAGTAATCTTAAATTATAATAATTAATCAAAAGTGAATATTGTTACTAAAATTTCAAATCGAAAACTGCATTGGAAAGTGTTTTACATAAATGAGAATTAAAGTTACTGTAACTGCTATCAGTGTATCCACATCAGTAGTATTTAGTACTTGTCCTCCATTTTGAAAGTTACTGTAACTGCTGTCATTGTATCCCAATCAGTGGTATTTAGTTCCTTGGGCACTTACTATATACTTGCATCTGGACCTGAGAGAATGCAAGAAAAATGACTAATGGTCATAGATGGCTGATTTCTTTAAGTAATGAAACTACTGCTAATTATCAACCACCTGATCCACAAAAAATTGTTTGTTATTCCTCCATGTATTTCGATTATTTCAGAAGCAGAGTATTAGAGAGTGGTTCTTATTCTTATTAGGGAGTGATTTTTATGAAGGAGTGACTCTTATTAGGGAGTGGGAACTAAAAAATGGAGATTACAGTATTTGCTATTTCATGTATTTACATTTCTGTTCCTGTTGCTTGGTAACAAAACAAAATACATGTATAATATTTTACTGCATTTTATTCCATTCATAACCCAAACTACACTTTTATGTAAATTCATCGCTAAACAAAATATTTTAAAATTGTGGTTAGTGCAACTTCAAATCCCGAAGTAAATGAGACACACCAGCATCAGTTACCAAATATGGTTATAATATTTCTGAATGCAAATATCTGATGTAGAAAATTTTGAGGAAGATTTGATGATAATTCAAATGTTTTTTTAGAGATCTCATTTTCGTTTTCCCATTGGTTTGCGTCCAGCTGGCTTCCCCCCTGATCCTCCCATTCCTCCACCTCCTCGTTTTTTAGTACTTTTTGCAGTCTTCTTTTCAGATTTTCTGCCTTTGTTTTGTCTAGGAAGTTTGGTTTTTCTGAAAATCAGGGAAAAATATGAAAAATATTAACAAATGGTATGAGAGGTGCTCAGGTTGGACACTTGAGAATAAAAGTGAGAAATAGATAACTAATGCAACATTTTTATGGCACTAATATATTCTCAAGTGTCCATTATAGAGAGTTTAAAAGTATCATCCAGCATTATCAATATAAAATGTTTACTTCTTGAAAATGCCATCTATACCAAATCTATAATTCTAAATTCATAATATGAAAGTGAATGGTCAGGAGGTTCACAATGTTTGATGATGGAAACACATTTTTAAGTTTTTAACTGTCAAAAATACTTAATAAATATGGTATTTACTTCACATTTTGAAAATAGAAATTAGGGCGGGCTGTCCATCATTTCCAACTTTCACTTTGGGTTATCCTTAAATTGGACTCTTAGATCCCATATAAAATGGCTACATTAAATATTTTGTATCTTCCCACTGATTTTCCATGGAGAAATCATGAGAAAATCTAGCAATGAGTTATATCATTTTTACCAAGACAGAAAAAATTTAGGAATAATATTCAAAATACTTACTGATTTTTACCACGCTGTTTCGCATCAATCATCTTATTGGTAGCTTTTGTCACATCTATGGCAGGTCTCTTTTTGTGAATGCTTCCTAGAATATCTAGTTGTCGTCCTATCTCAATCTTTGTCTGCCCGGTATTAGGTTCAAACTAAAAAGTATGTATCACAATATCTTTGGGGTTTACTTCTAAATGTGATTCTACCTGATATAACCCCTCCAACATGCCTCTGTATATATATTTACTCTTACATGGATGTCATGATATGTATTCTATTAAGCTAATCATAACACATTCTTGAGTTTTGTTTATTGCTTACTTATTAAGTAATTAACTTTAAACAGGAATTTTGGCATACTGCTCTAGTGAATAATAATTAGCAAGGTAAAAGGTAGAGACATGAGGAAGTGTGAACTGGGTATGAGATGTGTTGATTGTGTATGTAGTGTGTGCAGGTAGCAAGATGTAGGTGATTTTGGAAGCTTACGAATTTTAATTAAGAACCTTGAAAAGACTTCTTGACAACTGGGGGCTCGTCCGTACAATAGCTAAGATCAAGTTAAAGATGGCAAATAAGAAAACATCAAGTATGTACTTACTCTTCTATTAAAGTAATTGTATGTTCCTTCTTACTGTTCTAGTGTGTACATGTGAATTTGCTAGCTTTAAGTTCTATAATCACCTACTATCTTGTAGGTACATTAGTAGTAGTAGTAGTAGTAGTAGTACTTAGTAGTAGTATAGTCGGAAAAGTGTCTTAGTATATATTATCTAGCAGTGATTCAATTTTTGGAAAAACAGAATATCCTTTTCACATGAAGTGCACAACTTCGCCAATCCGATTATAATTAGAGAACACTAAGATTTTTGCTGTTGTTTTAAATATTGTCGTTGACAATATTTATTTGTTCCTCTTCCCTTAATATTGTCGTTGACAATATTCATTAATTCCAATTCCCCATATTTTTTTTTCGTCGTTTACTATATCTATTGGTTCCCATTCCATACATTTTTTTTGTTTATATTTCAGGTACAGGAACCTTTATCTCTGTTTTATTTCGAGTGCTTAGTCCCACTTTCCCAAAATTGTAGAGCACTCAATCTCATTGGTTAGTATAAATATTGTCGTTGACAATATTTATTAGTCCTCATTCCGTACAATTTTTTTTTCAATTATATTTCAGGTACAGGAACCTTTATCTCTGTTTTATTTCTAGCGCTCAAAGTCCTACTTCCCCAAAATTGTTGAGCGCTCAATCTCATTGGTTAGTCTAAATATTGTCGTTGATAATATTTATTAGTTCTCATTCTGTACAATTTTTTTTTCTTTTATATTTCAGGTACAGGAACCTTTATCTCTGTTTTATTTCTAGTGCTCAAAGTCCTACTTTCCCAAAATTATTGAGCACTTGGTCTAATTTGTTTGTCCAAATATTGTGGTTTATAATATCTTTTGGTCTCTAATTGCCCAACCATTTTTTCTTATTTTCCTTGTACAGGAATATCACTAGTGCACTAATTTCCACTTTTCTTAAATTACAGAGCACTGTATTAGTCTACATATCATTGCTCACAAGATTCCTTTGTTACAGAAACCAACGTTTTTGTGTAAAAAGTTTAGTCACATTTAACTAAAAAGGTTCCCAATATCTAGATCACAGGATCTTATTAATCAAAATTACTTCTTATATCAATACAGTATTTATATCAGCATTTTTAGTTCATGCTACACTCTAATTGCCCAATTTTTGGATAAGTGGTGCTCATAAGCACATTTGCAATTTTAAAAAGAAAAATCTGAGCATATTTCATTGGTTTACTATAACTTTAATTTAAAACAAGTTGAAAATGCTCACAATTTATCATTAATTTTACTTCATTACTTCTAACCGAAAAATAGTAGTTTTGGTGTAAATTAAAAATTTATGTTAGGATAAAGAGATCAAACGTACGTAGTCTTATTTAAGCAAAATGGCAGAGAAATACATAAATTTGATTGAACTTGGCAAGGAACTTGGCTATACAGGAAAGAGCCTAGCTGACTTTGCAGAACTGAAATATAAAGAAGCTAAGCAAATCGAAGAGGACAAAATAGAAAGAGATGCGAGACATGAAGAAAGATGCAGAAAAGCTGAATCAGAGAAAATGAAACATGAGCTAGAAATGACAAAGATGCAAGCAGAAGCAAGAAGAGTTGAACTAGAACTTCAACTCAGAATCGAGGAAACTAAAACAACAGCGTTATCACAATCAAAACAAATTCCCAAGGCACCGAAAATGCCACCTTTTAATGAGGAGAAAGATAGTATGGATGCATATTTGGAAAGAATGGAAAGGTATGCAATTAGTCAAAACTGGCCACAAGAAAACTATTGTATGTATTTGGGAAACCTTTTATCTGGTGAAGCACTCAATGTTTACAATAGAACAAATCAGTTAGTTGGTGATGATTATGAAAAGCTCAAGGAAGCACTCCTTAAATGTTATCAAATGACTGAAAGCGGTTTCCGCAAAAAGTTTTTCACTAGTCATCCTGAACTGAAGGAGTCACCGACCCAGTTCATGTGTAGATTAGAAAGATATCTTTCAAGATGGATGGAATTAGCAAAAACCGAGAAAACATTTGATGCCTTAAAAGATCTTCTACTTCGAGAGCAGTACATGGCAGCTTGTAGTAGGGAAATGCGAATGTTTTTAAGGGAACATGATACAGTGTCAGCTGATCAAGTAGTCCAATTATCAGAGCGCTTTACTACAGCACATGGTTTACAAGCTATGAGACCAAAGATATTATCTTCGAATAAACCCAAAAATGATCTTACAAAGAAAACAGATGAGAAAAAGTGGGTAGAAGTGAATGAAAGAATATGTTTTGGTTGTAATGGCAAAGGGCATATGATAAAAGATTGTCCTAAAGAATCAACACAAAAAGCTGTTGCAATGGCCTGTATAGAAGATGATGATGTAAACAACCAAATGACATATGCAAGCGACGAAGATGAAATTTGTGCTGCTGTTCAGGTTATAGAAAACCATAGTGGTTGTAACATTATCATAGGGTCATGTAGTGATACAATTTCCTTTTTACCAGAAAACCTGAATATACAGGAAGGAAAAGTAGGAGAATCATATGTAAATGTATTGAGAGATACTGGGTGTAGTGGGGTAGTAGTCAATCAAAGCCTAGTTGCACCAAATCAGTTCACTGGAAAATACAAACATTATCTTATGATTGATAGAACAATTAAAAAAGCACCAACAGCTAAGATTTGCATAGATACTCCATTTCTTTCAGGTACTGTAGAAGCATTGTGCCTTCCAAATCCAATCTGCGATCTTATTATAGGCAATGTTGACGGTGCTGAAATGAGAAACAAGGAGCCCCTTTCAATGAACCAAACAGAAGAAATTAAAACACAAAGTTGTATCCCAGCATGTGCAGTTGAAACAAGAGCAATGAAAACAAAAGGTGAAAAACCACTGAGACCGCTTAAGGTGCCTGGTTATATAAACAAGATAATATCGCCTGAGCAATTCTTACAAACACAGAATGATGATAGAAGTTTAGATAAATTTCGAGAATATGCTCAAGAAGAGAATGTAAAATGTACTCCTGGAAAAAGCAGATACAGATTTGAAATAGAGAATAATGTTCTCTACAGATACTATTCATCTCCAAAAGTGAATGATAACAATGAAATAAAGCAATTAGTAGTTCCTAGTGTACTGAGAGATACTGTAATGAAACTCGCTCATGACTCTTTGATGGCAGGACATTTAGGTACGAAGAAAACAATGAACAAAATCACAGCAAGCTTTTATTGGCCAGGTATACACAGTGATGTGACTAAATTTGTTCAGTCGTGTAGTATTTGTCAAAAAACTACACAGAAAGGAAAGTTGAAAAAGGCGCCTGTTCAGAAAATGCCTCTTATTGAAGTTCCATTTGAAAGAGTAGCAGTAGATTTAGTAGGCCCGCTAAATCCCATGACAAGAAACAAGAACAGACACATTTTAACATGTGTTGACTATGCCACTAGGTATCCTGATGCTGTAGCATTACCATCCATAGAGACTGAGAGAGTAGCTGATGCTCTCATGCAAATATTTTCTAGAGTTGGGATACCCAAGCAGATTTTGAGTGACAAGGGATCACAATTTGTGTCTGAACTGATGAAGGAACTGGGTAGATTATTATCAATTAATCAAATCACAACAACCCCATACCATCCACAATGCAATGGACTTGTGGAACGATACAATGGTACTTTGAAACTTATGTTAAAGCGGATGTGTGCCGAAAGACCTAATGATTGGGATAGGTACTTAGAGCCAATTCTATTCGCATACCGGGAAGTGCCACAAGATAGTACAAATTACTCTCCATTTGAGTTACTCTATGGAAGGCCAGTTAGAGGACCAATGACAATCTTGAAAGAGCTCTGGGGCAAAGATGAACCAAATGAAGAAACAAAAACAACATACCAGTATGTGCTAGACCTCAAAAACAGATTAGAAGAAACCTGCAATATAGCAAAAGAATCACTTGGTGAAAACCAAGAAATATACAAACAGCATTTTGATAAGAAAGCAAAGATGAGGTCATTAGAAGCCAATGACAAGGTTTTGGTTATGCTACCAACAGACAACAGCAAATTGCTAATGCAGTGGAAGGGACCTTATATTGTGAAAGAAAAGGTAAACCCCACTGACTACAAGATAGATGTAGATGGAACCTTAAAAACATACCACATCAATATGCTCAAAAAGTACTATGTCAGAGTAGAAGCAGTTGCAAACATTTCAGTTATAGAAGATGATGAGCAGGAAGAAATGAACAATGACTGCATACTACAAGAAGAAATGCTAGGTGAAAAGGAAGAAACATACAAAGAAGTGAGCATCAATCCTGATTTATGTCACAGTTATACTGATGAGTTAGAAAGATTGGTAGAAGAATTCAAAGATATTTTTTCATCCAAGCCAGGCTCTACATCTTTAGTGGAACATGAAATTAAACTGACAACAGATAAACCAGTTATGGGACAAACCTTTCAACTACCACACAAATCAGTAGAAATTGTAAAACGCCTAATATTAGAGATGTTGGAACTTGGGGTAATTGAAAGAGCAAATAGTCCATACAGTGCTCAGATGTTTCTTGTGAAGAAAAAAGGTTGTCCAGATGGAAGACCAGTGATGGATTACAGGAAACTGAACAAAGTTACAGTGTTTGACTGTGAACCTATGCAAAATGAGGATGAAATCTTTGCCAAACTTGGAAATAGTCATTACAAATCAAAGTTGGATTTTTGCAAGGGTTTTTGGCAAATTTATGTGAAAGAAGAAGATAGAGATAAAACAGCATTCAACACACCACTAGGCAGTATGCGTTTTGTTAAAATGCCCTTTGGACTCATCAATGCAGTTGCTACATACAATAGAATGATGAGGAAACTGCTAAATGGAATGGAAAATGTAGAGAATTTCGTCGATGATGTTTTGATTCACACTGAATTATGGAAAACACATGTGGAAATTCTCAGAGAGATGTTTAGAAGGATACGGGCAGCTAATCTGACAGTAAAGCCATCAAAATGTTTCTTTGGATACAATGACATGGACTTTATTGGCCATATAGTTGCAGTAGGAACTTTAGCAACACAACATGAGAAAGTTGAAAAGATGCTCAAAGCAAGGAACCCTACAAACAAAACAGAATTAAGATCACTACTTGGTACTGTTGGATACTACAAGAAGTTCATACCAAGGTATTCTGATATAACAGCACCTCTTACTGATCTTACAAAGAAAAGTTCACCAAACAAACTAAAGTGGGGCAATACACATGATGCAGCCTTCACAGAAGTCAAAGACATTCTAAGTACAGAACCAATACTAAAGCTTCCAGATTTTCACAAACAGTTCATTCTTCGAACGGATGCATCTGATGTAGCAGTTAGTGGAATATTGATGCAAGAACATGAAGAAAAACTACACCCAGTTCTGTATGGTAGCAGAAAACTTTGCCAAAGGGAGAGAAATTATTCCACCGTTGAACGAGAATGTTTGGCTATAGTGTGGGGTATAACAAAGTTTCAAAAGTACCTTCATGGAACTGAATTTGTTATTCAGACTGATCACCAATCATTACTATATTTAGAATCTGCAAAACACAAGAACTCTCGTGTCATGAGGTGGTCGCTGTTTTTACAGCAATACAAATACACCGTTCAAGTCATCCATGGCAAAGACAATATTGGAGCAGATCTTTTGAGTAGATTAGTCTAAACACATATAGATAAGACAAAGGATGGTATGCATACATACATATAGGTGTTACAGTGTAAAGTTGTAAATAAAAAAAATAATAAAATAATAAAAAGTAGTTGTAAGAGTATTTTCTTTATTTACTGATAGTAATAGAAGTGGATTGTGCTAAGTATTTGTAATTGAAGTCATAAAAATGACTACATAAGAGGAGTATTTTGAAATGTATCTTCTTCCATTGTGAAACTAAGAGGATTAATATTGTATCCTTATATTTAGTGTGAAGATTTTGAGATTATTATTAAGTTTAAGAATAACTTGTGTAGTAGTAGTTGTAAACATGTAGATTACATTTGATTTGTAAATATGTTAGTCATTTTTGTATTTTTACATATCAGAAGAAGAACTTATGTAATAGTAGTTGTAGACAGGTAGATGACATAAGTTTGATCTGTAAATATGTTAGATTTTTTGTAATTTTACATATCATTACTATGAGTATATTATATATTTTATTTCATAAAGTATATTTTTAAAAAGGGGGATAATGTCATGATATGTATTCTATTAAGCTAATCATAACACATTCTTGAGTTTTGTTTATTGCTTACTTATTAAGTAATTAACTTTAAACAGGAATTTTGGCATACTGCTCTAGTGAATAATAATTAGCAAGGTAAAAGGTAGAGACATGAGGAAGTGTGAACTGGGTATGAGATGTGTTGATTGTGTATGTAGTGTGTGCAGGTAGCAAGATGTAGGTGATTTTGGAAGCTTACGAATTTTAATTAAGAACCTTGAAAAGACTTCTTGACAATGGAATTATGTTAAGTTAATTACATCAATTACACCATTTATAGATTTTGACATATACTTGAATTGTTTCTAAGTAACAGATCTATAAATCAAAATTATTTTCTGGTAACATAGTAATACCAGAATAACAGCCTGATATTATAAGGTGACATGATCTAAAATGCGAGAAGAATGTATGAGGAATATTTTCTAAGGTGATTCAAGCAGCAATGGCCTGAACAACTTTGACATCAGTGATAGACCTCCAACATCAAAATCACATTTTTAATTAACCACTCCCAAAAAGTGAATAAAATACAAATTTTTTACATACGCACCTTTCTCTTTTTGCCCATATTTTTAGGTGCTTTTTCTTTAGGTAATTTATCTGTAAACTTTCCCAATGAGGCATCTGAGGATTTTGCGAGTGCAAGGGCCTTGCTGACGTGGTCCTTAGAGGGCGCTTCAGTAGGAGTCAGACCAACACCTGGCACTGCAAATAAAATAAAATCCATTTGATTTTACTATTGATTTTCAACACGGTTATTCCATCATTGTGACGTATTCAATTGTCAGTAGAAAGAAACGTATCAAACTTTCTTCTGAACATGTATATTTTTTGTAAGATAAGAAACTAAAAAATCATGACTTTATATATGATGACTTTATATAAATTTTCACATTCATATAGCATAACATTTTACTGGGAGAAATTCAAGTAATTTTATATAGTAATGTGAGTACATAAAAACACAATACAGAATCCTCAGAATAAAACATTCATACAGGCAATATATGTAAAAAAAGCAAATTTTGGTACAGGGTTGCAAATAAACTTTCCCAGAGAAAGGGTGTAGCCACAAAATATTTCAGTATAGACAGTAGCATCAAAATATGACACAGTTAGTTGAGATGAATGCCAGTTTTCATTTGTTTCAAAATTATCATTGGATGGATACTGTATAAGTGGTATTTAATCCGAGTGGTTAATTTGCCGAATTGTCAAATTTTATCAATTTCCTAATTTTAATTTTCCTAATGACAAGAAACTTCCCATTGGATAACATTATGAAGACAATATTTCCGAAATTTAATTTTCCGAGCCTGGCAAAAATTAGGCAATAGGCAAATTAAATGATTAGGGAAAATTACCACTTATACAGTATTGGATATACATTTGCATAAGTGGGCAATACCATTGGCTTACCCATATGAGCCAAAAAGAAGAAAAAATGTTAGACTTTTGATTTTTAAATTTATTCACATTCAATCTGGATTAACAGTGAATATCAATTGAATTGAAGCCATTTACTATTTCATACATGTTGTTTGTATGGCTTCCAATTCTTACAATAAATAACACTGTATATATACCATAGTTTAAGCAATCGAACACAGCTGATCTAAAATGAATATGTCGACATCTAAGATACATGCAAAGGCTCCTAAGATACATGTGGACTATGCCACTGCAGATGATGAATGGAAGATGGAGGTTGCACCAGAAATATTTGCTAAGGGATTTCCATGCCAACAAATCAATGCTTTAACAATTCTAAAAGGTAAAGGCCACATTCCTCATTTTAGATTAAAGTATCAACTCTCCAAATCTCAATGAATCTTTATTTGGTTTACCAACTTACCACAATTGCAGAATTTATGACGAATAGCTAATTTTTCCTTCTAATGCACAATGGTTTCTAAGAACGAACTGATGTATGTTGTTTTTATGTTATATCTAGGAGTAAGCGCAGTTTCCTGGTGAATATATCATAAACTCAAAAGAATATAAAATAATGATATTCAAAATGAGTCAATGTTATATGGTCTCATTATAGGTATATATGATACTGGAGAGTTGTATACCATAATAAATAAGGGTTATGTACTGGGAGGTTTTGGATATGGGGTTTATCCAGAGGGAGATATGCATATCTACCTGAGGGACCGTAGGGATCGAAGGTAGATGTGCATATCTCACGAGGGATGAACCCAATATCCATACCGACCGTACATAACTGCTTTATCCTATACCAAATCGAGTTTTCAGGGGCATATGGCCATTTCAATAGTACAAGGTGTAAAAATAAACAAATCATTCATATGCAAAGTCATTTTATTGCATTTCCACAACTTACTGGAAGCGGGAAGATATGCACCGAAGCGGGAGATATGGCGGGAGATATGGAGGTTCTGGATATGGAAACCTCAAAATTAGGATACGGTATATCTTAACAACTTATCTCCCTAAAACTCTACTTGGCATAGGATAAAGAGATGTATATGCTAGAGTTGTACACGAAACTGAAGAGGTGTATGTGAGGAGTTCAAATAATTATTGGACTTTTTGTAGAGGCTGAATGGTGTTATGAAAAAGACAAAGTCTTAGATATAGGATGTGGTATAGGACGTGTCACCAGGGAAGTTCTACTCACTGATCAGATAGAACAGATCACAGCATTTGATATTATTCCAAGCTATAGTAAATATGCAAAAGAGCAGAATTCCCATGAGAAGATCACTTTCATGCAGCTTGATGCTGGTCATGATTGGCCAGATAAGTGGAAAGGAACATTTGACAAGGTAAGATGAGTCGACTTTGTTGCATACTTATAAAAGCTAAAATGTTTGAAATCTTCCAAAACCAAGACCTATTATTTTGCAATTCTCCAATTTAAAATACAATATCATATTTTTGACCTAACAATAGCTTACATCCAAATCTTAAGACTCAGGCCAAACAATATAGTGTCCATGAGCTTCTATATTATGCAACCAAAGCTCCTCTCAAAGTTTGGCAATGGAGTACAATATTTCAAGACAGAATGTCAGAAATGGCCACCTTTTAGTTACCCACATGCCCAAAATTAAATCACATAAAATCAGACCATCCACTAACCTGATGATGATAAAGCGACACATGAGCCATAAAAACAGTAAGTCTTCAACACATGATGGGCTTTCGAGCCCATGAACTAACATATGCTTTAACCTTTTGATAACTGTTCATGGCATGTCTATTGCAGGTGTTCTCAAATGAATGTCTGAACATGGTGACTGACCAGGAAAAACTTGTGAAGCAGATATTCAACACTTTGAAGCCAGGGGGAGAATTCGCAGCTTCCTATTTCCTTCGAGTTGATGCTTTTCAAATTGCAATTCTTACGCTAATGGCTCAGACAAAATGGCAGAAATATTTCAGTGAAGATTCTGACGCTGTGGAAAAAGCAATGGAAACTGCTGAAAGCTGTCCATGGACAGATGAAAACACATTTGCGAAATTTCTAGAAAACGCAGGCTTCAATGTGAAAAAATGTCAGAAGATTCAAACTTGGTACCGTCCAAATGATTACTTAGAATGGGTCCAGTTCTGTGGGGAGGCTTACTCAAGGTTCTATCAACAAATCCCTTATGATCGTCAAAATGAGTTTGCAAAAGAATTGCTACCCATTATATTGGACATTGAGAACAAGAAGTTAGATAAACTATCGGATAAAGAAAGAAGAGAATACGGAATTGAAGAGGGAAGTAAGGATTACCAGTGCACTGAAATGCTCATACTGCATTGTGAGAGGCCACTTCAATAAAGTGATACTTTCATTGGAAGTTCATCATGAATACCATTATTTAGTGCACTTGACTTTCAGTCTTAAAACACTTAACTAGACTCAAAAAGTTGAACACCTTGAAAGGAAAATAAAGTATTGGGTAGATGACATTAAACTTGGTTATCAGTGCACGGTGCCGCATTGTAGGTGATTTCTAGCAATTTTATCAAAATATCTAGTAAAGTATTTAGAAGGAAGCACGTCAGTACACTCTATAAGCACACCTATTGTAGCTTCAGTATGGAAGGGAGTAATCATCCTTAACCAGTACATCAATCAATAATATATTTAAAGATCTAATAGCAAAGGTTTTGCAAAAATAAATCAATGCAGTGTAAAACAAATGTATGTATAATGAAGAAATAAATATTTAATGAAAAAAATAGATATGTGTTTGTAATATTGGTATTAACTTAAGATTAAAAAGTGTCACTATCTCTTTCATTTTTCAACAAATATAGGCTCACGTGACATATGACGCGGGGCAGTCAATTTTGATCTATCGTAGACCATATCAGTATCAAACTGCCGATATTTCAACCTCGTCTTGCGAGGCCATTTTTATTTGAAACATCTTGAATTTGGTGTCAAAATAAAGCTGGTCACGCCCACTTTCAGAGTTATCAATGAATCATTTACTACGACTACTATATTCATTTAGGAGGCGTGTAAAGTTAACCAATCAGAAAGACAATTGCTCCATATATGACAGTTCATTAACATATTCAGTGTTTACTATTGTTTTTCGCGTCATGACAACACGAGTAGTAACCAATCAAAATGCCGTATTTTATCACGTGAGTTCAGAGTGACATGCACGACATGTAAGTTTAGTCTGAGCTGATCGCGATGTTGAACAATTTCTTCTCGGAATTTGTCCAGAGAAATCAGCGATTCTAAATTAAGGTAGGATCTCCCATTTCTTCCTGTACAAGTTTTAACTTATCTCTATCGAATCCTAAAGTTTTGGATGAAGATATGAAGCATACGTTTAAAAACGAAGCGATTAATTTGACGATCTGATTTTGCAATTTGCAATGGCCAATTTACTGCAAGTCTGCGTGTATTTGACAAGAGATTGCGCCAAGTCTTGTATCCGAATGCTTGTTAAGCCACTCAAAAACAAGATCCATATTTTCTAAATTTGATAACTTTGCAGAGAGCCCGTTTTCATAACCTGTTTTCCGCGTCTAAATTCAAACTGAGTAGGATTATACTAGGATCGCTGGGATTCTCAGTCAATGGCAACGGGTCTTCATTCCAGAACGCACATTTTTTTAGTTGATTCTCCGTCATAGTACTTGTCTAAAGTCCATATCTGCTCTTTTACTGGCATACTTGGACATATTTCACCCTCTCGCCTATTTATATAGGCCTATAGCCATTTCCCAGAACCCGGGAGTCAGAATCGCTGATGTTTGCCATATTGAACATGTTACTTCGGTCCAAAGCCTTCTCTGTAAGCTGGAGACTCGAGTAAGAAATATGTACTGTAATACTAATATCTGTAATACTAGGCATTGCCTGCTACGCGTAGGGGTCACGTGACTAGCGCGATACAGGAAAAATGGGGAATTTCGAAACAACAATTTTTGGGCACTTTTATTGCAAATTTCAGGTATTTATAAGTGTTTGTGGTATAAAATATAATCCACAGACATAAATGAACATCCAAACTACATATTTTATTACGTTTTGGAGCCTTTTTTTCTTTTAAAATGACATCTTTAATTGAGTTCTTGTTTATGGTGTTCTTTCATTTTTACAGAAATGTCAGAGGGTTGGATTGAAAAATCAGAAATAACTTATATGCTTGGGGCACAAAGATTTTAGACCACAATAGGGTAATTTTTATCAGAGTAGCAACGAAACATGATTTTCATGAAGATTATCAAACTGTTTCCTGTCTAGCTTTAATAAAATATGAAAAATTGAAAGAAAATGTAGGACGTAAAAAATTACATAAGCTTCAGATTTTCAACTGAGTTGAGTCCTTGGAAAACTGATGTGGCTACAACGAACTCTGATGGATACACCTTACCTTTTCCTTTACTGTTGCGTGCAATATTACAAAGTCTTTGAAGCTCATTCTTTGCCGTTCTTTCTTTTTTGGCTTTTAGACGTTTCTCAAACTGATCCTCATATGGATCTGAAATGTGAAACAAAAAATGATGTATTTTGGCGACATCAATACAATCAGGAATCAAAACAAAAACATTGAGTGCTTCTGCATTCAGTAGTTCTACTCCAATGCTCCCATGTTTTTATTTTGAACAGTTTTCAAAGTCTATCTTCATCAGACCATGTCAATTCTAACATGGCTCAAAGGAACTGAAGGCTGTCTGGTCAAATATAATGAGGATTCTCGTAAGGATAAAATAGTAGAAAGTAGTTTTAGATATTCTTCAAATTAAATCTTCACCAATTTTCAAATCTTGCCGAATTCATCAAATTAAATAGGGCCAAATTAGTAGAGTAACAGTACATAAAGGCTAGTTGAAATAGGGTTACATACCTGCATTACCAGGAACTTCTATTAACCAGTCTTTTGTATCATCATTAGCTCTCTTATAACCCCACCTAGGTCTGTATTCCTACATAACAAAACACAATGCCATTTATTTGAATGCATGAATAAACATGCAGGGGCTTCATTAGAATTCCTCACAACAGGCTAAATAAATGAAAACAACAGGCAAAAATAATGGAAATCATGAATTTAACATGGAAAAGTCCCTAAAAACAACAGGCCATTTTGTGAAAACAACCGATGAAAATCGCCTGTTGCCTGCTGCTAATGAAACCCCTGTATATGTATGTACACTAGTTGGTGCTGCGAACAATATTTTTAACTTTGGTGATGTAAATGCTTGCAATGGGGAAGATGTGATTTGAAATTTTAACATGCAAAATTCAACATGCGACTCTAACAATCAGTTATTAATCGATCATGGAGCATATAGTGAAGGGGTCTTATTTCAAGAATAATCCAGGACAGTGTAAGTAGCTATTTTCATCCCTAGATTTTATCTCTAGGTCCATTGAATTACAAAAATACAATACGGTACCTGTAGATTGACGCAGTGAAGGACACTCACTAGAATTTTCCTATGAAGCCATCTATCTGTAGTCGCTATTTTTTCCTTCTGTAGCAACACATTGTCGATGTTACTTATTATGAAAAAACACTTATGAATTCAACATATAACATTGACTTACCTGATGTGTTTCATCCCACACCATCCTACTCTTCTTTGACTTCTGAATACCCTTCAATGCAGCATATTTCTCCCATTTGGTGGCTGCCTTCTCTTTGGGGACCTATATAAATTATAGGAAAGTATCTCAATCATAATATTCTATATTACATTTGGGATATCAATAGTTGCAGATCATGCCAAAGTTTCTCAAAATCGGCGATAATTTTGTTCTGTTTTGGTGATAAATTGTAGAATTAACAGGTAGCGTGATTTATTTGAATGATCAATTAATTTCAAGATATATTTTTAATGAGGTAAATTATGACACTTTACTTTTCTAACATTGCCAAAATACATTTCAGATAAGATTTTTAATGACTACTTACTGGTTTTTCTCTTGGTATAATTGTCTTAGGTTCTGGTAGCTGAAAAATAAGAGAGACCAAGTTTATAAAAATTACAAAAAATAACAATATGAGGATCATACCATCAAAAGTAGAAGAAATCATGTTAGTTTATTTCACAGATTAATATTTATATATTTTTCAAATACTATACAATCATTTTATACTATTGAGAAATAAATACTTGTTCATCATTCACTGACTCTGTCAAGGTATATCCAACTGAGGGCTAGGCGTACAACGGAGAACATCTTATTTAAGGCCCTTTGAAGTGTAACAGGTATTCACCTGACGATTAACAGTGTTATATTCCCCAGTCCCTGGTTGGATAAGTCTAATATGAATGAGTTTATCAATGTAAAGATCACTTGTAAGTCAATTTTCCCAAAATGTGAGGTTTACACTGGATGAAAATACCATAGTTATAATACCTTTATGGTACCTTTTTGAATAACTTCAAGCTCTTAGTGGGAAATACCGGTTATGCATTCATATTTTTGAGTCATATTATATAATGGGGAATAGGTTATGTGGCGGTGAAATGATAAAGTATTGAATTCCATCAGATCATCGTAGAATATCATAACAACTAGCTAATAACAACAGGTCACCCCTGACTGCTGTCTCATGTGTTACTATAGTTACCTTTGCAAGGATGACATCTTCTTTTCTGTGTGTTGGTAACTGTAAAATAAATAATAACAAAACTAAAAATATTGAAATTTACATTTTTAAAGATATCAATGAGCATGACTCCAGTAGTATGACTAATTACATACATACATGTATTTGGGTTTGTAGGTTCATGTAACCTAGTTTAAAAATAATACCAACAGATCCCAAATTTTTCTCATTAAAACTCCTGGCCTTCTTGAAAATCCTGGATATTTTAATGCTGGGAGAATGTTCTTTTTCTGGAATGATATACATCCATATAAAATGTATCTTGGTAAGAATATAAAATCTTAAATAATTATTTAAAAATGAAACTTCCTTACTGATTTTCAAATTTAGATTTTCGTGATAAACTATGATGAAAGTAAAGGCAGTATCAAATAACATAAAACTGTCATTAATGATATAATCATTCATTCCAACTATAATCACAATTTATTTACATCAACATAGAAAATATATGCACAATTTTACAGAAGAAATGTGAGAATTGATATGAACATACCTCCCATATTCTGTTCAACAGGAGCTGTGTATTATCCCTGGCTAATTCACTGAGAAATTTCTCTTTGTTAGTCCTGAAAATAAATGTATTTTTTAAATATGATGATGATAGTAATAACTCTCAGCCAACAAACATGATTACAGATCACTATTTTGGTCCCGCTGTATACTCTAGAAAACTTTCATGTGGTTATTACTCATTTTAAATATTATACAAAAAGATATTCGTGAGAATAGTAATTCAATTGAAACTGAAGAGAGCAATGTCACAAGTGAGAAATTTCATTATATTGTCTACAGGGAGTATGTCACCTTCCTCTCTAATACCTTATACTGTACTTCTACTTAATTTGGCGCTACTTATTTTGGCAGATTTGCTGTTTTGAAGATTTGTTGGCTACTTAATTTGGAGGACTTGCAATATCATAATGCACTAATGGTATTAATTCACATGGTACTAAATTTACCGGGGAATTTGACGGCTACTTAATTTGGCAGCCGTTTTAATTGTTAAAGTAAAGAAGTACAGTATACAGTACTCCCTGTTATTTCATCTGGGATTAATATCAACCAGTCTGTCATATTAAAAACACATCTAAAAATGTTGATTTAATTTGCTACATTGGGACAACCATCTCCATTTTCATTTGGAGGTCTCAGCAAGAGTTTGTAATTAGGGTGGATAATGTCAACATGTTCAAGAATAGGCTAGATAGGCACTGGACGGATCATCCAACAAAATTAGACCACAATATATAAAATAAGTTCAATGATGCAATTTCCGTTTTTTCAACGAATTAAATCACACATCTTTTCAAGATCGCAGTTTTAGAAGGGCACTCCTTGTAATGCTGATAAACCCATATAATTGGGGATTCGACTGCATAAAATGAATGCTTAAATACTCAGGAATTTATAAGAATACAGCAAGGGGTTTAGGAATACAGCAAAGGGCAACATTTTTTCTTACCGTATATACGGCACCTGCTTTCCTGGATACACAGAGAGTGAGACCCTATCTGTTGCAAGACTTATGCCTGGCGTAACCGTCACCATGTTATTCGGTGTTTTTTAAGTAGCGCAAGGATCCTGCCATGACCGTGGTAATGTTATCGTGAAAGCATGGTATAACCGCGACAATGCTGTTTTATATTAAAATGCCTGCCATGACCGTGGTAGTGTAATCGTGTAAGCCTGGCGCGACCGTAACCTTTATATGACATTAATGACCTTCATGTTTCGCCCGTTGCTGTTGGTATTTTTTATGGATAAATCTTATTAATTGATCATTATAGAAAATATATGCTTTCGAATCGAAGCTCCTTGAATGAGAGTAAAGATATAGTTTGTTCGCAAATTATTTATGAGTAAAAATTATGTTTTCGTTGTGAAATTAATACACATTTTTAGTAGTCTTTATCTACATATTTAAGGTAGTTAAACACGAAGAAAAATTGTCATTACGGTGTTCTCATGCTACTTTGAATACAACCACGGTCATGAGAGGCCTTGCAACTATTGTCACGGTCATATCAGGCTTTAACCTTACCACGATCATGACAGGCTTTAACATTCTGACGGTCATGACAGGCCTTTCAATCATTATGACGTTCATATAATATATACGGCAATATAACATAACATTGTCACGGTCATGGCAGGCTTTACAAGTGTTGTCACGGTCATACCAGGCCTAACATTACCACAGTCATGACAGGCCTTGCAACCATTGTCACGTTCATACTGGGCTTTAACATTACCACGGTCATGACAGGCCTTGCAACCATAATAACGGTCATACGGGGCTTTAACATTACCACGGTCATGACAGGCCTTGCAATATAATATAGCATTGTCACGGTCATGACAGGCCTTGGAAGCATTGTCACGGTCATATCAGGCTTCAACATTACCACGGTCATGACAGGCCTTGCAATATAATACAGCGTTGTCACGGTTATACCAGGCTTACAAAATAACACTGCCACAGTCATGGCAGGATCCTTGCGCTACTTAAAAAACACCGAATAACATGGTGACGGTTACATTAGGCGTTAGTTTGCAATAGATAGCATGTGATACACAGAGAGTGGCTACAATTTCCATGAACTCAAGCCAGAATTGAAAGCAATAAAATAGATGAAAACCCTGGCATAGATATCCAATAGATGTGGACATTGACTTCAGTATCAGTAGGCCTGTAGATCTAAAAGTCAAGATGAGTTTCTGCTGGCTCAACCACAAATAATTTTTTTCACAATTTTGGCTAATTTTACCTGAATATTTTAATGTCTATCGGATTCGTGTCAACGGCTAATAGATTGCCTTCGTCAATCTCTAATTCTAGGTCCTTCTCGACTTCAATAGACTTAAATTTCTGACCCTTTTCTGCCAAAATATTTTCTATCGTGTTCGCCATGCTGCTTCCTGCTAAATTATATCTTACACGCCTTCCGATTGGTCGGTGCATAAACTTTTGACCAATCCGGTGAGATTTGACAAACTACAAGAATTCTGTCTGTGTGTCTCAATTTTACTTCCTGAAACTATTTTGGAGAAATCTACATGAAGAATTCTTCATAAAATCGTGTCTATGTTGCTGTTATCCTTCCCAAATTAACCATGCTGAAGAAGGATTGGAAGAAGAATCTGTTACGCGTGAAACAAATCGCTGATCAGAAAGTTGGATGGTAAGAATTTCTATATTTGTAAGTTGTCAATATAACGCCCATTCCATCGATCAAAATTTCCATAATTTTTATCATCCTCTAGCCTAGATTCTATTTCAGAATGTAAGTACTTCTCAGTTATACCACTAATGGCTCATAAGATATTCATGAAGCTAATTATTCTCATGTACTACTTTTTTCAAGGCCTGACTTCGTCGCTAACATGCTAAATATAAGAGTTAGCTGACGCTTGGGAGTCTGACTTACTTTCTAAAGGTTAGAACCCGAATCTTAATGAAACCATATCACCTTTGTTCCATCAACCATGGAGCATTTGCCACAACATCCAAGAGGTAAATCATGGATCAAGAAAATGAATGATTTCCTTGTAAGTTCCGGAAGTTTCAACACGAAAAATTACTGAACATATGTGAAAACCGAATATTTGTTCGTTGTTTTCACGATTTACAGGTTCGTTTGTTCTTCAATGTTTTGGTCTAAATTATAAAGCATCACCAACAGGTCTTACTCTATTAATCGACTAATACAGCAGACGGCTCATATTTCTACGTAGCATTTCATTCAGACCAATAGTGGGAGTGTAGATCACGCAGTTTCGTTCGTTGCGTACTTCACTTGAAATTGGTTATTTTAAATATTGACTACTTCACTTAGCTTGGCGGATGTAGAACATTGCTTAATATTCTTTTAATTTTCACACCAGACATGCTTGGTTGACACGTCAACAAAGTAAAGTTCAAGGGTCAATGCGTTATTTCGTGATAACTACAACGCCTTCCCGGAAGTCAACATTGATGAAAAATGAAAAAGTCGGAAAAGCATTTACGCTAATTTCTATCAAATGCTATGTTTATGCATCATCATCGACGCAACAAAGGTGATATGGTTTCATTAAGATTCAGGTTCTAACCTTTAGAAGGTAAGTCAGACTCCCAAACGTCAGCTAACTCTTATATTTAGCATGTTAGCGACGCAGTCAGGCCTTGAAAAAGCAGTACGAATTTTTTTTCCAAAAAGTGACTGTCGCTTCGCTTCTTCATTCATAAATCATCGCATAAATTCAAACTGCCATACTTACAAAGTGGTCAAGATGCTAACTATTCACTATCACAGTTCACAATCCGCTATCCTGTACCATAGCTATGGTCCTGTGAGCATCCCTATTTGTTTCCTGTATGATTACTGTGATTACAATATAGGCCGAAATGGGAGAATTTGGTAGTAAGTGACATAACTGACAAAAAGAACATACCTCAATATATTCCTGAGTATTTTAAGATTTTTTTAATGTAGTTAAACCCTCAATTGTGTGGGTTTATCAGAAGACTGAGGAAATTTTAGTTTTAATTAAGATCGCACATCTTTTCTAGATGGTGGTAGGTTTTAGCATGGACGTAAGAAATGGATCGGAATCCCCCATTGATATAATGGTCTTGGCCTAGATCTAGCTGCACCATTTTCATGCATGTCTAAAGCATTTTTTACATATGACATCATTAATATAACGTAACTCTCTACAGTATTATATCAATGGATTAGACATCTTAATATGTTAAGAAAACGTGATGACATGCGGAACCTCCAAAGCTTCGCATTGATCTGTGTAATCGTGATATTTATCCAGACCATGGGCTTTCAACTCAAATTGAAAGCCCATGTCCAGACTTGACATATTGTCTGACGCAAAACAGGCTTTATTTGCTGAAAATGTAGGAAATGTTTGTTTACGCATGTGCAGTTAGACCATGAAAACTACAGCGCCTCTAGCAGTAAAAATAGGTCGAGACAAGAATTTGAAGAGTTTCCAATCTATTTCTTCAAGTCCTTGGTTTCAGAAGGGGAATCCCCTTATTAACATCTGGGTGGTGCTGCAGAGTCTGTATGTACCAATAGATAGACGGTTGAAATAAGATAAATGACATGCAAAAATGTGTAGCAAAAATTTCCCCATTCTACCCATAAACCCATACCCATATAGATAAATAAATGCTATGATAGCAATTCATATTGCCAATGATTATTACTATACTGCAGGTATATTCAGATGTTATTATTACCTTAACAATTGTCTTGTTCATGAACATAGTATATTCTGACAAATAAAAGTAAAATGCTTATGGGTTCATTTTATAGAATATTAACAGGCGTTTCATTAGCAGCAGACAACAGGCGATCACCAGTTGTTTTCACAAAATTGCCTGTTGTTCATAGGGACTTTTCAACTTCTCAATGTTAAATTTATGATTTCCATTAATGTTGCCTGTTGTTTTAATTAATTTAGCCTGTTGTGAGAAATTCTAGTGAAATCCCTGATTAAAGCATTAATATAAGTTTTATTTTGTGTGATAGTTATTTGAAAATCAAGTGCTTATACTTATACTCTAGCATCAAACTTCCTTATTACTGGGATTGATTTCTGATTGGTATTTTTTCTTATTTTAAATGCTCATTCTAATTTTAACGATGCTTCGTGATGTTGTGGTCTGACCAAACTTTTTAATCCCTCTCAACTGAAGCATTGATGAGACTTACACAAACCCAAGGTGGATAAAGTTGAAACCTGGATTCCTCTTTGTTCTAAAAGAATTGCTTCAGGATAATTTGTTAACAGTTTTCACTTTTTGGAGTTTGTATTACATATGTAAGTGAAGAGCTCAAATGAAATTTGAAGGATCATGTGTTTTTACAAAATAAATTTTCGACTTTTATCAAGGCAAAGTATTTAACAGAGTATTGATGACATCATTAGATATGAATAAATCCATAGTGACATTCAGTCATTTCATAATTCTAATCTCAGTTCATGTCGTCCTTGTGACTTTATATCAAATGTTCATACTGAGGAACTTTTTCTTTAGTTGAAAACTTTTTTTGATTATCATAGTACAGTTTTCTTGATTGGCTCTTTATGGCGGGAGGGGGGGGGGGTATTGGCAATGTTGTCAGTTAGATCCTAGACACAATCAAGCCTTCAACTCATCATTCCTGTAATAACAGATGTATACCTCCCCCTTGCTTTAATCAATAAAGTATAAATTGAGCTTATTATATATGAATGCTGCTCATTTACTTACAAGTAGAATTAGAATGAGGACCATTTCCTACATATTACTTTCTATAGCCTGTTAGGTTTGATATGAAGGTTTGAATTTGATCTGGTATAGTAAAATGTGTTTTTGTTTTAAACATCTGTCCCCAATAAACATATTGCATTGACTACTGAGTAAAAAAATCTCAAAGTAAATGCATGCCCCCAATGAACACTTTTTGTGAGGCTGAACCTGTTTACAATATACAGGTTTTTCTGTGTAATGTTTTACATGTGGCTGTAGATTTGATCGAGAAAGTGTGGATTGAAAGTGCTACTTCAACCATCTTGACAAATTGGCACTTATACAGTACAGTAAAACATGTATATTCGAACATCTCGCTAATCTAAACACTTCTCAATATAAACACTTTTTGGTTTCATTTTTTATTTAATATGCGATAGTACCATGTTAATTTTTTAAAGAACCTTGAAATATGAACACCTGCCAATTTGAACACTCGACTGTTCCCAATAGCATTTGTACTCGTTAAAAAATATGAGTTAAAAAATCTTCACTCTGTTCGTGCTTTTTGCATAGTTTTTCTCCTTAATGAGTGGTTGACTTGACATTTGTCTTCTTAATTTCTTGCTGGTTTCACTCTTGTCTTCTCTATTCCATTTTGAAATATAGACACCTTGACACAGGTATACTGTGTATTTGTAGGTGATGATAATGTTAATTACACAGCTATCTGTTCTCCTTCAATCAGAGAAGTCTGTGCTATTTTGATGCTGCTTCTAATGTTTTATGCAACCATACACAGTTCATCTGTGAAATAACCTAGTTGTAGGTGTATCTTCTATCTAGGGGTTTGAGTTAAAGTTATGTCATAAATATAGAAGTTACATCTCACAGAGCAGTTCATCTTATAAGTCGGTATCAAGACTGGAATACCTTTCTATGTGATGTTAGATTTGTTTTGAAAACATATCCTACCAAAGCTAGTTTGATTTTGTGTTTTTATAATATTGCCATTTTTTGTTGCCATGTGTTTTCACGTTGATGAAGGAATCTTGTACTAGCAATCATTAAATTGTAAGAAATGTTTCAATTTATAATCCTTCTCTTTATCCTTGGATTGCATTCGTTATGTAGATATATGCAGTTAAACATATTTTTTGAAATCGCCTAGTCCACCCGTGTAGCTCAGCGGTAGCGCAGGTACCTCTTACGCAATAGGTCCCGGATTCGATCCCCGGTTCAGGCAAGACTAAATTTGCTTGTTTGTGTGAAGTACTTCAGGGTGTTTGACTGAGTGGTCCGCAACTCGTACAAAAGGCTGTGGTGTGTACTTGTATGTCTATGTATAAGTGCACATAAAAGAACACAGGGCTCCTTCAAGGAGGGTTTCTGGGTCTATCTTCCAGGTTAATTACGTAAATTACGACCGTACCCAAGAGGTATTGCTCACCTTCATTGGTGGTAAACAAAATACAATACAATACTTACACTGTTTGAAATTCAGAAAATTATGAACAATTTTGAGTTTTGGCCATTTTTTCAGAAAATGTAAAAGCGTTTTATACTGGAATCCTATGTAATACACCATACTGGTCTGCCTGGGCCATTGCATTTCGAAAAGTGGTTTACCTTAATATGGCAAGTACATATGTATCTTTATACTCTTTCCAATACTGCAAAGATAGTTTGGGAAGTCGTTATGGTAACATAATCCATGTTCCTTAGATGCAATTACCAATTGGTTGAATTCTAGTTATCTAAATCCCCAGAGTAAATTGAATGAGATCTCAAGCTCATCCCTTAGTCATGTAGTTAATTAGCCAATAACAGTGGGAAGTAGAAATAGTCACATTATTAATGTATCATTTTATTTGGAATGTATCAAGGCTTTGTAGTAATTTTCGATACTCTATACAGTCTGTCAAGATGATTGTGTACTTAGGTCGT